TATAGCAACTAGATCACCTTGCTTGTACTTCTCTCCTTCTTTACGTATTTTGTTATATGTCTTTCTATTCTCTTCTCTTGTTTCATCTCTTATACTCATAAATTCGATTCTGCTTTCCTCTTCTAAGTATTCCATAATAGATAAATCTTCTTTCAGCTTAAGTTTCACTCCCGTTAACAATTCAAAAGGTGTTGTGTTAATTGATCGTTGATATGTGCTATTAATGACTCTTTGAAGCTTACTCACATGCTTATACCAATGGCCTGGTTCTTCTATACACATCTTTGTTAAAGTAGAAATAATAACTCTGTTCACCCTTTCAACTTGACCATTTCCGCGTGGTATTCCAGTGGCAATAGTTTAATGCCTTCCTCTTGACAGTACTCTTGGAATTCATTCCCTGTAAAAGCTACTCCTCGGTCAGTAATGATTCTCCGTGGGTTACCATAATCTTTCTGGTGCAACTTTAACTTTTCTACGGTTTCCTTTGCTGTCACAGTCTTAACAGGATAAATCCAGACGAACTTTGTATATCCATCAATTACAGTAAGTATGTAGTTATGCATTTTCTTAATTGCATCTAATGGCCCTAAATGATCACAATCTAAAGTATCCAGTGGTAATTCTCCTTTATCAATTGGATTTAAAAAGCCTTCTTTCTTACCAGACTTTCTACTCGCTAATAAACAGGGTACACAGGTAGAAACAATCTTATCGATTTTACTGTCTAGTTTTGTAATGTAATAATCTTTTTCTATTATATCCTTAATCTTCTTCTTCCCGAAATGTCCAATTCCATGGGCTTTTTTAATCAATTCCATATCCATCATATCAGGTAATACCAATTTCTTCTCCGGTCCTTTATAATTAACATCATTCTCTAAAAAATAATCTTCATATCCATTCTTTTCTAATAGTTTTCTGATAATCTTTAACCCTTCATCTTCTTCTTGTGCCTTCTTTATTCTCGCATGTAACTCAACATCAACAAAACAAATGTTTCTGCTCAATGCGTCAACATGTTGCATCTTGTCTCCTGTTCTATGTTCTATAGAATACTGAAAATCCTGTAAGTATAGTATCCATCGTGCTACTTTTTCCTGCATGCATCCTTGCATCCTTTTTGTTCAAGGTTTTTTGAAAGGCTTCACAATCAGTGACAATTTTAAAGGGTATTCCTATAAGATATCTTCTGATTTCTTTACGGCTTCAATAACAGCTAAAGCTTCTAACTCGTAACTGCAACACTTTTGTTGAACTTCTGTAGTCTTTCTGCTCATGTAGTGAACAGGATGTTGACAACCATCATTAGGGTCTCGTTGCATTAAAATAGCTGCATATCCATGCATAGAAGCATCTGTATGTAATTCAGTTTCCAAATGAACATCAAATATTTTCAACACTGGTTCACAACATAATTTTGACTTTAATTCGTCAAAAGCTTGTCTTTGAACATCCTCAAACTTAAACTCACCTGTTTTCAATAAATCACTTAATGGCTTCGCTATTAAAGCATAATTTTGAATAAACTTCCTGAAGTACGAAGTTAATCCTATGAAGCTGTGCAGTTCTTTCAAATTTTTAGGCACTGGAAAGGTCATAACAGCCTTTGTTTTCTCACTAGATGGTCTTATCGTTCCATTGGAAATATGGTAGCCTAAGAATTCAACAGATCTTTGTAGTATTTGTGACTTCTTCCAATTTATTTCGAGCCCATACTCCGCTGCCACCTTCAGCAAAGCTTTAAGTCGTTCAATTCCCTCTTTTTCATCTTTTGAAAGTATAATTATATCGTCAATAAATATCAAAACCACTCCCGTTCTTATAAAATCCGCAAATATGATGTTAATGTATCTTGTAAAGTATTTAGGACAGATAGAAAGACCAAACGGTGCTCTTAAAAATTCATACTGGCCTTCAGGGTTACTCGTTACAAATGATGTAAACTTCACCGACTCTTCTTCAATTGGTAAGTGGAAAAAGCCATTTTTTAAATCGAGTGTGCTATACACATTCACTCTACTCAATTTGTCAATAAGGTCGTCGATTACAGGTAATGGATGTTCGTCTTTCACCATTTTCTGATTTATCTTTCGATAATCTACGCAAACTCGTACACTGCCATCTTTTTTCTTTGTCAATACTAAGGGACTTGCATACTCAGAATAACTAGGACGAATGATGCCCATCTTCAACCAATCATCAACTTGCTGCTTCACTAATAGTTCTTCGGTTAAAGCTAATCTTCTAGGCCGTTGTGTAACTGGAATATCATCTTTTAGAACAATTTTCAGCCTAATGGGTGCATCTTTGGTCTTCAAAGGTACGTAATCATTTATAATATCTTTTACCGCACTACATTGGTCATCATTACTGGAAAAAAGACATATAGCATTTTGATATAAACTATCGTAACATGGAGGCCTAATTTCAACGGCACCTTTGTCTATAACCGTAACAGTATTTACTAAGAATGGTTGACCTAATATTACATCATATGGCATTACATTAGTTGGTACAATATAAAAATTAATATTGTAATGGTGATCGTCGATAATTAATTCCGTGTCGAATTTACCGATTGAAAATACTTGTGAACAACCCAACCCGGTAAGCAACATTCTGACAGGTGTATATCCAATATTTAATTTAGAAAAGAAATTTAAAGTTATTAAGTTTAAATCACTACCCGTATCAATTAAACAGTTCGTCACGAAATTACCTATTTTTACATTTTTTATGCTTCTATTAATTATCGCATCACCTTTATCTACATTAAATACAGACTGACGTTTTTGAAGTTGACACTGAATCCCCTTACTGTCACAAACATTTGATATGCAGGCACTCGCTCTTTCCTTCGGATCGCAACTCATTACATTTCGTTCACGTTCACCTTCTTCATTCACGTCCACGTTAGCGGAACTAGCGCCCTCTGATGTCAGCGTGGGATATTGAATGAACATCGATCGTCGATCCCGCTTTGCATGCATTTGTGTTATTACAGGTTCCGTTTTCTTACATTCTGCGCCTATGTGACCGAACTCATTACACCTAAAACATTTTACAACTCTTTGACAGGAACTCGACAGATGCCCTTTCTCACCGCACTTGTAACACCGTTGGAATGTCTGTCCTCCAGTTTCCCGTTGTGCCATCGGCTTCATTACTGTTACTTCTCTTTTGCTTATAGTACTCTTCTTGGTTTTCTGTTTGTTACTTTCATACAATGCTATTTTCTCCTTGAGCACTGAATAGGATGTAACACCATAGAATAATAATTTGTTTGATTCGTAGTCGTTTATGCCATCGAATATATACTGTATGATGACGTAGTCTGCAAACTTAGCCCTTTTTCCCAATTCTTTCATGACAAGCATGTATTGATAAACCGTTTCATTAGCCTGCTTTTTCCGATTACTCATCATTTCATGCATTTGTTAGGAATTTATAGTATCAGGAAACTCCTTCATCAGAGCCGTTCTAAATGCTTTTTCCGTCTTCAGCCATAATTGTGCAGTACCAGCCAAGCACCTCCGCGCGATAATTAGCCGTTGTAGTTGGTTCCATCCGAAAATATCTGCGTTGTCTTCAATATCCTGCGACCATTTTGCAGAGGAATACGTCATATCATCACCCGTAAACTTAGGTAGGGAATCCATCAGGAAGAATGGATTATATTTACCATCGTCGTTATTGCTCTCCATCATCTTTAACCGTCGTAAATATTATCGTCGTTATTTTAAAGTGACAATTAATACGCTTCCTTTGTAACACGTAATGGCGGCTGGCGTACGTGATCACTTTCTCTCGTTATTAAAATACCCAAAAATCACTTTAAGCCCGTTATCCCGGACGAGAATTTTGTAGGCGTAGGATAAATAAAATCTTTATTTTGAGTATATTGTTACTATTTTCATCTTTATTTAAATTAATACATTTTAAGACACAGATACACGTTACTCGTTCGTGGCGTCGTTGCGAAAAGTCCCTCAATCCCTTTTACGTCATCCATCCTTCTCATTCACACAATACTTCGTTCAAAAATCATCTTTTACTCAACTATTAAATAATTAATCCTACATAAATGTATATATAATGTTTTAATTTTTTTTCGCTAACAATTTCAAGTGTTTTCTTAACTTTTAGGCCCACTTTTTTATGGTTTGTAATTTATCTGCAATCCTCAAATGTTGTAGTTGCCTATGGGCTAGGTTATCACTTATCGACAGCTGAAACCCCTACTCGTATGCCAGCTATTGACATAAAAAACAGTTTTACAATGCTATTCACAAATAACTTGCAGAGCTTAAGCAATTGTAATGGCATTTCATAGTAGAAAATTATTATTTTGCCGTTCATAAATATAAACTTTACGAGGCAGGTCGCTGAACGTTTAAAGATGGAATTGGACACAACTTTTACTTTCGTTGCGACATTACTGTACCTTATACGTCGAAATCTTTAACTTAAGAAACAGCTCGTAAGGCTTTGAACAACAATTAACCGTCCCACAATCGGTGACCATTCGACCCCGTGGTCACCGTCTCTGGTTGTTGTACTGTTAATTGTTGTTTAAAGACTTAAGTCTAACTTTGTCTTTGTCTGACGCCAGAACATATACTGTCTTGGTAACAAAAAATCACTAAATATTCTAAGCATAATTAATATAACTTATATCTGTACATAAAAAGGAGTCGAAAAAATTTATAACTACTAATTTATGTTGTCCAAGAGGCCAGCATCAATAACTAGTATCAGATATTTTAATTACTTTTTTTTATTATGCGAACGGCACGGCCAAGTAAAAACTTAGACAATTATACAATTCCAATTCTTCATCAAGGTCATATTAACTCGTGTATAGAAAAGACGATAAGCGTCACTTGTTAAATAAACTTTTGAAAAAAAAATTGTTAAAATTCAGAATTTTAAAGAAAAAATCATATTTACATTTACGCTCAAAAGAAACAGTTAATGAAATAAAAACGAATACCCACCGACATTGTGAGGAAGATGTGGCTGCTTGTTGAGCCAGTCCTTTATTGTAACGAGGTCTTTGTTATACTCCACTTCTTGATCGGGCATGATTCTGTAAAAATGGAACAATTTTTTTTAAATAAATGCATCACATATAAGAAAAGACCTATTTAAAAGCTTTTGCTGTGGTAGCGTGTGGTTTTAAAAAAATAAATTTATACAGAATAAAAAGTATTATGTATGTTAAACCGACAGATAAGGTATCATTTAAATATGCAAAACCGTGCTGCCGCCGTGAGATGTGATATTATTCAGGTATAGAAATATAAACAATGCTTTATGGTGTTTTCTTTAGCTTAAACATCAATATCTTGTGTTTTATCTAATGAAACCGTTGCTTAAATGACAAATAAATAAACGCAAGAAACAAGAATATATTCCCTAAAAAGGTAGTCACGTGTACAGACGATTTAACTGGTATTATATCACGTTTAACCAGATCTCATTAGATTTATCGTGACAGGTTCTTGTGGCGACAATTATCAATGTGCAAGGAATATGTAGCTACAAGATCGTAATAGACATGTTGCGATGATTATGTCATATCTGTATAATGATCTTGTGTATACGCGATAAATTAATGTATTGTAAATTAAACTAGTTAATGAACATTATCCCGTTAATTTCTTAAGTTCTCGACATTCCAAGCACTTTACAACATCTTTGGTCACGAATGTTTGTTAACTGTTTCAAGTTTTAAGTTCATAGTTAGGTTTTTGAATTTATTTTTTACAGATTAATATCTCCGAATGCTTCAGTGTTAGTGTGTGTACTTGAATTTAATATTACGATTGTAGGGCCAAAACTACTGGTAACACAAAATCTTCTTCTATGTTGAAATTAGGATGTTTATTTATTAATTTATGGGAGGCCCTTGTTCAGCAGTGGACTCACTACCGGCAGAAATTATGATAATTTATTAACTTCAGCCTCGCGAATTTAGCTTGGAAGAGAAGAAGAATTGAAGGAATTTAGCTTGATCGGAGGTCTAGCACGGTTGAGGCTTTTTAAATCAAATACACGACTACTAGGTTGATATAAAAAAATATTAGGTTGGGGCGAACACTATGGCGGTCACAAACTACAGATCTCTTCAACCGTCGGAGATTCACATGAACCATATGCTACTTTGACACGCCATCAGTCAAACTTGTAGAATTATGGATATGCATAACACTTGATAGAGAGGTAGACGGTGGTAGATTTTTTGTTGACGTTCATAAAGAGCTTAAGTTAGGCCTATATTGAACAAATATACTTTGACTTTGACTTTGACTTGACAAGTGCCTTCGTAGCTGCGTTGATAGGACCAATCGAAACATTGACTTTATTGCGGCTCAGTGGCGACTTTTGGGCGGTCCGTGACCTATATCGTGATCGTGATTGCTCATAAGTTCTACTAGTGACCTTAACAACAAACTCAACCCTATAAACAAGCACTATTTTTTATTAACAAAATATCACAGTAGGTGATATTTTGTTTGGAATAGAACATCAATGAAATGCGAAAATTAATTATTGGATATTTTACATTAAAGAATCACTGTCTTAAAGTTGTCCAAAGATACCGCACCACGTAGCAGCGACCACTGTTCGGTAAATGTTCATGCCCGTCCGGAATCCAGGCTCACAGATGACCGTTAAGTGAAAGTATTATACTTTTGCTTTTCTGGTAAGCGAGGTAACCGGGGCCCGCTTTTTTAAAGGTTGCCATAATTTCTGCAGTTTAACGAGTGCTGAATATTTCAACCACTAACGGCGGTTGTGACTTAATATGTGAGTGGACCGCTTGCTCGATTGCCATGTTCTCACTTAAGCAAAAAAAATCCTTTGTTTTCAGTAAAACACTTGAGCTTTTACGTATTTCCCTTGTTTAAAGATTGCCTTGTATTGCCAAATATTATGAAATCTTCGCCGCCATCAAATTTGATACATGAATTTAGATAATGACATCAAGTTACAACAGCGCTGTCGCGACCTTGTCATGTGCCGATTAGAAGCGCTATTTATCTCTACGGAACGTTACTTATTTATAAAACTTTTTTTAAGTATAATTTAATTGATTTATAAAGCTTTTTTTTTTAAATATAGTTTTATTAAGTAATTCGTCAGTCTTTTAAACTTTATAAGCCCAATGAGGGCAATAAAGTCACCTGAATCTTTTTACCTCTTCTCATGCCCTTATCTCATCAAGGTGAGGTCAGCACCATGTAATTTATGTTGTTAAGTATTGGCTAGGATTTTTACAAACAGCCGTTGGTTGACGTCAGGCGGCTCTATTTATTTAAAAGGCTGTTTATTCCTAGTTCTCAGGCTTGAATAAACACCCATGTCCAGAACAAATATCTATGGAGCATACAAATAGTTTTCCTGTGTGAGAAATGAACCCACGACTCACGACGCTGAACCCGATACCTTAGCAACTGCCTCACCGAATTATCAATCATCTTACTACGAATATGATTTCAGTAACCATCATCCCTCTTGCAGAAGTTCAATCACAAAAATTTACACGCCATAGAAATTTCATGATCAGACTATTGCTTGGGAATTAAGTTCTCATACACATAACATATTTAAGACACATGTATTGTCTGAATGAGACATACTATGGTTTTTGAGTGTACTCAAAAACGGAGAGTTCGCTCAAACGTTAAGTGACGATCGCCTCCCATAGATTTACGGAACACCAGGGAAGTTGCTACGATTTTGCACCATCGGTTGTGTATCGGACCGAACATATCGCTTGGGACAAAATTGCTTGTGGGCGACAGACGATGACAAGTAAATCAAACGCAGCGTGAACAATAAAGATTGCTTTGCAGGTGTTTTTAATTTTTATGTACGATGAAATTAATCGGAACAATTCCCCACAATGCCACTTTCGGTTAATACGTTAAAATATTCAGAGATACAACGTCTCATCGCAAGGCGTCTCTAAGATGGTCGATGTAATCAAATGGACGAGACTGGTTTGTGTAAAATAATTAATCAGTAACACGTGCACAATAAGCAATGCAATTTTTACATGTGAATTTAAAAAAAAACGTTTGTAGGAAAACTTTATTAAATTTTCTCTGTTAATGTTTCGGAAAAAAATGTATTGCACATATGTTGCAGGCTTTTATCATGGACGCTGACATATTGAACGATTGCGACGAATCGGACAACTATTTCAACTTTTCGGATTCTTCATCAGACTTAATCTAGGAATTTTTTAATAACTATGAACTGAATAATATATAATAAATAAAATAACATATATAAAAACCTTTATTTTTTATAAAAACCTTTAGAGCCGTGATAGCTCAGTGTCCGGGCGCTCGCCTTTACTTCAATATACTCGAGCAACCTGAGTTCGATCCCCGCTGCCGGCACCAATGAAGTTTTCAACTAAGTGCTGACTTATCACGTGCTCCGCGGTGAAGGAAAACATCGTGAGGAAACCTGCGTATTTTCGAAATAATAACAAAATAAAAATATTTCGAAGATATGTGAAGTCCGCCAATCCGCAGTGGGGCCGCGTGGTGGACTATGCCCTGATACCCTCTGTATAGAGGAGGCCTTTGCCCAAGTATGGGTGGGACATGTATAGGCTGTTATTTTACTTAACCCTTTTAAACTTACTAAAAACCTTTGTTCTTTGGGCAATTCCTTTCAACATAGTTCACTACACTATTTTTATTACTGAGAAACTTACAGTTATTCAGTAATTTTCAAAGCTAAATAATAGGCTTCTTTAAAAAGTAGACAAATGAACCTTACAAGAGCAAAATTTTAGATCTTTAAAATTTTAGATAACGCCAAATTTTAAATATTAATCACAAGTGACCAAAGACAGAGCCTTCGACATGTGTCCCCTCGAATAAATTTATGAATAATGGATTTTGATGACTTCGGCAATTTTGTGGCAATTTTATCTTTACATTTTCAAGTTTCTTTTTAAGTAAAAAGGCAAGCACCAAAAATTTTTCATTAAAAAGCAAAATTATTCATCTATAATAGTTCTGGTATTATAATAAAAACGAAATCAATTTCGACGACAAGAGATTATTTAATTAACTTATTTTTTTTAATTAACTTTTCTGCAAAATGGCTTCACGATAGATTAACATGAACAAATATAATTTCTTGAACTTCAATGAGCAATAAAAAAAACTGCTTCTTAAAAGAATAATAGAAAATATTTAAATTACACTTGAAAAACATAATACTTATTCCGTATTGTCTTAAATATTAGTCAAGTACACCTCACTATAATTGTTAAAAGGTGACAAAAAAGTTGGGAGTAATTATACGTTGTATAAAAAATATATTCAATTTACTAACACTGTAGTAATAATAGAAACAAAAAATTATTATTACCCTTCATCAATTCAAGAACAAGATTATACATATAGAAGAATTGCGGACACATAGTTTCTAGGATGTTAACAATAACTGACGTGTACCATTGTGATACCCTTCGGTACATTTATGGCCGGTATGTTAATAACAAGCATTGTTTTATAAACTATCTTTATATCAAGCAGGAATTCATTTGTTATCAAATAGTTCGTCAACAAGTCAAAATGTTTGTAGTCTGTATATAACCAAAACATAAAAGTTATTTGCATTTTCGTAACTCGTAGCGTTTTCTTTAATTAGCAGTACTTTGCATCACGTAATATGTATTCTTTAATAAAATATACATTACGTCCGAGCGTTCGTTTCGGACCCCATGGGACTATCCAAGAGGACCGGGAAAACATCAAAAGTAATATAATAAAAGTTAATTAACTTTTGGGTTGCAGAGCCAAGTTTGGTTTTCGCAAGACAGAAACATACATAGGGTTTCACCACCAATATTAAAAAATAGAATTGGGAAACATCTTGGTATTTCAGTGATTTACAAACACGCTCAAGTATTTCTAATAAACAATCTTATAAATCAAAGCTACGCAGTCATTTATTATTATACATTATACAACACTGCTCGATTCAAGGCCGATGCACGTCGTGATAAAGCAATAATATAGTGTGACAATAGTTCATAGCAAAAGAACAATTAAAAATGCAATATTGGCTCCATTCACTCTGAAATAATGCTCTATATATGTGTACACATCATTATATTTATAGAAAACTTTATAGACTTTATAGACTAATTTATATAATCATCTGAAATATGTTTCCAATTACATTTACATGTCTGATATCTAAAGTAATAACATGTTTAAATAAACTGTTCGATCTGTCCTAAGGATCAATTTTACGGAATTTATTAAATACATTATAGGACCACAATTTTGACAAAAAAAAATTAAATACCTTCACTAAGTATGTAATGTAAATGCAAGGCAGGTGGGATAAGGGAATTTTAATCCGCTGAAAATTTAATACGCTGGTTTTTTATACTTTTAAAAATAAATCACCACTTAGCATAAAGTGCAATTGTCACTATACTTGTGGTATTTGATTAAAAATAAAAAGTAACATTTTAGAGCTTCGTTTCTTCTGTTAATCAGACGCTGCATTCGAATTTAAAACCTTCACATGATCTTGTTTTGAGATACCTACGCGCTTCGTCGAATAATAATTATCTACAAGCGACCAAAACAAACGTCATAAGTCCATGGAAAGCCGTGGTACATTTTATTTAGTATATGAATATATTTACTCTGCTGTGCACTCAAGTACCAAAAAAAGATTCCTTTTTTAAATTCCGGTATGAATATTATATAAGTGAGACTGTGCCTACGTGTATAATACATACAAAAAAGCTAATTAACCTGCTGTATCTCTCATCAAGCTCAACATTAACAAGTCGCTAGATTTTAATGAAACATGTGGTATAATAAATAGTAATGTATAATAATAATATAATACCACTTTGTCCCTCTACGATACAAAGGAATGTTACACAAGTACCAAAATTATTATTATTACAGTGAAAACCTGTCTGTAAGTAGTAAAGTACCCTTACGAAACATCAAAATATTACCAATAATATTATATCTACTGTTATGGTTAAATAATAAACACAAGATCTAATTAACAAAATAATACAATGGCAGCAGCAAATAGGACGAAATCCGGCCAAAGCCTTTAGTTACATCTTACTATACAGAAAGGTCAAAACACATTACGCAAACAAACTTGCTCGCGTACCTACGTGAGGCAAGTGAAGCTCTGTTTGAATACCAATGGAATTGAATGAAAAGGGTCCTCTATTGTGCCACTATATATAACTTTATGTAATATACTGCCTTGTGCGAGTCTAACGCTTTGTAATCATTCATCATAGTATATACCCGGGCTTATATAAACTAGCCTGTACGTATCCCGTTGCTGGGCGAAGGCCTCCTCTTTTGCAGAGGGTTCAGTGTTAGCCCACCATACGGCCCTACTACGGATTGGCGGACTTCACGTATCTTCGAAGATATATGAAGTCCGCCAATCCGCAGTGGGGCCGCATGGTGGACTATGCCCTGATACCCTCCCTCTGTATAGAGGAGACCTTTGCCCAGCAGTGGGACATGTATAGGCTGTTAATTTACTTTTTTTTTACGTATCTTCGAAATATTTTTCTTTTATTATTATTCCGAAAATGTGTAGGGTTATGACCATAGAGCATGTGATAAGTCAGCACATTAAATTAACAATTTCATTGGTGCTGGCACCGTGGATCGAACTCATGTTGCTAGAGTATATTGAATTAAAGGCAAGCGCCCGGACACTGAGCTATTTATGTACCTATATAAGTAGTTACTTCCATCTTTAAAGTAATTAGCAATTAAAATGGCCAGGTGTCCAGAATATTGACCTGATGTTAATAACATCAAATGGATATTAATTTTTATACATTGAAATAGCTTTATCTTCATTATTAAATTACATAAATTAATTTACTCCTAATAAGTACTCTTAATAAATTATAAGACGTCGAAAAACGATTTGAAAAAATCTTACTTCGAATAAATGATTTTGATTTGATTTGATAAGTTATAAATGCCGAATATTCTCACTAAAACTGGATTTCCGAAACGAAGAGATTTAATGATATTATATCTAAATTCACGTCACGCGATTTAATTTACGATTTGGGCAATAGTTAAATTTGAAGAGTAACTGGTAACATCCTACATTATGTAATTATAAAGTTGAACATTGAACTTGAACAAACGTGGAATAGAACATAATTGGTCGTCATGGTTAAGAACTACAAATAAATGTTCTTGAAAAGAATTGAAAGGTAATAACAAAAATTCACTGTCAACATATTTTTATTGTTGTTTTTTGCTCGATCTCTTGGTTTCCGTTTTAAACCTTAATATGAATTATAGTTATAGACACTATAAACATATATTCCTTTTTTTTAATATGTTTTTAAGATATAATTTATTCTGATTATTTTGAGAGAAAACTACTACGGCTGCGATTGTGGCTTCGGCATTAAGAATTGTGAATTCAATTCCCACATGGAACAAGCATTCGTAAAAACCTAGCCAAAAACATTAATGATTCACATGTCTTCTAGACCCACGTAGGTGTGAAAAGGAAAGAGGAAAGAAGAATGTAAAATGAAAGTATTAAAAACACATAATAATAGCGGTCTTTTCATGTGTGAAGCTGGCAGTTCACCTGATGTTAAGTGACAACCGCCGCCCATGTAATACATTTGCAACACCCTAAAGGTTACGATGCGTTGTCAACTTTTAAAAAATTGGTCCCCCGCTACCCCACTCACTCTGTAACAGCAATATTTGCAGTCCTCCGGGAATTGCAAATATTGCTGAATTTCATGTTTTTGTCAAAGTTTCAAATTACAAAAATTTTCTCATTGTCTGTCTGATCGTTTGCTAATTCATCTTATACAAAAATGCACTATCAAAGGAGCGCAGTGGAGATCCGCTCTGATGTATGTATTTGGGAATTTCTTCAATCTAAACTTTTATCTGTCAAATTGACCAAAGATTCGCGACATCACGCATTCTTCTAACCTCGAAACCCCATGGCGAAGAGAAATGTGACGTAATGGAAGAGTAGAAGAAGAACATAGTGTTTTTTTTATGTTGAAAAGTTGCCAAACGAGCAGATGGTTCACCTGATGTTAAGTGAATACCGCCGCCCATGGACATCTGCTACGGGTTAAAGATGCATTGACAACCTTTTGAACATTGGGCACCGGCTGCCTCACTCACCAGACGAAACGCGAAAGTATTTGTCATACTTCCACTTTACGCTGGTCTTCTGTGAGGTCGTGGTACTTACCCGGACGGGCCTGCCCATTCGTGCAACAGCCGAGGCTGCTGCGTGGCCCTACCACCGTAACCTGCTCAAGGGTGCTCCTAGTAAACGACCAGGGTCCAACTGAGGTAGAGTCGAGCAACGAACGGACAGGGTATAGGAGAAAGAATACAATGCGCCGAGAACCTTATCCCTCGTGCCTTAAGCTTGGGCAGCGGTAGGATTACAGGCGAAATCAAGCAACTTGAACCAAGAGGCATGGTTGTTTTATAGAGCTAATTTTCCTAGTCCTTGGGAGAATCGGTAGTCCACGTAAATATTGTTCGAGTAGGAAAACGCGTTGTCTATCATATAACTAGCGTGTCTAATGACAAAGACAAAAAAAACAAGGACCTGGGGACAAAATCTTTTAGCAGAGACTGGATTTGCGGCGGGAGGTTTGACTATCTTTTTACGTGCATCTGTCTTACTATCTTTTTTACCTAGGTAATTCTCGTAGGCCTAGAGTTTTTAAAAGTTCTATATAAATAAACTTAACCGCCCCGGCTTCGCACGGGTGCAATATGTTATACATATAAACCTTCCTCGTGAATCACTCTATCTAGTAAAAAAAACCGCATCAAGATTCGTTGCGTAGTTTTAAAGATCTAAGCATACATATGGACAGATAGACAGCGGGACGACTTTGTAGTGATATATTTATAGAAGATTAGTCCTACTCGCACTTATCTCCTTGTTTCCTTTCATAACGCCTCCAGTGAAGTTCTGTAATAAATGGGATTATGGAAGAAAGTTTTGGCATGCGGTCGGATTTGTTCCAATTTCATGCCGAAGCTATTTAAAAAAGATAAAAGGTGTTTAATGAAAGAAAGCTTTAATAGTCGTTGCAGAATAAGAGACACTTAATACGTTTGTTACAAGTAATATTGTCTAATTCAACTCTGTATCATTATTATAGGACTTATAATTGTTTGTACCTTTACGTTTAGCTGCAAACAGTAAAGAGTAACAGCCCCGAAATATTTAATTAATATTCAAGAAGCGTTCTAATTTTTTTCATTCGCTGAACGTACTCGCTGTGTTATGATGCTATGCCCATCACGTGTAATATCGGATATTTCGTTACATGTTAAAACTCTTGCGCACGTTATGTTGCAAACAGCAACTTCATTACAAAACCATTAATTTAATGTATAATATTCGAACGTAACTATTGGAATCTTGAAGTTTATATATGCTTAAATAAAATAATTATTACATATTTTTTGAAAATTATTTACATGTAATCATTCGAAATTAATTGTCTTTTAGTTGACTATTGGGTGAAGGACAAAATAAAAGTACTATATATCATACTTTTTTCAGCACAATTATTTGAGCATTATATATGTATGTACCGACATATACAAAAAGCTTAAATTTTGTATTTAATTAAACATTATATTATTGTATGTTTTGTTGAGTGTGCTCTAAATGTCAATATACGGACATTTTATAATCATTTTCATTAAAATATTTACAATCAAAAGTTCATAATTCCGACCATAGCATAAGGATTGAAATTTTTTAAAAAACAGAGTCTCTTGATTTATCGCGTAAATTCCAATTAAAGCACACGATTGATTATAATAAATATGAACTCACGAATATTTTTTTATATTGTCACTGGAACGTGTGAGCTCGAACTGGTTAGCGCCGAACGCGACACGGAAATTAAAAAAGCGCGCGAGTCTGCCGGTCGACCGCGCAGAACTGCCGGCGGCAATGCGGCCGCGCCGACGCCCGCCTTTTTTAATTCCTACGCGATTGCAACTACACTGCTTGGATTTGGAACGAAAGTAAAATGTAGTAAGATTGCATGCTTCGGACGCAGGCCAGTTTTATTCCGGTGCGATATGTATGTTTATCTCGAAGTAAGGTGCAATGGATGGAAGGTTTTAGACCATTTAAGGGCATTCGAAAATGGTCTACGTATTTACTCAACCGAAAAACAAAAATTTTGTGAAATCATACACTATAAAGATAATGAACGTCGCTTTTAAGCTTCTTCTAATACAGCTTATTTGCAAAGACATCGTATCTTATCAACACGCCTTTGTTAAATTACTATAGATTTGTGAGAAAAATTGAATATTTTATCATGTTCACTGAATTTACAATATTAAAAATTTTATAATACTCTAGATATCACATTGTAAAACAACGAAAAACAACAACAAAACTTTTTATCGCCAGAACCGTAATAGCTCATTTTCCATGCGCTTGCTTTTAATATAAAATAAATAAATATATGTATAAAATAAATAAATAAATAAATAATTCAATATAGTAGAGTAGGTACTATAGCAACCTGAGTTCAATCGTCGGTGCTGCACCAATAAAATTATTAATTTTAAGTGCTAACTTATAACGTGCTCTATCGTGAAGAACCACAGACCCGATTAAGTGCCACCCCACTATTCTGAGCATGAGAATCACCCGGCACATTAATATGAATCGGATTATGTCTCATGCTCAGAATGGATGTCGAGTCGCGGTCGTGGAACCAAGGAACTGCTTCTCATCGACGCGGTCATTGGCAAAATGATTAAACGCAACCGTAGGAACTTCTCCGCCGCCTGGATAGACTACAAAAAGGCATTCGACTCGGTGCCCCATACATGGCTAATGAGGGTCCTCGAACTGTACAAAGTAGACTGTACAGTAAGAGACTTCCTCGGGCACTGTATGGGGCAATGGAGTACGATCCTTTGTCATCTAAGCGAGCGGATGACGGCTGCGGAATACCGGATAAGGATACGACAGGGTATTTTCCAAGGCGACTGTTTGAGCCCAATATGGTTTTTTGCCTCTCCCTGAACCCTTTCAGCGTGTTACTGGAGGGCTTGGGGAGAGGATTTCAGCTTCGGAGAGGAGAGACTAAAACGTGACCTAAGACTAAAAAGTGTTAAAGTTTTCACATGAATGACCTCAAATTATTCGCCTCCAATCGCTCCCATTTGATGGAATTGCTAAAAGTCACTTGTGATTTCAGCAGTTTTAAGGTGAGTATAGACTACAACATTTACTTGTAACAGAACAACGAGCCGCTCTATGATATGTTCTAGTGTATCATCCTTTCACGAATTATACGTCGAGCACGCTTTCCTTTTTGTTACAAACCGTATTGCATATTGGTGTAACATTTCGTCGAGCGTATTGGTGTAACATTTCGTCGAGCCACGAGTGCGGGCGATGCGTGGATGCGATTTCTATTTTTCTTTTTTCTTCTAATATAATTCATCAAGATAAATGAAGCACACGCAACTTGTAGGTCCGACATTTCAAAAAAGAATGAACGCAAGGTACAACGAAATGTTGGTAAACGCACACTCGCTGTGAGCATTTACCCGTAACATAACGCCGAGCATTCGCAGGAACGTTACATTACATGGAAATGCTTTGGAAACTGAGCTTTTGCGTGTATTGTACCATTCGTAAGAACGTTACATTACACAGAAATGCTCCAGAAAATGTTGTACACTATACTCACCTTTATAGTAGCTCGGGACGGATAAGTGTGCGGTCCTCCATGTCGAAAGAGGTAAGGTCGCTAATACGAAGGGCATAGACTTATCTATGCCCGTTAACATAAGGACCATCCCTGAGGCTGAAACATATCGTTACCTGGGTATGTCACAAAACATGTGTATCGATGAGGCTGGCGTGAAACAGTCAGTTTGTGACGTGTTTTTTGCACGCCTGACAAAGATGTTTAACAGTCATTTGTCAGGCATGAACAAGGCGCATTTAACGGCTGGGTCATACCAGTCCTCATGTATACCTTTGGCAAACTCAGGTGGACTCAAACTGAGCTCAACGCCCTAGACCGAAAAGTCCGCCCAACTATGACATCCCACAGGAGGCATCATCCAAGATCGTCAGTGATTAGGTTGAACCTGCTGCGGAAGCATGGCGTGAGGTTCTTTTTAAGCGCTTTCACCATGCACAATCGCGAGGTGTGCAGCCTCCGTAACTACTTTCTGGCGAGATCGGATGAGTCAATCTACACGGACGGCATTAATTACGATAGAGGACTTACGCCTCTATCCTTTGCCAACGAGCAATGGGAGGACACGGGAGTACTGAGCGTTTCCAATCGAGCGACCGTATGGAAGGAGAAAGAGCTCCACGGGAGGTTCTACAAGGCTCTACACGAGCCTTTCATAAATACTGTTGCCTCCCTTAACTGGCTACGTTTCGGTGACCTCTTTGGGGAAACCGAAGGTTTTGTCTGTGCGATACAGGATCAGGTTATTAAGACGAACAACTATCGGAAATACATCCTAAGGGATGGCACCGTCGACATCTGTAGAGCTTGTCGCCATCCCGAGGAGTCGCTTCGGCATGTTATCTCCAGTTGTTCCATGCTTTCTAACTCTGAGTATCTACATGGACACAACGGAAACTGCCGTGCTATAAGTACTCTCCGGAGGCCGTGCTCGAAAATGACCCCACCAGGCTCTATTGGGACCGGGCATCTTCACGGACAAGACGATTGTCGCGAACAAACCTGATATCGTGGCGATGGACCGGGCACATTCGCGGGTATTTTTAGTCGATATTACCATTCCATATGAAGAAAACCTCGTGAAAGCCAAAACTGATAAGAAGACGAAGTATCTGGACCTGGCTCACGAGGTGACCGACATGTGGGGTGGTGTGCCGGCCGAAATTATCCCGATAGTCGTGTCTGCGAGTGGTTTGATCCCAGTTAGCCTCTCCGGACATCTGAGGCGACTGGGACTCCGGGACGGAACGCTCCAAGCTCAAATGCAGAAGGCGGTGCTCCTCGATACCACTCGCATCGTCCGCCGGTTTCTGTCCCTTTCACCCTAACCCTCGGCCATTTGGTCTCCCCTGCCAAGGGCTTCCGTCTCGTTTCGTCCTATTTATATATGTATTATATACAATATTTATATCTATTTGTTTATTTTTATTCATAATATTTATTTTATATACGCAATATATATCTTATTAATTGTATATCCCTATCCCCCCATAATAATAATAACATTTATTTACAGCAAAAGCACTACAAATTGGAAAAACAATATCAACTCATAAATAACATATACAAATCTTTCCTTAAGTACAATTTTTAATGTATAAACGTAATATCTGTTGCCTTCTCACTAGGCAAGCCTGTATCGAGGAGAGACATATTGCTTTACATATACATTTTTCATCAAGCAGACATTGAGTTCTATTACATGTTACAGAAAAATAAAAATAATACTAGAAATAAAAACGAAAATAATGTACATTTAATGAGAGGAAGGTAAACAAAGAAAGTTTCTTGCTAAATAGGTGTTACGCAATATCGTAATCACACAATATTCTTAACCTCATGTGATCTCTTGTTTTTAATGTCACAATATTTAGCTACTTTGTTGTAGACATAGGTTCTCGCAAAAATGTGAAGTCCACTAATCCGCAGTGAGGTCGTTTGGTGGACTATGTTCTAATACCCACTGTACAGAGGAAGCCTTTGCCATACATGTAGCAATATCGATTCGATTCTGTCCAAATTTAGCCGGTACTCCAGGCCTTTCAACGGTTCAAATTTGAATGACAGGACAAGACGGACACTGTAAGAAAGGGTGAAGTCATATCCCTAAGACTTCAACCCTGTGTTGGAAGATGTGTGTTTTCATGCTTCTGGACTGGAAAGGACCTGGTATTAATGGTGAATATATCAAGCACCTTCAATTTGCCGGTTTCATATTTATCAGTGCTGAATAACTGAAGAACCTTGTTACTGTTACGAGCTAGGGGTTCGGGGTTGAAGCGAAACGCTGGTCATTTAAAACTTCACTTTATTTCCACTACTACCGTGCACGGCCTTTGGATGTTGCTCAAATCCTTCACTTCGCTACTACAGGTGTGACGGCTCTTTGGTAGCGACAGTCCGTACCATAAATAATAAACCGTCATAGTTAGACAGTTGAAATTTTCACAAATGATGTATTTTTATTGCCGCTATAAAAACAAATACTACAGAATAAAAAAATATTTAATTGGGGTTCCCATACAACAGACTTGATTTTATGCCGTTTTTATAGATACGGAAACCTTCGCCTTAGTCCGACTTGCACTTAACCGGTTTTTAATTTGGCAACCTCTACAACAATTTCTGCAACCTGTCAGTTGTTTTACATGTCCATGTGGGGCGCTAATCACTTGTCATCAGTTGAACCACCTGCCCGTTTACCTGTTACCATAAAAAATAAGATAACAGAGAGGAGTGACCCATAACTTAGCAGAATAACCATAAAGGTACCTGAGGCAAAAATACTTTTATCTTTATTTTATATCGATACGAAATTAACTGGTTCTTGTAAAAAAATCGAAAGAATCATAATGGCACCACATTCAGGACGAATATGACCCCAACGGTTCTTATCAATATAGAATTTGAGTGCATTTTAGATTAAATTTTAACTAAGCTATTAGAAGTGTTCCTTTTTTGGCGCGTTGGGAAAATATTATGAGTAAAATTTTTACACTGCGCGCGCAGGCCGACTGTCAAGAAGCGACATGATAAAATTGGATGATGAACTTTACAGTATTACCGTGGTTATGTTTTAATTTATTTTATGGTTATTCAACAGCAAATAGCACAAATACAGACATTTGCTTTTGAAACCGTAGGGCGGGGACCTCTCATATATTATTATTGAAATTATTAATTTTTTAATATATAGAATTTTTTTAAAGGTTTACACGCCTGAGGCTTGGCGCCGCGGCTGGTGACAATAGAGCTACTTCTTTTTTCGCTCAAAGCTAAGCATAACTATTCAGCGAGGAAATGCAGCGTTCTTGGCACCATGCCGCGTGGACAAAGTTTATAAGACAATATTATTTAATTTAGACAGATTTGTGCCTGTTTTCACCATCGATCCCTATCTTTAAGAGACACCTAAAAAATGTAAGATGAAAACGAACATTAAGGCGCTGTATGGAGTAAAAATAGGTTTTTCAAACGTTTTCTCAACGAATATCTATACATTTTATAGGAGAAAAAAAATATAAGTTTATCTTGATCTTACGTTCTAGTGGCACATTGTTTTCAAAACATATTCTCGATATATTTTCTCGATACAAAAAAATCATAAAACTACCTCTACTCAACCTCAACTCAAGAGAAATTCAAATCCCAAAATAAACTTAATACTTTAACAATCTTAATATAATTAATATCAGTGGTGTAGAATATTATAATAACCTTTCGCGTTTCGACTGGTGAGTGTTAGTAGTAGTAGTGTAGTTTAAATTTTTAACGTCATCTATTTTGTCATTAAAATATTTAATTTTTCACCCTAAAACGGAAATTCATTTTTTAGACAAAAAATTATTGTTTCATCATTTTTTTTAATTAATTTGTTTATTTCCCACATTGAGCCATTTTATGAAATGAAAAGAAAATAATTAGTTGGTTAACAAATTAAAAGTGAAAATAATATAAAGAATACATATATGACGTAGGTTTGAACATGGGACTACAGCAATAGTTTACTGTTGTATTCATGACGCTCGGACCAATAAGCTACGCGAGGTCTATAAAAAGTGACAAAATTTCGATTCTAGTTATAAATAATTAAGAATTTCATCGATTTTTTTCAAATTTCATTTTAGTAGTGGTGTAAGTATAATACTTTCACCTTTCGTCTGGTGAGTGAGGTGGCCGGAGCCCAATTTTAAAAAGGTTGTCAACACATCTGGAACCCAAGTGTAACAGATGTCCATGGGCGGCGGTTTTCACTTAACATCAGGAGAACCGTCTGCTCGTTTGGCACTTCTCACATAAAAAAAAGTTGAAAAACTAATATATCGTAGTAAGTCTTGAACTTTTAAAGAATAAATTAAAATTTATAATATGAAAAAGATATGTTATAAAAAAGACGTATTCGTAATTTCTGCAAAATTTATATGAGCCATTTCTTTAAAACCACAAAAACAAAAACTAAATCATTTTTCGAATATTATTGTTTTGTTGTACAATGTAATTTGCCTTTATTAATTTATTTGACTTTAAGATGTATTTTTAATCAATTCCTTTTCCAGTTAATTAAAAAAATAATTAACAGGAAGATTTTCTAAAATCATCTGTATACATTTTCGAAAATCTCCCACGATATTATCGATAGTATCCTACGGCCCACCACTAATAGGTAATGAATGAAGGTCACGCGGCGCGTCGACAAACCTCGCGCGGTACGCCCCGCTAAGCGGGGCTACCCGTCCTCCGCTTCCCCATACTTCACTACCCAAATAGTTAAAAATTCACTGCATACAGCGCCTTAATTTTGTAAATATAATATATCTAATATATTATTAGATTTAATTCCTTGGGGTCTTCAGTTCCAACGGGCTTGAGGTGGCCTGGCGCACGGGCCGCCTAGCCTGAACCTCGGCGTATTATTATTTCGATACACACACATTTTTTTCTTAATTTTTTGTCTTAATTATATATATTGTGTCAGAAAAAGAACTCGATTTTTATCCAATGCATCGATTTTTCTAATCGATACATCGTATAATACACAGTCTCGATGTATTACAAAAAAAAATCATCCATGTAATTATAAAGTTCTATCAACTCGGTTTCTATTAGACTTTGCGACTCGAGTCCGACTTGACCTACAAGTAATATGCATATAGTATATATCAGGGTGACGCTGAAAGTTTTTAGAACAATTAGGACCATTGCCAATGGAAACTTCTTTTAAGTTTTAAATATAGTACTCTCAGTGATATAGTGCTATGCGACGCATAATAGAGGAAGATTCGGACAGCTTAGGTATTGGTATGAGTAAAGTACAAAAAATATTACACACGACCATTTAGGCGTCGGGATACTTTGTACCTTGATACTGGATACTTTAAACTTTTTGATATTTAACTCGAGTTCCAAGTTATTTAATTATATGATTATCAATTGTATCCAATGTCTTTTTTCACAAACAAAGAGTACTGGAGCACGGAATAAAATTTTTAATTATTTATATTTTGTTACATTAAAGAAGTATATTTTCTTACGTGCGTACATAAGTACACATATAAGTTTATTTTATTTCTAAGCTATTACATAACTTTTATCGCGGGCTTTGAGCGCGGCGACCGAATCAAGAAATTCCATTAGGAAAATAAAACCTCCGCCTAACATGTAGCTCGGCTGAGCGTTCGCTTAACGTGTATGTATATGGTACGACTGTACGAATGAAGCTCGCACGCATGGATATTATAATACGATATTATAATATTATATTATCATGTGATGATATGACATTTAGAGGATATCAAGTCTCAAACTTATGTTTCTTATTTCAGTTACCATAATCCTATAGTTTCAATGACAAAAATTCCTGATTAATCTACATGTATTGTAAGATAATAAAAATATTATAAACGATATTAACTTTTCATTTATTCAATAAAAGAAAAAATGCTTTTCTTTCGATCACCACGCTCAAAAAGTGTAACTTGAATTAATATCAAAGAAAAAAAATAATGCATAAATAATTAATTATAATTGCATAAGTTGATAAAAAATGCTATGCAATAGCTTTACTGCGTCAGTCTCCGAGTGCCACCCATTGTATTTTATACACTTTGATTAGTGTAACATCGATAAAAATACACAAAATACTGTAAATAAAAAATAATGTAGCATGGGGCGAGAGACAGCGTAACTCTTAGCGGGAAAAATGATCTAGTTATTAAGATAATCATCTGAAACTCTTCAATAATTATTTAAATATACTGCCGCCGAAAGTGGTTATAACTTTCAGTGGAAAACAAAAAAAAAACTCTTAGCAGGGTACGGGGGTCAATATTGAAGGGAAGTTCACACTTGTGGCGGATGAAAACAACCGCCGCGTCTATTTTAAATTTAGCGCGCAAAAGCGCGCGACTCGCGCTTTGCAAAGGAGTCGCCTCTGATTGGTCGGCGACCGGGGAGTTACCTCTGCCTCGAGACTCGCCGCTGAGAACACAACGGTCTATTTGCTTTTTTAACAATAACATTATTTTAAGGGTGAAAATATTGTGAACATATCTAAAGTTCTTCTGATGTAAATACAATTAATAGTGAGCACATTTGTGAGTTTTATTTAATGGCATTCCGCATTATATCTTGCCATATTGGTGACCCCGACGTGATCAGAAAACGTTTCGCCCTCGTGAATTTTTTTTTTTCAAATTGTGAAAATCTAATTCAGAGAATACGTATACCGGAGAGGACATTTTCACGCTGGAGAAGCTATCGCACAGCTATATATCTGATTCCATGCACGGATTACGCTGATGGAAAAGGATTGTTCCTGAGAACAAGCGGCGTGACACGGCGGTTCTCATCTGCTCCCTTGATGTCCATATCTCCCACACTGGACGAGCTGGCCACCCCTTGCAAGTTCATGCCGGCATCTGCCCTGCAGTTGAGGTACCTATCTGGTCATCTGAGGTACGTTCCGGTAGCGGCACGGGCTACTTTCTTGCCCTGCCCGTTCTCCTTCTAACATTTTCACAGTGGTGAGTGAACACACACAGTGCTAACTAATTACAAACAATAACGATTAACTTTCTAACAAGTGTCAGTGTAATCCAGGACTTTTTACAAGCATTTTGCCTTTATAAACTTTCTGCAGTGAACGGTGAAGGAACTTTTTCTCCCATTTTCCCCAGACCTTGCCACATTTGAATGGACAATTTAAATTTAACTTTTATTTTCTTGGCTCTATCACATAATACTATGATATTTCTCATTTATTTTATTTTGTGTGTTATACTTTTATGTTTATAATTTTTGTTTATAACATATTTTTTTTTGGTTTTGGTGTTTTATAACAACTTTTAGACTAATATAACTGGACTAATATATAATATACTGTACAATAACTTTTATAACTAACCTACCTGTGCTAAATAGTAACTTTTAACTATTTTTAAATTACTTACCATCGAACTCATTAACCGCCATTGGAAATTTTAATACTTGCATCGCTGGGCAGGAAATTATTAGAAATTTTAATTTAATTTTTCTTTGCATTTTTTTGTTTGTATATGTTTTGTTTGTTTGACACCATTTGTCCTTGGGTATAATTGTATGTTTTTGTTCATTGTTTGCCAATATTTTACAAGTTGTATATTAGTAAATATTTAATTTTAATGTTATTCGGTTGGTTTTATAATGGAAATTTAATTTGTTGTTGTTGAATGTTATGTGCACTATTTGACTATTATTTTGCAAGTTACCTTTTATTATAATATTGTTTAGTGCATTATTATTATTTTTTAATAATGGAGGAGGAATTAAAGCAACAGATTGCAGAGCTTAAACGGCAGGTAAAGCAGGTAGTAACACCGAACAAAATGTAGGAGCAGTCAGTGTTAAGTTGTCTCCGTTTTGGCCCAACAAACCAGCAATTTGGTTCGCACAGGCTGAGGCACAGTTCGAAGTCGCAGGCATTACCAAGGATGCAACCAAATATGGTCACATCCTTTCAAAGCTGGAACCTGATGTGGCTGACGAGGTGGAAGATGTCATTGCTCATCCTTCAGCAGATGACAAGTATGAAAACTTGAAAACCGAGTTGATCAAACGATTTTCAGTTTCCAGAGAGCAACGCATTCGCCAACTTCTAGGCGAAGAGCAGATGGGCGACCGCAAGCCTTCTTCTTTTCTTCGTCACCGGCAGTCTTTGGCAGGAAAAGGAGACGATGGCATTGTACGCGAGTTGTGGATGCATCACCTGCCCATTGACGTCCAGCGCATCCTGATGGCTCATCAGGACTTACCATTGAGCAAGCTTGCTGAGCTAGCTGACGGTATTGTTGACGTTGCCCCCGGTAAAAGCGCTTTAGTTAATTTTGCTTCTGCGGTTCCCACCCTACCCGACTTTAGCCAGTTTATGAAACGCCTCGACGAACTGACACAGAAGGTCGACGCTTTGAGCAGAAGTTACGCAGGCTCTCGTTCGCGGAGCAGCTCACACTCCCGGCCTCGTTCTGTATCTCGGCACCGCAAGTCGGGCGCTTGTTGGTACCACGCCAAATTCGGTACCAAGGCCGCCAAATGTTTGACTCCATGCACATGGAAACCCGATCAGACGGGAAACGCCCTGAACAATCAGTAGCGGCGTCTGATTGTGAACTTAGTACTAGCCGCCGTTTGTTCATTAAAGATACCGAGTCGGGTCATCGATTTCTTATCGATACCGGATCGGATATTTGCTGCTTTCCCCGCCGACTTCTTCGCGGTCCCTCCAGAGCTTCTGGATTCGATGTCCGCGCTGCTAACGGGAGCATAATTAAGACATACGGCTTCCATATCCTTCGTCTCAACTTTGGACTCCGTCGAGAATTTAGATGGAACTTTGTTATAGCAGATGTTGGTACTCCCATAATCGGAGCTGACTTTCTCGCTTATTACAATCTGTTGCCAGACTGTTCTAAGCGACGATTACTAGACGGCGTTACAAATATTTCCGTCACTGCCACTGTGGTAGCTATTAATCAACGAAGCGTAAAAACTATCATTACTGACAATTCCGTTTTCTCCAAAATATTACAGGAGTTTCCAGAACTGACGAGACCACCCGGATTTCCCCGCGTTGCGAAGCACAACACCGTCCACCACATTTTGACCACAGACGGACCACCTGTCTGCAGTCGTCCCCGCCGGCTCGCACCTCAAAAGCTCAAGGTAGCCAAAGCTGTTTTCGAGGACATGGTAGCTTGTGGTACAGCCCGCCCCTCTCAGAGCCCATGGTCTTCGCCTCTGCAGATGGTGCTCAAGGATAAACACCTTGACATTCCATCCACCTCGCAGGACCGCTGGCGACCATGCGGCGATTACAGGGGACTCAACGCACGGACGATTCCCGATCGTTACCCAGTTCGACACATCGGAGACTTTGGTAGCAACCTAGCCGACTGTACTATCTTTAGCAAAATAGATCTGGTTAAGGCCTACCAACAAATCCCTGTCGCACCTGAAGATATAAGCAAAACTGCCATTATTACACCTTTCGGTTTGTATGAATTTTGTTTTATGTCTTTTGGTTTGCGCAATGCTGGACAAACCTTCCAGCGCTTCATTGATGAGGTAACCAATGGCCTAGACTTCGTGTTTCCCTATCTCGATGACATACTCGTTTTCTCACAGACCCCCGAGGACCATGTTGACCATCTTCGCGCTCTATTCAAGCGCTTATCGCAATACGGTGTTGTTGTCAACCCATCGAAATGTGTGCTTGGCGCAGATGAAGCAACTTTCCTCGGATACAAGGTTAGCAAATCGGGTACTTGTCCGCCTCCTGAGCGCATCGAAGCCCTGCGGGATTTCCCTCCACCTAAAACAGTTGAAGGCCTCCGCAGATTCTTGGGTATGGTGAATTTTTACCGCCGCTTTCTGCCACATGCTGCAGAACTCCAAGCGCCGTTAATCGACAGTTACGTGTCGGGTCAGCTTAAAGGGTCGCAACCAGTTCCGTGGACACCGGAGCTCCACACCGCGTTCCAGAAATGCAAGGACCATCTTGCGAATGCGACGCTTCTTGCCCACCCTGTACCCGACGCTAAACTTGGTTTATTCACCGATGCTTCGTCCACCCATGTTGGCGCTTGTTTACAACAGCTCGTTGATGACTCCTGGCAGCCTCTCGCCTTCTTTAGCAAGAAGCTCAAAGCCGGCCAGACAACCTGGCCCGCCTACTACAGGGAGCTGCTAGCGATTTACGACGCTGTCCATCATTTTCGCCATATCATGGAAGCTCAACATGTGGTTATATACACGGATCATAAACCATTAACGTACGCCTTTTCACAAAAACGAGAGAAGCTTCCACCCGTCCAGCTCAACCAGCTTTCTTTCATATCCCAGTTTACAACTGACATCGTTCATGTACATGGGAAAGAAAACGTAGTTGCTGACGCTATGTCACGTGTGGAAGCCGTCCATATACTCGATGACTTCGCTGCTCTCGCTGCGGAACAGGCAACTGACGACGAAATGCAGAGGATGCAAACTAACTCGTCCCTAAAACTAGAAAAAGTATTTGTTCCTGGTTCCGACGTTGAAATTTTCTGTGACGTCTCCACGGGTAAACCTCGTCCATTTCTTACATCTTCTTTTCGCCGTTCTTACTATGACAAAATTCACAATCTCAGCCACCCCGGCGCGCAGGCAACCGCACGCATGGTAGCTGAGCGTTTTGTGTGGCCGAATATACACAAAGACTGCTACAAATAGTCTCGTGCTCGTACTGCTTGTCAACGCAGCAAGATTTCTCGGCACACATCGACTCCTCTTGGTAATTTTTCTGCACCAACCGCACGATTTTACCACGTACATATTGACATCATTGGCCCTCTCCCTTCCAGTAAGGGATTCCAGTACTGTCTGACGGCTGTCGACAGATTTACTCGGTGGCCAGAGGCTTGGTCAATGGTCAACACGACAGCGGAGGAGTGCGCAGAAACCTTTTTTAGAGGTTGGATCGCTCGTTTCGGCGTGCCCACCATCGTGACGACCGACCAGGGTCGTCAATTCGAGTCGTCTCTTTTTCAGACCCTCATGCAGATGTGTGGCAGCAAACGCGTTCGCACTACAAGTTACCACCCGTGCGCGAACGGCCTCGTCGAACGCATGCACAGGCAACTTAAAGCCGCTTTGATGTGCCACGAGGAAACATGACACAAGTCGCTGCCTGTGGTCCTACTCGGCATGTGCGCAGCTCTCAAAGAGGACCTGCAATGCTCACCGGCCCAGCTTGTTTACGGGGAACCCCTGCGCTTGCCCGGTGAACTCATTGCCCCTTCTCCAGCTCCAGATCGCGTCGAGGACTTAACCAACTTCGCCACTCAACTCCGCCTGCAGATGGCACGACTGAGGCCAACACCTGCCTCCCGCCATGGTCAACAGCCAGTCTTCGTTTCGAAGGACCTCTTGACTGCTACACACGTCTTCTTGAGAGATGACACAGTCAGACCTTCTCTCAAGCCGCCCTACAGTGGACCTCATAAGTTAGTGTCTAGAACGGAGAAGACAATAACGATCACTGTCGGTGACAGAAACACGCAAGTGAGTCTTGACCGTATAAAACCGGCATACATCGTAGACAATTCGGTACCGTCAGCACCTGGAGTTCGAACTGCTAACTCACCTGCTTCGCCTACTCCAGCTGCAACTCCAGTTGTCCCAGCTGCGCCTCCTGCTTGTATTAAACACTCCGCACCACCTCCTTACACTACCCGCTCAGGTCGTATTTAGATTAAGAATTTATTCCATGTTTAGCTTTTATTTTTTTTGGATGGGCTAATTTTCTGCCTAGGTGATGTGGCGGATGAAAACAACCGCCGCGTCTATTTTAAATTTAGCGCGCAAAAGCGCGCGACTCGCGCTTTGCAAAGGAATCGCCTCTGATTGGTCGGCGACCGGGGAGTTACCTCTGCCTCGAGACTCACCGCTGAGAACACAACGGTCTATTTCCTTTTTTAACAATAACATTTTAAGGGTGAAAATATTGTGAACATATCTAAAGTTCTTCTGATGTAAATACAATTAATAGTGAGCACATTTGTGAGTTTTATTTAATGGCATTCCGCATTATATCTTGCCATACACTTATTGGACTACGACACCATAACTTTTAAATCAGAGCAACTGAAACACTAATAGTAGTTATGTTATAACCTTTAGATAATTAAGTAATTATCATTGATTCAAGTTTTATAATAATACATCGATACATCGAGTAAATCAATAGGCAACAAAGCATCAGATTGATTCGATGCATCGTACTGTAACCATCGAGTGAATTAGGTCATAAGTATGTACCAGATAGCAGATTCAGATTTAGAATCAAATTCTGCATATGCTCTGTTAATATGTCCGTCGTCTATAAAATTACCCTGTATATGTAAACCAGTTTCGTAACTTTTTAACAGATTTGAGACGAATAAAATGTTAAATGACATTGAATATATTTATTTTAAAAGCTGTTGGAATTGATATTTTCTGGTTATTTGTTGTCAAAATAAAATATTAATATTTTTTTATGAATTATGGAATACTCAATTAACATTATGTCAAAGAATGTACTTCGTCTAAAATATCATCGTTTAAGAAGTGAAATTGATGTAATCGATCTTTCGATTATAAGAAGAAAAATAATCGATTAATATGAAAATCGATTATTTTTACATCCCTAGTTTTCGCTGGTGTTATTATTTATTAAATTGTTTTAATTTAACTGTAAATTAATCGGATAATCTAAGGTAATGTGTAGACTTTTTAAATAAGTGTTTACAAAATGTTTACTATTAAAATAAAACACCTTATATATGTGTCTGAAAGAATTATTATACGAAACTTGAGAAACAGACGACCAGAGGTTAGGGGACAAAATCCCGGATTAAACAATAGAATCCAGGCATTTCAAGAGCAAGGTATTAAGATAGAAGATGAAGATGCAGAGGAATTTGTCGAATCATCGGATAGCAATTTTTTTAATGCAAGTATATCTCGAATTTTTAAAATTTTACTCAAATTTTACAGTCATAACACACTTTGATAATCTTGTAGGTGGGTGGAGCTTATGATGAACATTTAAATGAGACATTAATGGGCAAATATGATCTTCAACATAAAATTGTAAAGCAAAAATATTTTAAGGATAACTTGCCCAATCTGTTAACTTGGAGTGAAAAAGAACAAATCCGCCATCTGGCAACAGCACATCCAGATGAGTGGACACCAGAAAGAATTGCAGAAAGTTTTCCAGTTACAGCTCAAGTTGCCAAGGTAATTAAGTTTATAAATCTTAGAATTGAGGAACAATGAAGAGATTAAGTAGCACTTGACCACTTAAGTGATTGTGCCAGTCTTCCATTTGAGTCTATTAGGCTAGTCACTTATATCAGTACATTTAGCTAGTATGTGGTAATTTTTATTGTAGGTTCCTACTAATATAAGAAAACGATTTGTAAAATTTCAACCATCGGAAATGAATAGTTTCGGAGATGTTAATTGTAGAATTATTGATTAAAAAGACTACATGGCTCAGTTTTCCATTGACATCCACCAGGTTTTACAGAAAGGTTTTACATTATTATAAGCACACACGCAAAATTTCAACATGCGAAAACGCGTAGTTTTTGAGAAAAAAAAAATTAAAACATGTTATTTTTACCGTGCAAATGTGCGGGAAGTCGATGGATGCAGGTGGCTCAGGATCATACTTTATGGCAGTCTATGGGGGAGGCCTATGTTCAGCATTGGACTCAAACAGGCTGAAATGATGATGATGATGATGATTTTCACCGTAAAATCCGCCATTGCACTAATTTGACTTCAAAAACTGAATACACTTTACTGCCAACATGATAAATATAGGGAAGCGAGCGATGTTATACTTGTATCGATTGTAATACAATTTATTAAAATTTTTTGAAAAGGTTAATGAGTCACAGATCACAGAGCAATCCGACTGGGATAGTTTAGGTTAGAAGGTTAAGGTAGGAGAGCAGCTCCCGCCTTATCCTTCATGGTTTTTTTTTTATTATCACCCAGAACCTCAGTGTAGTTTTAGTATTTTTAAAAACTCTTTTTTTTAATATGGTGGATGATTTTTACATAAATGGCCTTGCAACAAACTTGAATTCAGAACCGTCTTTGTCAACCCCAACATACTGTGGTCTTGGTCTATCCTACCCCTAGTGTTTTTAGACCCCGGAGGCACGGAGGGTGGGCAGTCCCCTAAATTCTGAGCCCCTAAAAAGGAAATATGTATAAAATTGCAGAATTTAAAGATTTTATTAGTATAATCCAATAAGACATATTTCCCTTTTAAAAATTCATAAAAAATCTTTGCATTTCCGACGAACTTCCCCCCCCCCCCCTTGGGGGGTTCCTAAGTTTTCACTAGAGCATAGTCCAAAAAATAACAGTTTAATATCAGTATAAATAGACAGTGACTTCATGCAAGAAATTCAAAAACTTGAATAGATTTACAAAAGAAAAGCCTATTTCTACTAAGTAAAAAAAATAAGTGAACTCAAACAGGCAAAAACAAATACAGGAAAAAAAATAATGTACATAAAAAAATGTTTGGCTATTTTCCATTTTCTTTATCCTTACTTGAATAATATAATAGAATAAAAATAACATTAGAAGCTTTAGATATTCTAAAGTTTTTAATGTTATTTTTATTCTATTCAACTTCAAATATATGTATATTTCACGGAATATACAACAAGAAATCGCAAATTTTTTAAACACAATCCCAATGCCCACTGTTATGACTATTATTGATTCATAAGAGTCATGATCAGTGTCCGGGTGCTCACATTTAATGCAATAAACTCGAACAACCCGAGTTCGATCCCCAGTGCCGGCACCAATGAAATTGTACATTTCAACTGCCAAATTATCATGTGCTCAGCGGTGAGAGAAAACATCGTAAGGAAATCTACATATTTTCGATATAATAAAACAAAATTTTTCGAAGTTATGTAAAGTCCTGCCAATCTGCAGTGGGGGCTGCATGGCGGACTTTGCCCAGCATTGAGACATGTATAGGCTGATACTTTACTTTACTTTTAATATTAATACATTTTAAGTATTATAAATTTGTATAATTTTTCAGAAATTGTTGAAATATCCCTGGAAACCTGCTACTGACGAGAGGATTGCACGCCATGATGCTTCTGCTCTGAGAAATTGGAAAGATTTGAAAGAGAATACACTAAACATACCAGAAGATTTACGTAAACACCTTTTGAAGTTCTCAGAGCGTAAAATACCCCCATTAAATAAAAAGTCAGTGAAAGTTGATCTAACACAGACAAAAAATATTGGTCAATTTGAAGAAATAATACTTAGATGTTCTAAACAATATAATGCTGAAAAGACTTCAGAAAAAGTTGATAGTAGTGAAAATATATCTAATAATGCTAGTAACATAAAAGTCAATAAAGATCCCCAGAGAATCACTTTAGATAATTTGACAGCACAAATTAAAAAAAGATTAGATGGTGGTGATTGTGTAGATATGCCTGACAAAATAATTATTGAAACAGTTAACAAGAACAATGTAGAAATTGAAAATAGCAGTGTTAAACTTATGAGTTCGGAGTCAAAAGGAGCAGAATTGAAGGAATATCAAGAAGATAATGATCAAATAAACCCATTTGACTATTCAGAAAGGATAAGAATTCCAAAAAACATGTATAAAAAAGGAGCCACATACAAAATTAAAGATTGTTATTATGACCATGATGGAAAATTTTTATATCGCGTTTTGGGCGCATCTCAATAGTTATAGATGGTAGTTGAAAATAAAACCTCTAATATTGAAGCATTATTTTTTTATACAAAAATTATATGCATTCATTTACACTAGTCCATTATTGTAAAATAACTTAATTTCAATCAAAAACATATTTCTATGTGTACACACCAAAATTATTGCATCTTTGATTATGATACTTAATTTTTAACAGTACTATATGTCATATTTAACAAATAATAATGCAATTAGTTATGTATAAAAATACATTACACATGCGAAAAACAATTCATTTTAAGCTAAACTCAAGATATGGCTGTTTAGATCACTTTCATTTTTCTAGAACCCTAAATCTTAGGACAAACCAAGTGTATAATAGACATTTAAAAAGATTCATAATATTCAAATAGCAACTAATTTTACCATGAGCCAATGGATACATTTAGTGATGCTATATATTTTTTTTTAAAGAAAAAATTTAAATATAAGTTAACATAAAATTGTAATTGTTATACATAAATGTGTAACTTATTGCCAACTAGTGATTATTATTTATTTACATGTTTCAAATAATTAGTTATGTTATTGTATCAAAGTAAAACCCTCCTCCGAATGAAATCAGAGAATTGATTAATTAAGGTTAAAATAGATGCAAGATAATATTCATGTAGTAATAAATGTGATTAATGAAAAATGCAAAATAACGCAAATTCTTCAGTCTTTGAATAGGTCGTTCGATTTTTCGATTACTTAAATGACACTATCTTCTTATCCAGTCCTTATCCCACCAAGGGGGTTGGTCGTCACAACACGTGAATCATGATGATATTGACAAGGTTTAATACGTCTGGCCGCCTGCCTGACGTCAACCCTCCTTAGGAACAAACACCCAAATCCAGAACAATTATCTGCCAGTCACAAAAATACAATTCACATGTGGGAAAAGCACCCATGACCCCATCACCGAAGCCAATAGCTTAGTATCTGCGCCATAGATTATAAAAGAAAAGGTTATCCAAATTGAAATTACTTTGCTACAATGATTAAATAATTTATAGACAAATTGCATCAAATACGACTTAGCTTGATAAAAATATTCAATTTGACAAAACAAGATTCGCTTTACACTCATCATCTAATTTTAGGCAATATTATATTACATTGCAAAACTATAGTTCTAATAATCCAAAGCAATATCTTATATGGATTTCTATGATTTTTAATTGTATAATTTACCATAAATTATTTTAGTCAAAATATAACATTAATTTTAATACCTTCATTTGGCAGCTACATATCCATCTATATAGTCACAAAATTCAATAAATTCAATTATTCGCCATTGGTAGAAATATACAACAATATTTTTATTTATTAAAATAAAACTGAAATCATTAAAGAAATTACATTCTACAATGTCATGACACAGTACACACACATACTTTACAATTTTTACCATGATTAAGAGATACTTAAAGTACCAATTAATTATTAAGTTCTTTATGAAACTAACATTTAAGCCTCAGTCAGTGTAAGGTATATCTGTACATATTTTTATATTGAAGATGTTCATGTTCACAATAATACATTTCCTTTAGTAGTATAATAATACACATTGCATGGATTACATATACCTACTCTACACAACACACAAGTTTATGTTCCTTATATTTCAATTATTCCATTCAAAAATACTTTTAGTTAGCACCCATATCATACAGTAAGCAAAAATTTTTGTAGCTTAGTTTAAATAAAAGTGAATACATTCTTGCAAATTCAAAATTACCTTTATATGAATAAATTTAACTGTAATATTATAAACAGCATTGTCAACATGTGATGCGGTATCAGTATATTTTCATTAATACTAAATTAGTCATTGTTTGTCACAAAAACAGATATTTTTATTTATGCTTTAAAAAATTACATGTCTTTTGTTTCCAACATTGTTGAAAGTTTGTGTTCTACTGTAAATAAGTTTCATGTGTTAAACATACCACATGTTTCATCATCATGTGGTATGTGTAATTAATGTAAATTCCAAAAAAAATATGCCTTTAAACACAAGAATTGATTAGTTTCAATATACTTCATATACTTTAGGATCTCAATTTGCTTAATTATGGTACGCAAAGCAATCTTTATAATTAGATATTTTAAAATATATTTCATTAATGTTAAATTGGGGCAATAACATTTTCATAGAGTTTAGGCCAATATAAAGTGCATTCAAGTGCAAGTAAATTTTTAGTAAAACAATATATTATATTGCCTATTTTACTATACACCCACATACATAAATCATTGTATATAATACATTTAATTTGATTTTAAACAAAGTTTAGCATGTTCCAAATGAGAGTTGAAATTATTATAACTGCCAATTACAAAGTTTTTATATTATAAAATTTGTTAAGAACGTCTCAATTTTCAAATTTCATAACACTAATACTAAAGTGAACCAAGAATGTAGTATTAAATATTTAATATTTTCATTTAGGAACATAAAATGTAAATTAAATTTGGAGTATGATAGTAAAAGAAATAAAATATTTTGTAAAAAAATTATCTCATGTTATAAAGCTATTTCATTAAATTGTCAATAGTCAAAAATTTAATTTTTATGGTTGAGGGTTTAGTCAAAGTTTATTTTAAATTTAGTCACAGAATTTCCGTCAATTAGAAGATTTCGAAAAGAAAAAAACAAGTATTTACAAGGCAAAAATGAAAAGTTACCTATTTATATATGCATGGAAAGATTGCATAAGAATTTTATATTTTGTCATATTATTTATAGAACTTTAGGTTGATAAATAACGTAAAATGTATAGTTTTAATCTGTTACGGCCGAACAACACGACATTACAGATGAAGATAAAAAACGTAGACAATGACGTTACTTACGAAGTGTCCGCCAGAGGTGTATGTGTAGTCCATTGCATGTGGAGTTAATATTATAAATTAGTTAAGACTCATTATTGTACTTGTAATATTCACACTAGATTCGCTGGTGCAATGATCAACCAAAATGATCATATTGACTCTGACTAAGATGAAATTTTATGTGTCCGTTATGGCGATGCTGATTTGGTTCTTCGACGACTGACCACAGGAACAATTCCGTTGTCAGCCATGGTCTGGTATAATGAGTAGAATCAACACAATCATGAGTTGACTGTGATTATAATGAGACTTGCAATGGCTGTTAAGGACACGTGTGAAGGAACCCATCACAAGTGTGACAATCCATGGAGTGTGCCTGGAATTTTCCTTGGCACAGATATAAATTTGACGGATGAACTGTGACGATGGACACAATTGAGGTGTCCACTGGGTACACCGGTGTTGCCCGTCAAATGTGCTCACCCATAGAATGTCAATTATAAGGCTCGAATCACATGTGTGGAGATATGATGGCACTTCAATCACATGTGCAGGCACAGACTGTGGCAACGAAAATTTCCACGACGAACTGTAGACACTAATGAAATTGTGGCACTTTTTCTATGGCACTGACACTTGTGTCACATGTGCTGCGGGCATCCTAGGACTGTGGCAACGATGGCATGTAGGGACGCCGGTGTGTGGTCCACCATGTCCGGTCCCCGGCCTCTGGCGGCGGTTGGCGATTATCGGGCTAGCGAGAGCCGCTTGAAATAGTGGCGGCAGCATATCGCGGTGGGAGAGGGCGGCAGGTCCTGAGGGCGAGCCTCGCCGCCAAGCTGGTCCAGCGCGCGAGTGTACTCTCGCTGCAACGCCACCAGGTCGATGTTCTGCTCGCCCAGCGCCGACATCGACAGGAACACGATGTCCCTGAAACAATAGGAATTATAAGTAGTAACTCACACTTAGTTCGTTCCTTAAAGACAGCATATACGTCAGTTGATTTATTATCGTTTCAATTATGTTCGACTTTTTAAGCTCATTACTCGTTATAGCTTAAACGGTCGCAAATTTAGCAGTCCAAAATTATTGTGACAAATGTCAAGAATGTGATATTAGTTAATATAATACATTTACGATGTCAATTACGTGGCCCAGTTGCCAAGGTATTGGCTTCGGCACCGGCACCAGTTCGTGGGTTCGATGGTTTTTATAGTCTGCTAAATGGTTTATTAACACATACAGCGTGTCGATACCATCGCGACAATAAATGAAGACACATATAGGGAATAACTTTTTAAAGTTGTATTAAACATTTAAATTCTTTAAACATCAATATTTACAGAGTTATTAAATTTTCCAAAACAAAGAATTTTAGAACACCCTCACCTATAAAAGCGTAACGTAAAGTTCATTTTTAAAGGTCACAAAGTATATGAATGGGTTGCATGAATTTAAAAGAGACAAAACATACTGTTAGAAGGAGAGGCTTGTAATACGACGCTGTGGCGCGAGTTATATAGGATGTTTTTTTTTTTTTTTTTTTTATCCGATAAGTTGTCAAACGAGCAGACGGTTCACCTGATGTTAAGTGAATACCGCCGCCCATGGACATCTGCTACACTCGAGGGTTACAGATGCGTTGACAACCTTTTGAAAATTGGGCTCCGGCTACCTCACTCACCAGACGAAACGCGAAAGTATTTGTCATACTTCCACTTTACGCCGGTCTTCTGTGAGGTCGAGGTACTTACCCGGACGGGCCTGCACATTCGTGCAACAGCCGAGGCTGCTGCGTGGCCCTACCACCGTAAAAACAAATTTTGTTTCAAATTTTGTTTCTTTTTTACTTAATTAGTTTGTTTGAAAAATATTTTTTTTTAATTATGGATTTTGTTTAACGTTAATATTTTTTTATGATTATTGGCACGTAGCGTTAGACGTGTATTCATTTATTATCGCGATGGTAACGACACGCTGTATATTGGTATGGTAAATGGTATAAAGAATACGAAGTACAAAAAATGGTATTGGCGGACGGTGGCGAAATTAGGCATGAAACGTACATATGTACGTTAGTGTAATGTGCCTATGATGCACAAAGTGACAATGTCGCTGTTCGGTTGCGTAACTCCGAACAAAGGGCAATGTTAAAAAAAAAAACAAATTTTAATCAGTAACAACACAGCGATATAGTATATTTCTGCTAGATAGAAAGAAATTAAATCTTCTTTGCGACGCTATAATTTTGTTTGACAGGAAAAATGGTCATTTACTAAATTACGTGTACATTATTAACAACCGGACACGTACCTGTAAAATGATGGGTAGCGCTTGTTGCCGCTGGAAGTCTCCCGCCAGGCGGCAAGTTTACGTAATGCGTCGGACAGGTCGTTGCTAAGGAGACCGTCCAACACCGCTAGTATAACACTGTTAAAGAGAATAATATATCATTTAGGATATTTCACAAAGTTTTAATTCAAACTACAGTTTAGAATATTCTTAGGGAAGCATTAAATAGAATCAGCGACATTATTTTCTTAAAGAATTTGCCAGGAAAACAATCACGTAAATTGCTTGACCTTATATCATGTGAACATTGTTTTATGTCTACAGACGGTCGCATTTTGTCCAGTTACTCGAGACCTGAGTTAAAATCCCTTTGAAATTGTCAATTCTAATTACATGCTCTGATTTACCACTTACCAGGTTCCCGGCGGTTATTTAATTAAAACGTGCCACTGAGGTAATTCAAAAAAAAAATGTGCAGCTTGCCCATTTGCACTAGGGTATCAAGTAAAAGTAAAAATGTGAATAAATTTCATTGTCATCGCTATGTGCATGAGAATAGAAGTGGGCATGAAGGGTGGGTATTTATTGTAATATATAGTTATAATAGGGGAACAAGGTGTGAGTTTGTGTGTAGGTGTGTAGGTGTGAGTTTGTGTGTAGATATGAGTTTGTGTGTAAATGTGAGTTTCTGTGTAGGTGTGTGCGTATGTTTGTATGTTTGCACTGACGTGTGAGCCGCTCGCGAGTCGTGCTCGGTGAGCAGCAGGGCGCGCAGCTGCTGCGAGCGCGGCGGCTGCGCCCTGCGCGCGCGCCACACCACGTGCAGCGGCTCGCCCGCCCCCCCCCCCGCCGCGCCCGCACCGCCCTCGCCCGCCTCGCCGCGCGCCCCCTCCCAGCAACATCGCACCACGCAACCTTCCGCACACCAACATACGTTATTGCGGCGAAACTAGAGGAAAAACCGTTACAGTGGGGAAAAATGACGTTGGTTTGCGCGGTCGACATATATCCTACCTCCAAAAAGATCGAACGGAAAGATTCAAAGATCGAACTGCTACGTTGATGAATATATTTTTACAAAACCAATGTACCCAATGGCACATGTTTTTGCTGATTGAAAGAACACTAGCCATAGCTTTTTTATGAGACAGTTTATCTTTGTGAAGAAAAAAAATCATTTAGATAATAGGGTTGGATTCCCACACGGGACAACTATTTGAGTGACCACTAATTGTTTCGCATCTGGGTGTTTGTACACGTGAAATTTATGTATGTAAAACGTCCTGACATCACAAGATAATGTTATCCTAAACTGAGGGCAATGTTTTTTTAAAAATAGGAAAAAACCGAACAAGTGCGAGTCGGACACACACACAACGGGTACCGTAACATTATCTATAAATACGGCAAAAAAAAAAACATGTCTGTTGTATGAAAGCCCCACTTAAATATTTGTTTATTCTGTTTTTTAATATTTGTTGCTGCAACAGAAATACACATCATCCGTGAAAATTTCAACTGTCCGTGAACCGTCATAGTTAGGTTCATGAGATACAGCCTGGTGACGGACAGTCAGTCAGACATGCAGCGAGGTCTGTCTGACCGTCCGTCCGTCCCTTGGGTGCGGAACCCTATATATATATGTTCAAGTATCACCGACGTCGCTAACATAGGTGCTCCCTCACCGGAGTTGTGCAGCGCGTCGCAGCTCTGGTACCTCGCCGCGAAGTCGGGGCACAGCAGATCCGGCAGGTGGTTCTCGATGTTGGCCCGCTCCAGGAACCACACCAGGTTCCAGTACACTATCGGGTGCGACTCGACGAACTGCGGCTCAGCCAGGCACGAGTCGCCCTCCCTGCCTGTGAATAGACGCGACATCAGTACGCGACTTCTAATGGCGCTGATCAATCTTGTTTTATTAAAGACGATGGACGCGTGTCCATCAGCGCCGGATTGAACATATAGCAAGAGTAGCAAAAAATTGCTACGGGCTGCCTGAGGCTGAATGCCTGAATTTTTTTGAGTGAAACTTAATAAATAAATATTTTTAAAACTCACCCAATATGGATTCAAACTCCTTTCTGAGGACCAAAGGATTCAGGTACGGAACACTTATCGTCTCAGACTGCGCCTGACCCTCGCGTGTGATCTACACGGAATAATACATCATAGTATCAATAAACATTAAGATCTAATTATAATTACCTCCTCATTACACAATTTAATCATAATTTTAACTGTATTTGGGCCACGCGACAGTCTTCGCTTTTGGACGGATGGGCAGGTCCGTCCGATTGGAAGCGGTATATTTATTTATATTATCATAGGTTATTAATTGGTGGCAACGCATCTGCAACCTTACGGAAGTTGCAAATGACAATGGGCTGTGTGTATCACTTATCATCAAGTAAACCGCACGCTCACTTGCCACATTCTCACATAAAAAAAATAACATCTAAAGTTCAGAGGTTGCCCATTGAGCACAAAGAAACGTACAGTTTTTAAATGTTTATAACATTAATGTGTAAATTTGACAAATAAGTAACATTGTAATTCAATTAAAAGAGATTAAGCACCCACGCCAACTCGTGTAAAGATGAAAAGAAGAGGGAGCAAATTAGTAACATAATTTTATTTTATTCGTTCAATAAACTTCTGTACGTTTTTATCTTGTAGATAAAATGACTTAATGATTGAGACATTCTCTTCAAGCCAGCCTACTAGGTGATGCAGATATAAAAGGAATATGCGTAATGGTGAAGAAAAGACTGTAACAAATAAATTTAAACGCACCATTGGCTACGGCGTCATGGGTTCAAACCCGCACGGGACCACTACTTGTGTGACCCACAGATAATTGTTTCCCATCTGGGTGCTTGTCCACGTAAAGTTTAGGTTTTTAAAACGTCCTTACAACACGGTATAATGTTATTCTAAAGTAAGTAAAATGGTTTGGAAAAAAAAAAAAAACAAAAGAAGCGACTACCACCAGGCGGAATTGTAGTCAACAGCGGATTATTACGGATATTGAGGGAAGAGTCGAGTGGGGGGGCGGGACGGGGGAGGGGTGGGGGGGTTTGTTTCTGTTGCAATGACGTCACAGCACCTGAGCGGTGAGCAGCGGCACGGTGTGGCGGCCGCAGGCGGTGCAGCGCGTGTTCAGGTTGGAGTCGTCGGCCGCCCAGCCGGCCATTATGTCCTCGTCGTACAAAGCGCCCAGGCACTGGTGGCACTGCGAGCACGAGGTCATCGCCACGCGGACATAAGCGCCGATGCCGCTGCCCTCCTGTATACGTCGATCGCAAAATTTCTTCTCTCATATATTTTTTTAACTTATGCTCCTTTATGCGCGTTATGTATTACCAATTTATTTTTCACTAACGAAAAACAAAACCGACTTGAAATATCTCGCGCCGTATTTATTTCATAATTGTTTTCCTCAAGTATCTCCGGAACCCAAGACCAATGAAATTAATATGGGACCACGTGGGAAACACCAGCTATCAAAGAAAAAAAGAATCATCAAATGAGAGTGAAATTTTAAGGTGCGCGCGCATCACTGTAACACCTTTGAAGCTGCACCGGTTGGTGCGCAGTGGTATCAGCGCAACGTCGAACTGCACAGTGACTGCAGACTCCCAACGATTCGCGAACATTTGAAAGATCTCACCAAACGGTACTTGGACAGAGCCGAACATCATCCCAACCCTCTCGTTGTAAGCGCAGCAAATTACCAACCCGACATTAACGCGAACGTCAACAAGCGTCGTCCGCGCAACGTCCTCATCGACCCGGTCGAGGAAGGAGACTTAAGTACGTCTGAACCACCGTCGGGGGTGCCGCCAAATAACACTACACACTCAGTTAGTGCATCAACAAACACCATAGTTCGTCTTCGCCTTCGAGCACGGCGAAACCAACACAACGCGTACACTAGGTACACCCGCGTTCCAGGACGGTTCTCACCGCCCCAGCCACCGACTAAACAAGCACAATCAACGGCCATCGGAGTCACGGTCCGCACCGAACCTCGGCCCGTAGGCGACATGCCAAATTAACGCACGCATGAGCACATGCGCGGCCCTATCCACTGAGAAGCGCCTCAAACCCGTGGGTTCTGGCTAGGCCACTGGTTCTGCGTTCGATGAAGCTTTAATAGTCTAACGGCCGGTTTCTGAAAAACTGATCATCGTAGAAGTCAACTAATGAGCTGTGAAATCGATTTTCAAATATTATTTGAGTTGCTAAAAGGATTGTTAAACTCTTTGTATTGATCATTCTGATCGTTAAGAAGATCATTCTGATCATTAAGAATATCATTCCGTATTAGAAAGTGAACGTTAATAACACTTTAATAAAGTTCCAAATTGGACGTACCGCTTGCTGTGGGTATAGATTGTCAGGCAGTTGCGAGAGAAGAGTGGTCAGCGAGCCGCGCTCCATACTGCAGGCCAGCTCTGCCTCGCTCGAGGCGCGTCTGAACCCGCCGCCCGTCGACCACTCTGCAAACGAGCGACAAATATAAGTTGACCCCTGGCGTGGTAGCTAGAATGGTGGCAGCGGGTAGTGTGGTTGAACTCCCCTTTTGAACAAGAGACATGTAGGAGTATATAACTTCTAAAAGCTACGCACCGTCCGGATTGAGCTCCGACGAGCCGTCTGTCGGGTCCTCCTCGGTGATGAAGCTGGTGATGGCGCTGGTCGCGTTCCCGAAGGCGCCTTTCACCGGCGTCGAGTTGGCGGATATCACCTCCTTCATCTCGTCGAACTTCTTCGCCATACTGTTGGCGGCCGACTTGAGGCTGCTCAGGCCGCTCTGGAGCAACTCGTTCGACTTCTTGCCGGCTATACTCGTCGGACTGTGGAGGTAAGGTCGATGAAATTTCCCGCACTGTGTAGCATTTTTAGGCGCGTGTTATTTAATGTATTCTAAGATGTTACGTTTTGGGTAAGGGCTGAAAATTTTATAGCATTATGAAGTATTAAAACTACATAATTTGGAGACTCCAATTTGGATTACTTTGCATATAAACATTATATTTTGGATATCGGTCAATCTTCTATATAATGCCATTCTTAATATTCGACCAAAGAAAAATATAATTTTCACTATTCCTCGTATGACATGTTCCAAAGCAATGTATCACCGATTTCCATATAAAGCGAATAAATTAATTCCCTAACGCTGTTGCAATGTGCAATATTTACTTTCAAAAGAAAGGTCTACGTGGAATATTTTCAGGCAAGCGCTTGAAAAAAATCAATTGAAACGTGCATATTATTTGAAGCTAGGAAAAAGCATCAATTATTATACAAAATATAGATCGTAAATAACATAAATAAAACAACGAGCTTTAGAACAAACAAATAAATACCACATGCCCCGAATATCCAAGCGTTAAGATTTGCGTCTCATATTCAACGAAATTATATGTACACCCAGTATAAGATGACCCTTGAGAAACGACCCCGTCCGTGTTTAATTAGACCACAACCACCGCATGAAAGGCCACGTTGACCGATGCGCGGTCTTACCTGAAGTAGCTCTCGATCATCGCCTTTCCCAATTTCATGTTTTCCTTGCGAAACGACAGTCTCCCGGGCGAATAGCGTCTAGGGGAACAAACAGGCTAGCAATTTGCGGTGAAAACTCGTGGGATCGTGAACAGACGGATCTAACGACTTTCCGAGGCTGTGGCAGCGATCATTCTTATTAGCAAAATTGATATTTTAAAAAAATGTGTCTACTTATGTACGCACGTAAGAAGTTATACTATATTCTACAACGAAACTAAAGAAAAATAACTAAAATTTTATCCCCCGTGCCAGTACTCTTTGTTTTTGAAACATTTAAATGACAAAAAGTTGTTATTGGTTGCCATGGTAACATCATGTCGCAAAATGGCAGTCTGTGTGTGCTCGCATCGTCAAAATATCAAAACGAAAAATGTCAAAACATAATCATAAGTGAGTTAGAGAGAACTCTCGCTGTTTCTGATTTGTTAAGATTCGATTTTGCTAAATATAGTGTTATCTTTTTAAATGTTCAACTCTCCGTGCGTCTTTCAAAAATGCGAAGGAACTATCGCCGTTGGGTGGGAGAGATTGGACGATTAAGACAATACCAATTTTAACATTATGTATGCAACTTCAGCCATTTACATTTTTAAGAAAAAATACCATGCTATAGTTATTTTAACGCACGAAATTTTATCTGCATTACATCCATCTGTTCCTATATGTTAGGTAAGCTACAAATGAAAAAAAAAACATATATAATTTGGAATTAAACATAACATGTCTAATTGACGATGGTAGCAGCAACTTAAATGTAATGTAAGGCTGAGTTTGAACAAAATTAATAAAATGTGAACGAGCGTTTAACTGTAATATTTTATTAAAAACAATAACATTTTAGTGACAAAAAATTATTCCATCTCTTTCGCACATTACGTCACGCACGTAGAAATAATACTGTAAAGCCCAAACAAACCGTCAGACTGGCAAAATAACTCGTCGGATGGTATATGCTACATGTGCGCTTACAATATACCATTGGGTCATGCCCAATGTTCTCGTCTCGATATGCGATTATCGCTTTGAAATAATCGCCTAAGATAACTAGCAAAAGAACTGGCGAAAACACCTTTCAAAAGGAACCTCATGAAATGCACAATAGTTCAAGAATGAGGGCGAAGACAAAATCTCCCGTATTGTCTTAGCCCGCAATCTTAAACTAGTCGTACAATGTAATGAATTCAGCTATGAACGCATGCTTAAATTGGGTGGGGGGGGGTTTGCGCCGCAAGATGTAATCGAATAAAAGATGATCGTCACCAATCGATTCAGATTACGTCTAGCGTATGATCCGAATGATAGGTAGACGATTCCCCGAGTGGATTAGAAATCGTCCAGGCTCGAGTTGCGAGTGGTTGCGACGGTTAATTGTAAAAAAACGATCGAATGACAGTGAAAGTGTGATTATTTTATCTTAGTTTTGTTTGTGATGTAAAGTATCCCAGCAAAGTAAAAGTTTAGTACGGTGAAATCTATGTAAGTATCCCAGAGTACGCAGGCAGTATAACAAAAACATATTCGTAAATGAAGGGTTTTTATGTGATATGTTCGTCTATAAAATAAATCTGTTAAACGGGTACAAAATCAAGCCCCCTCCCCCCGGGGCTGCTGCCAGTTTGCCAGCTGCCAGCTGCCAGGAACGTCATATTTATTCTATGTTATACTATTTATAGTACATTTTAGTATACGACCCGAATGGCGTAGTGAGTAGTATACCCGCCTCCTGCCCCAAAGGGTCCTGTGAGTTCGATCCCAACTACTGGAAAAATATTGTGTGATGAAAATATTGTTTTTCTAGTGTCTGAGTGTTTATATATGAATAATATAATATGCATTTATTTACAAAAGAAAAGTATGTTTATCATTTATCTAGTAACCATGTTACAAGCGTTGCGCTCGGGACTAGAGAACGTTGTGTCCTAAATGTTTACTTATGTACTATATTGTAGATGGCGCGCTAGTCGCGCACCTACGCTACGGTATCACATTTAGCAGTCAATTGTAGATGGTGCGCGAGTGCCACTCACCCGAAGCTGATCTTGAGCGTGTTCCCGAGGCTGACGAGGCTCGAGGAGACCGTGCCGGCGGGCGCCGTCTCGCTCCTGTGCAGTTTCCTGCCGGGAGGAAACTATCGAGGTTATCGCGCTCCGGCCGTGGCCGGGGCCGGGGGGGGGGGGGGGGGTTAGCGGGCGAACGGTCAGCCGGGACGGGCGGATCGGGTGGCGCTTAGATGGTTTGCTAAATGGACGGGGTGGAGCGCAGTTCGAGTGCGTTGATGGGGAAAATGCAAATTATTGTGACACATACCATTCATACTTATTCTTTCAGCCCTTATCCAACTCTATCAACCGTCATCTCAATACTCACGCCTTTCACAGACATATCAATATTCGGTATTCCTCTGGCTTTATACCCCCTAATCACATTCATACTCATCATTCTTCTAGTCACATAGCTTTCAATCCTTCTCACTTAGCACTTATTTCTTCAATCAAATACTGCTCCTTACCATCGATCTTAATTAGCACTAGATTTAGTAAAGTATGTCGCTTAAATTCGATATTCATAATAAAAAAAAAATAACAAAATCTAAATCGAGAACTGGCAAACTTAATTTAGAACGTCTAAAGTCTCCAATACCAACCATATGAGTATTTCAATTACAAAACCGAAAACATGGGGCATCAAATAAAAAGACGCACTAATCCAATTCCAAATTCAAAGCGCGACCAGTGAACACGCAACGCCTCGTATGACATTAGAGAGGGACAGACGACGAGTGGCTATATAAAGGCGAGCGTGTACCCGCACTGGGCCTCTTTGTCCTCCTCCTCGGCGAAGGAGCCCGCGCGGCGCCGGAACAGCTTCGGGCTGACGCTGAGCTCGTGGCGCGGCTGCGGCGGGGTGGGGGGGCAGGGGGCGGCGGCCGCGGCCGGCTGAGCGCCGTCGGCGCATTCCGCCGCGCGCAGCGCCCCGAGCGGGTCGTCCGCTAGCACCGGCGTCCGCGGTGACACTCTGCGAAGGAAACGCTCGGACGTTATATTATGTAGAAACTTTCCTCCAATCATTTGGACACATAAAGCTCACTCCAAGGCAACGGCAACGCCATTACCGTGAGACGGTTTCGGCATCACCCTTTTGTATGCAATCTAGTAAAAAAGATCGATTTTATTCTGATTTGAAGAAACTAAATGATAAGAGAATATTCTACAAAATTTAATAAGAAATTAGCACTTTAAAAATGTTCCCTTTGCCTTTAGTCTTCTTCGATTAGACATCTGTTCTTCTGTCTACGGTTCTGTAGGTACAAAAAATAATCCTTAAATATTTGCAACTGTACTTACTTGAGAGGTGAGGAATTTGCCTTCTCCTTGGGATCCGACGCAAAGATATCCCTCTCCGACTCCTCCGGAAAACTAAGCGCCCTTGTACACCGTGACTTTGTATTCGATGTGCCTAATATAAAAAAAAATTAAAATGCATACTTTACATCATCATCATCATCATCATCATCATCATCATTTCAGCCTGTTTGAGTCCACTGCTGAACATAGGCCTCCCCCACAGACTGCCATGAAGTACGATCCTGAGCCACCTGCATCCATCGACTTCCCGCACATTTGCACAGGTCGTCACTCCATCTAGTGGGGGGTAGTCCTACACTGCGATGGCCAGTACGAGGCTGCCACTCGAGAACCTTTCTTCCCCAACGGTTATCGGTTCTACGAGCTATATGGCCGGCCCATCGCCACTTCAGCTTGCTAATCCTCTGAGCTATATCGGTTATCTTAGTTCTACTGCGGATGTCTTCGTTACGAACTCTATCACGCAGAGAAATACCGAGCATAGCCCGCTCCATAGCTCGCTGAGCGACTCTGAGCTTCCTCATACGGCCAGCAGTGAAGGACCATGTCTCGGTTCCGTAGGTCATCACTGGCAACTAGAGATGAGTCGTATCGCTTTTTCTGAGTACCGTATCTGAATCAGATTTCGATTTCAAATATCAGATTTCGAAACTATGTATTTTAATATCTAGATATTTTACGGTCCCGTATCCACCTTGAATTCTAAAAAAAAAAAAAAAGACTATTTAAAAGTTGATTCATTCTATTTACATAATTTTCCTGATATTTAAAACTTAACTTATTTACAATTATGTGTGGGTTAATAATTATTTAGATTCCTCCGGGTTTAAATTCACGTTTACGAACATAAGCTGTTTGACTTTAATCGTCGAAAGTCTTGTTCGACGATCATTATACCTATACATAACTAAAGCTATTACCAGTGATACCAACTGTTCAAAAAGAATACTTCTAAATAAATTCTAAAACCCACTAAAATTGACTAAATTCAAAAAACTTACTGAATTTAAAATCACGATTTTTTTATACTATTAAGGTAAAATTAAAACATTACCTGATAAAATTAAAAATTTCATTAAAAATAGAAATTGAAGTAATATAAAAATGATTTATTTTAACATCTTATATATCGCTTAATAATTGACTTTAACATATTTTTAAAACACGTAATCATGAGTGACAATATCTTTATAATTTGTGTAAGAAATAATACATTCAGTATTATAACTTAGGGCGGAAGAATTTAAAATATACACACAAAGCACATAAGCCTTGGTCTGATTTCCACCCAAGCAGCACAGCACTATTAAATTATATTTTTCTTTTTGTGTACTTTTATTTTTTCCAAAAATATGAATAAAATTTAACTAATAAAAATATTCACAAAAATTTACCTCCTAAAAAATTTCCATTTATACTTTTCTTCCTTAATTTAGGCAGAAAATTCTTAAGTAGTAAGTTGGCATCCCTTACTATTACGTGCTTGGTACCAATGCAATCCAGCTCAAGACTAAACAAAATTTAAAGACATCGTTAATACTGTAATTCGTATTTAAATGCAACAGAGATTTTTTTCCATGCTGTTAAGATTCAAAATTACTTAACTGCGCGCTTTGTCGCCCGTTACGGCTCAAGGCTAAACAAAACAATAGAAATATAATAATATCGTTGTAGTAATCTTTGATACCATGATTAGTATTTAATTAAAACGGATCTTATTTGCATGGTGTTAAGATTCAAAATTACTTAACTTATTCATAATAGCTGTTTGTAAAAATCTGATATTGTGCCTTGCTTGCCGTACTGCTCTAACTAGTGTAATATTTGTATCTCACGCGCTTTGTCGCTCAAAATCTGTTTAAAAATCTGATATCGTGCATTGCTTGCCGTCCCGCTCTAACTAGTGAGTTTTTATATCAGACGCGCTTTTTCGCTCGATATCTGATATCGTGCATTGCTTGCCGTCCCGCTCTAACTAGTGAGTATTTATATCTCACGCGCTTTTTCGCTCGATATCTGATATCGTGCATTGCTTGCCGTCCCGCTCTAACTAGTGAGTATTTGTATCTCACGCGCTTTGTCTCTCGAAATCTGTTTAAAAATCAGATATTGTGGCAAACGCGTATGATATCGCGATTCGTGTCAGTATAGCGAGCGAGCACGGTACATCAAATTTCGGAAATATCAGATATTGTAAAATACATAGATATTGAACGAGCCAGTAAGCGATATTCGGATATTATACTAATATCTAGTTTTCATATCTGATACGATTTGTATCGCCCACTTCTACTGGAAACACACATTGATTGAAGATTTACATCTTAACTGATAATATTTCTAAACTTTAATCTTCTACAGACCTTAACGAGCCGAACGACTATGACCGTAAAACAATCGATTGTAAGTCTAATTGATTTTTAAAATAACGTTAACTAGTATAAATTATTTTCTTTGTCAAAAGAAATCTTATAATATTTTGAGAGAAGCCGAAATGCGCAAATTAACGAATATAATCAGGGAAGTGGTGACCCATGTCTCAGACACTATCTATTACACCTCGTTACGTACCGCTAGAAAAGGACAGCCTCTGCAGATTTTGCACTATCTGCGCGTCGCCGGCGAAGCTCTCCGACCTGGTCAGTATGCGAAGATCGGACGGGCTATCGGGGCTCACGTGGATCGTCTGTTAAGATCAATAAATGTTGTCAATAGCAGGAAAATTAATAAAGGGTAGCCAACGCTAGGCTACCGTAGCTAGTTAATGAGACATTTGCCGCCTCGTAGAGGGTACTAGAGCTAGAGCCACTGCGGGATGGCTGACGTCATGTATGTAAATACATTTTGTTTAATTATTTAAATTTTAATTAAGATTTCGTCTGTTTCTTCCACCAGGATTTTACGAGATTTTATTATTACAACTGCGTAAAACACCGAACTTTGACAGCCGCATATGCGATCACTAATTTATAAAATTATTTTTTTTTAACGATAAACCGCTACAAAAGCAGAAAGAAATAATGACCTGACGCTTTTCCGTAATCGAGAGTGGCGTCGGCGTGGACGGCTGCTCCTGCTCACTGCCAAGGGAGTTGCTCCTCGGCCTCGGCACTTCGCTGAGGTCCGGATTGGACGGCAGACCTGTGTGTAGATGTCGCGTTTTGATGTATTGAAATTATAATTCACGTGGTGTTTCTATGATCGTGCGAGAGAACAATATGTTGGGATGAATATATTTTTTATATTAACGTCAGTAGCAAATAAGAAGCGCGTTATTAAAACAAAAAAAAGTGAAATTGATCAAAACGGGATTCTTCCACGGACTATCAGGGGAATGGGATAAAAATATTACCTATCTAAACATACACTAACTTTGGAAAAATAAACGATGAATCTATGTATGCGCGAAACTGGCAGTTTATGCTGTTAAAAATAAAAAAAAGGAAGCATAATTTGAAAATGCAGAAAAAGAACAAACGTCGATAGGTGTCGAGATATTCGCGCGATGAGGTCACCGGCCGCTTAGCTTAGTCGCTAAAGCGTCTGGGCGCGAAACCAGAGGACGCAGGTTCGCATCCCGCTTCTTAAAGTTTTCGTTGATTTATCTACAGATTTATTTTTTAATTTAAAAGAAGCATTCAAAAAAAGAAGCCAACGCCTCGTTGTGTCACCCGATATGAGTATGCCCGCGGCGGCGGAGAGCGCGTGTGCTCGAGGCCGCCTCGGCGCCGCGCGCACGATGTTCGCGCGCCGCCACAGAGCCTCAAGCGCGCCGCCCGCTGCAACATAACAGACGCATAGGGATTTAGAAAAAATACGGGGACGCGGATTGGCAGCAGCGCGAAGTGGCTCCGAGCTACCGCAAGATGGCGAGGGAATCGGGGGAAGCTTTATCCTTCCCCGAGACGTGCACGCCCAGTAACAAGGGACACCGGTGCGTTCCGTAGGAGATCGCTCCAAACGTACAGAAAGTGACCACCGAGGGGGTTTTTGTGGGTAAGAACCTCACATAAACTGATGGGTCTATCTTACGAAGATTCCTCCCTCACAAATTTGTTTTGGACAACTCGATACTATATCCGATGTTTTTTATTTTTTTATGCGAGAAAGTAGAAAACGAGCTGGCGGTTGACCTGATTTTAAGTGATAACCGCAGTTCATGAACATTTGCTACACCTGTGGGTTGCAAATGCGTTGAAACCTATGAGTAAAGTGGGCCCCGGCTACCTCACTCACCGGACGAAACGCAGAAGAGTAACACTTCTACTTTTCGCCGATTTTTTGTGAGGTCGTGGCACTTACCCGGAAGGACCTGCCCATTCGTGCAACAGTGAACACTGTTGCTTGGCCCTACCATAGTTAGCGTATGTCATCTGGTAAACGGTTTGAGGTGCTTGGTGAACTTTTTGTCCGCCCCACGTATATGTATGCATCCTGGTTAAGAGTATGGATGCTTTAGGACTCATAAGTCCATACTAACAACTCTTCTGAAGTTGCACCGAGCGCGTCCCTACTCCCGTCCATCAACCTATGTAAGCTTGCGCCCATTAATAGCTAGGAAATTCCTTCATCTATTGCCAATCAACCGACACAACCGTTCGCGTGAGAAAATCAACAATATGACACAACTCACCAGAGTCGATGCTGGTTCGACTGCGCGTGGGCACTTCGAGAGAGTTCAACGGCGGTGCCTCCAACTCGCCAGAGGCGCGGACACGCGGCAGAGTGTTGCTGCTGCCTGCAAAAGAGATATTCCAACTTATCCTAGGTCGCGAGAAACCTAAATGGGTGAAGTTGACTCCGTGGACGCCACGCGAGTACAGTCGAGTGCATAAATCGATGAAACCTATCTAGCGTTTGAGTACGTTGCACGCAATTGTACATATACGGAGAGGTACATTATAACGATCTAGACTGTGTGTGGCACGACAGATAGGGTAGAACCATCCCAATAGGGATAAGGTATCCTCTGAATAAAAGGGGACACGGAATGGCAACAGCACAAAGTGGCTCCGAGCTGCCGCTAGATGGCGAGGGAATCGGGGGAAGGTTTACCCTTCTCCGAGACGCCTCGCGTACCTTACGAAGATTCCCCCCCCCCCCCCCCCCCCACCCGATACAAAAAAAACAGTAGCTAATATATCACACGTGCGTACCCGGTGCGTGTTGTTGCGCCGCGCGCGCCGCCCGCACCGCGCCCGCCTTCCGGAACAGCGCCGCCCCCACCACAGCGATGCGCAGCTTGTTCCACAGCAGCTGCGAGCCGCTGCGGATGGCCAAAGGGACAGCTTTCATGAGGACTTTAAGCTCGGTTAAATTAAACTGATCTACGGATTTTGAATGAGTTGTCAAAGTCAAAATTCAAGATCAATATGGGCTTATTTTAAGCTCTTATTAAAACTACAGTACCGCCGGTTCACTAAACTAGACATGTCCAGAGAAGAGTCGGCAAGAAACTCTGCGGTCTTATCTTTTTCCTTTTGTATTAAATAAGTACACAAAAGTAATTAAGTATAAAATAGCAGCCGTGGGACTTGCTAATGCATAGCTTCATTTGAACACATCCTTGTCTCCTTAATGTATTCTTCGACATTATAATAGACCTTGTGGCAGCACTAGCGAAAATCACGAAAGAATTTGAACGACATATAACCGTTGGGCCGTGCAAGCGAGAGCGATGTTACCTGCGCCCGCGCCTACGTCACCGCATGAACGCGACGTTACTGGATTCGAAAATCCGCTGCCGCTCGGTCAGACGCGCTAGTCGGAATCCATATCTCACGGCGAATGCACGTTTAATTGCGCTCAGATAATTCCGCTAATTGTTCTCGCGATATAATAGTTTTCTACATTTCTAATTTAGTATCTTTTATCTAGTATTCTTCCTAGTCTGTATAACTTCTTTTACATGTTTCTTGACTGTCTGTACGTTTCTGTCCGTGTCCTGCACTAAATACAATTTATATACGTGGCTTATAACTTTCATTTTACCATCAACAAAATGGCCACAACCTTTTCTGTTAGTGTAGCTTTTAAAAAATGTTTGATATTGTTTACACTCAATTGTTTGTGGATGTCACCTATTTTATTGCATAAGTTACAAGATGTCGTATCGTTTATTACGAGGAGAGTCAACAAAACAACCAAAAAGATAACCTGGGCATGTCCTTCGGCCAAGCGGCCTCCAGCACGCATCTGTTGTAGTAACCGTATGTGAGGGCGTTTGGCTGCAGGCCGGCCCGCTTCATCAGGAACAGCAGCTGAACCGCCAACACCGGCAGCGAGTGGATGCCGCACAGCTGCATCATCACTCGGTAGCACACCTGTGAAATATATAATACTTTGTCAAAATCACATTATACAGATTTAAGTATGTCTTTGGAGAGATTTAAAAGTCAATCTTGGATTATTTATTGTACTGTGTTGTGATATCTATCATATAATTAATATTTTAATTGCCTCAATTATTTATATCAATGTTTTTGCTGTTTAACGTACGTAATTCTTCCTGCACCGCGGCCGGAATGCTGGAGGTACTTCTCCCGCGAGTTACCAATTCAGACTGACACCCGGTAGCAAAGGGGGAAGTGTTTCGCACGTTTACCCGTAATCAGCTGTCTCTGTTGCTCCCGCACAAAATGTATCGCCGTCACGCTCGCACAGAGCAGTGCAACAGCGCGGCCCCACCGCAGTTGAAACGCACCTCGTCACAGGGCACCCGCAACTTGGTTGCGCGCTCCAGCAGTTCGAAGGCCACTCGCAGCATGGCGTGCTCCCTCCCCCTGGACAGCATCAGACGGCAGGGCAGCGCCAGGAAGTAAAGGGAGTAGCAGGCCCCCAGCAAGCACTTGGCCCAAGCCTCCGGCGACAGATTCGCATTTTTGGCTAGTCTGAAAGAATCGCTGCTTTTAGTCCTGCGATCCCATTATAAGACCACGATAGATGTTTCGGCAATCCGCCTCTCAATGCCTCGCAATGGGCAGCGCCTATATATAAACCAGTTGTTGAAATCTAATTGACTCTAATTAGTTGAATTTATCATACATGTTGCCGTTCCAAAAAAAACGCTTATCAAAGTTGGAAAGCGTGCAAGTAACTTATACAATATTTTTGGATATCGCTCGCTAGTTGGTGTCGAATTTAGAGGTTGAAACAAGAATTTTAAATTAAATTCATGTGAATGGCACTTTGAATGACTATGGTATGGCCACGCAGCAGTCTCTGCTGTTGCAAAAATGGGCAGAGCACAGAAGATCGCCGTGAAATGCAAGTTCAGCGTTCCAGATGTCAGTGGGCTGCGGACACTATGTACAATATCAGGTGAACAGCTAGCTCACTCAAAAAACAAGTAAATTTTTTATCAACGAAAAACAAAACAGACTTACAAATATATCGCTCTGTATTCATTTTATAATTGACTTTCAGGAGTTCCCTTCGTATCCGGGGCCTAAGGTCCAATAACAATGATGAATGAATGAATTAGGGGACCATATGGGAAGCACCAGCTTTCATATAAAAAAGAGAATCATCAAAATCGGTTCAGTCAGTCGAAATTTGCGAGGTGACAAACATAAAAAAAAATACAGTCGAATCGAGAACCTCCTCCGTTTTCGAAGTCGGTTGGAAGAGAAAGGTTGCGCACCTCTGCGCGGCGGCGATCTCCTGCTTGGTGCGGCGCGCCATGGGCGAGGCGTCGGCGAGCGACTCGGCCGAGGCGAGCGCGGCGGCGGGCAGCGTCTGCAGGGCGCCGCCGCCGGCTCGCGCGCGCCCCCTGCTCAGCTCCACCAGCGCCGCGTCCAGCTCGAAACGCGCGTACGCGTACGTGCGCTCTGCGGGACGCGGGACGTTTTACGACGGCGCACGCATTATCGGCCCAGTGAAAGAATGGCCAAAACGTGCTATTGAACGAAACTGGTTCACGGATTTTATCGCGTTTTAATTTCGACTTTGTAGCTCATGACGCTCCGAAGCCTTTCAGGCGTGCATGGTCACGGGACAGTCTGTCAAAATTAAAACGCGATAAAATCCGTAAACTAGTTTTGATTAATATTTTTTTATAGAAATAAGTCTAAAAAGTCGCAAATATGATCATATCTCACATTTCCGTGCTAAGCTCAAGTGGCTGCCTATTCGTCTTCGCCGGAATTCTCCCATACTTTCTCTTGTTTACAACATTCTGTTTAATCCCTCATACCCTACCTATCTAAAGGAACGTTTCCAATTTCTTTGTGATTCCCACTCTAAGTCTCTGAGATCATCAGAAAACTTGGACCTGAAATTCCTACGCACAAAACAAAGTTTATGAGTAGGTCATTTATGGTGCAAGGGGCGCTACTCTGGAATGACTTACCACTAGAAATAAGGCGTGCTCAGTCATTAAATATTTTCAAGAATCTTGTAAAAAATCATTACTTATCTCTGTAATGTTATTCCCTAACAATGATATATGTATTCGTATATATGGTATGTATATATTTATATGTATGTATTGATGTGTATATGTATGTATACGTATGTAAATGTGTATTTATATGTATACAGCGTGTCGTTACCATCGCGACAATAAATGAAGACACGTCTAACGCTACTTGCCAATAATCATAAAAAAATATTAACGTTAAACAAAATCCATAATTAAAAAAAAATATTTTTCAAACAAACTAATTAAGTAAAAAAGAAACATAATATGTAACATCCTATACAACTCGCGCCACAGCGTCGTATTATAAGCCTCGCCTTCTAACAGTATGTTTTGTCTCTTTTAAATTATTTCAACCCATTCATATGCTTTGTGGCCTTTACAAATGAACTTTACGTTACGCTTTTATAGGTAAGGATGTTCTAAAATTCTTTGTTTTGGAAAAATTAATAACTGTAAATATTGATGTTTAAAGAATTTAAATTTTTGATACAACTTTAAAAAGTTATCCCCTATATGTGTGTTCATTTATTGTCGCGATGGTAACGACACGCTGTATATTTTGTAAGCCTTTTGTATATACATTTATTTATTTACTTACATATTTATAAATATCTTATTATTATGAATTATGATTGTAAATAACTATTTTTCTTTTTCATTCATTTAGTTAACCCACACCTTTATTCCTAAATTATTTCTTTTTAATCCATCCAAAGGTTGCCTGGAAGAAATTACTCTTAGTAATAAGGCCGCCCATTGTACCCATCAATTATACATTAAGTTCTAATTTTTGTTTGTTTTATTTTTGGTGTGCAATAAAGTATATTCATTCATTCATTCATTCATTCTAAAAAAATATATTAAATAAGTGAATATTCCACTATTATATTAGCGAACACATCATGTACACATAAATAATGCTCTCAACATGTCAAAATCAAGTCAGAAGGCAGTATGAAAACGTGTTAATTGGAAACTTTGAGTGAGTAAAGTGTGGACCCAGATAAGCAAAAAGGAGTGATGGTGGACCTTGTAGTCAATTGTGCACATCTGCAAATGTTGGCGTCAGAATGATCGGCACACGTGTACGGAAAGCAGAAACCACCTTTGTCATGCGGCAGCTCGAACACCGTGCGCTCATAAAATTTGCCTGTACAGTCGCGAAGAGGGCCGAACCTTTAGCAGCACGAACACCGTCCTTTTATAAAACATCGCCTGTACAGTCGCGAACAGGGCCGAACCTTTAGCTGCACGGACACCGTCCTTTTTAATAAAACATCGCCTGTACAGTCGCGAACAGGGCCGCACCTTTAGCAGCACGAACACCGTCCTTTTATAAAACATCGCGTGTACAGTCGCGAACAGGGCCGCACCATAACAGCACGAACACCGTCCTTTCATAAAACATCGCCTGTACAGTCGCGAACAGGGCCGCACCTTTAGCAGCACGGACACCGTCCTTTTTAATAAAACATCGCCTGTACAGTCGCGAACAGGGCCGCACCTTTAGCAGCACGAACACCGTCCTTTTATAAAACACGTCCTCGCGAACAGGGCCGCACCTTTAATAAAACATCGCCTGTACAGTCGCGAACAGGGCCGCACCTTTAGCAGCACGAACACCGTCCTTTTATAAAACATCGCCTGTACAGTCGCGAACAGGGCCGCACCATAGCAGCACGAACACCTTCCTTTTTATAAAACATCGCCTGTACAGTCGCGAACAGGGCCGCACCATAGCAGCACGAACACCTTCCCTTTCATAAAACATCGCCTGTACAGTCGCGAACAGGGCCGCACCATAGCAGCACGAACACCGTCCTTTCATATAAAACATCGCCTGTACAGTCGCGAACAGGGCCGCACCTTTAGCAGCACGAACCCCGTCCTTTTTATAAAACATCGCCTGTACAGTCGCGAACAGGGCCGCACCTTTAGCAGCACGAACACCGTCCTTTTATAAAACCGCGTCCGCGAACAGGGCCGCACCTTTATAAAACACCGTCCTTTTTAATAAAACATCGCGTGTACAGTCGCGAACAGGGCCGCACCTTTAGCAGCACGAACACCGTCCTTTTATAAAACATCGCGTGTACAGTCGCGAACAGGGCCGCACCTTTAGCAGCACGAACACCGTCCTTTTTAATAAAACATCGCCTGTACAGTCGCGAACAGGGCCGCACCATAACAGCACACGAACACCGTCCTTTTTAATAAAACATCGCCTGTACAGTCGCGAACAGGGCCGCACCATAGCAGCACGAACACCGTCCTTTCATAAAACATCGCCTGTACAGTCGCGAACAGGGCCGCACCATAGCAGCACGAACACCGTCCTTTTTAATAAAACATCGCCTGTACAGTCGCGAACAGGGCCGCACCATAGCAGCACGAACACCGTCCTTTCATAAAACATCGCCTGTACAGTCACGAACAGGGCCGCACCATAGCAGCACGAACACCGTCCTTTTTAATAAAACATCGCCTGTACAGTCGCGAACAGGGCCGCACCATAGCAGCACGAACACCGTCCTTTCATAAAACATCGCCTGTACAGTCGCGAACAGGGCCGCACCATAGCAGCACGAACACCGTCCTTTCATAAAACATCGCCTGTACAGTCGCGAACAGGGCCGCACCATAGCAGCACGAACACCGTCCTTTCATAAAACATCGCCTGTACAGTCGCGAACAGGGCCGCACCATAGCAGCACGAACACCGTCCTTTCATAAAACATCGCCCGTACATCGCGACTGTACTGGCAGAGGCGCACCTGGGTCCGGCGGGTCGGGCGGCAGCACGAACACCGTGCGCTCGGAGACGTTGCCGGTGTCCGCGCCCAGCAGCGGCTCGTCGCTGGCGGCCACGCGCTCGATGCACTCGTCGAAGAACGTCAGCCCCTGGTCGGCGTCGCACACGAACGAGCGCTCCTCGATGAAGCGCGTGAACATCTGCGTGCGCATCATCAGCGCGAAGAAGCGCTGCTGCGTCTGCGGGCCGGACGCTGACTATGGTTTGCGTTTCGCGAATGTATACTTTTTGTGTGAGTAAAATTGTATGAGGGGAGATAAATAAATTTTGTGGGTGTTGGATCGGAAAATAATTCAAAAATATGTCATGAAAAATGTTTCATTTTTTATTCTTTCAATAAAATAGATAACTTTTTTAATAACGCCAAAGGCGTATAACTTCCTGTGCTTACATAAGTAAAGACACTGTTTTTTTATTAAGTATCGATTATAGAACATAGTTTGTAGAGTTTTTGTATGTTCACTCATTTATTACACAAATTATTTGTATTTGGTGATTGCAACTTAGTTCCGTCATGAAACGAATGTAATAAAAGCGATCTATTTATATGTGATCTGTTCACCTTATCCCTGGAGCGGAGGAAGGCCTCCATGTGGAAGAGCGCGTGGGGGTCCGTGGTGCCGATGGTGGGCGCCTTGGTGATGGGGATGAGGTAGCCCCGGTAGCCCTGCAGCGTCACCGCCATGAAACGGAGGAACGCCTCCTGGATCTTCAGCTCCAAGGCTTGCTGTGAAAGGTTATAAAAAAGTTAAGGACACATTTTTACACAAGTCTCTAGTCCTAACTATAGGTACAAGATAACTGTTTAACATACTTTTCTTTTATAAATAAATATATATTGATTACAGGTATGAAGACACTATGTTCATCACACAATATTTTCCCAGTAGTGGGGATCGAACCCAAGCGCTCTGTCGCAAGAGACAGAGAGATTCACTGTAATAGGATTGTCAAAAAGCATTAAAGGCAAAATTTACTTTTCAAAGATAATTAAAGCTCTTTAAAAGTATTCTAATAGCATAAAATGAGCTAGTGTAATTTTTGACTTTTAATTTTGTCTTTTTTTTTTTTCATGTTTTAGAGAACATTTCAAAAACTGGTAAATTTACCTCTTTTTTTCTCCTTTGGAAATCCCTATCCAGGCTTGTTGTTGGTTCGCCGTTGAATTTGGCACTGGAACGCTGAACGGGCGATGCTAGAATAAAACGATCATCATTTGAAGAGTATTAACTAAATTTATCAATAAAAACTTAACTATATCTCTAATTTTTAAATTATCGCAGCTTATTTAATTACTACATTCGTAAATAGTAAGACAAAGTTCATGCCTTATTTCGAAGTAGAAATCGGGTAAAGGCGGCAAAAACCTCAGATCATCAAAAAAAATTGCGCGAGCATAAAACCGTACACGTGATGAAAGTGGAACGACTTATATAAACTCTGTTTTATTATGCAAAGCACCGCTCTCTCAACGTTATGTCTTTCTCCCTCTCTTTTGTAACGAAATGTGACTAAACGTAACAAATCCTTGATCAGGGTAATTGCGATATAACACTAGCATTCCGTTTACAATTAATATCCCTGAATTTAGAGCCCGCATTTACAACAGCCCATATCTCCATTAGGCAAAAAACGTACCGGGTCTTATGTTCGTGTACAGCTGCTCCAGCGTGTGACGCAGCGCCCTCGCCTGTCGTTTCGGCAAGAGTTTCAACGATATGTGCCGTTGCGACTCGCATATCTAGAACACGAACTGGCATTAGGTAGACGAATACACATTAATTGTGCTTAACATCACGGAACACAGCAGAAATAAAGATCGTCAACATAATAACATAATATTTGTATGAAAATGGACGGAAAATGTTTTCTCCACTGCAAAGATTCCAACCTGCTTCCTCAGGGATACGCGCTCGGCGTTCTTGCCACTGAGCCAAACGGCATATATGCACATTATCAGCGATGTTTGACGCCATCTAGTGTTTTTCTTTTACAACAATGACCACGATTTCATATTATGACATTTTACAATGTAATATTTGAAAAAAATCTTCTCGCAGCGGCTAATAACTTTTGGTCCATTTTTTTACAAATTTTAAATTTCTTTTAAATTTTTAAAATTCTTAAGTGTAGAGAGAGAGAATAGTACTATAAAATGATGTCATTAAGAATTAAAGTTGCAGTTACTCGACATTCAATAAGAATTAAACATGGAACATAAGCACTGTAGTACTTTTAATTACTATGGTAGATCAACGCACGGATACTCAGGCTCAGCGTCTGATGTTGGACGAGTTATCAGGCTCGTCCGTAGAAGAACCGTTGCCTTACAGACCGGCGTTATTACCTATCACTATATACCATTTGTCTCAAAGAAACAAAGTATTACGACCTAGCTTTTACACGACACAAAACTGATTTTAAATAGTAAATTATTTTATGACTCATATTTTTTTTTCTAAAGGTAACTGATAACATAAAAACTTTTCAGTCATGTAATGTACCATGATGCCACACCACAAATTACAAAAATTATGAAAATCACAATAACTCAATGTAAAACATGTTTAAAGCATTAATAATAAACCTTTAGTCGAAATTGGACCTTAAACACGATGGTGAGTATACTTACTGTGATGTTATTCGTATCTAAGTCGACACACGTGACATCTGGCGGTGGTTCGTAAAGATCGAAGAATCTAGAATCGACGCCGATGAGGTACGGCAATGGCGCGTGCAACACCTCCGCCAGCCCTGAAAAATGGGACATTCGACTTTATTGCTATTGAAATTAAGTAGAATATAGACGCGAAACAAAGTCTATTTAAGTATTACCCAATGGACACAGCGGTATGTACGGGCACTGCCATTTGAAAGGAAACAAAAGGCTCGATACAGCCTCGGAGACGGCTGTTAATGTGTCCGGCCTGCGAAAAATACAACTAAAATTAATATAAAAGTTCATTGTTACGAATACGGTATACTGTTGTTTGGGTTATGTACACTCGTTTGAGTAGAGAACTGAACATCTCTTTATATAGGGCACTCAAAACTTAAACCGAGTGATTACTAACTGTTATCAAACGTAACTATATTTCTAAGTTTGCACAAGTCATTGCACACTAAACTGTATACATAGCAGGGAGACTACTTGTGGGGAGCAGGGGCAAAGTGTTGCCCTTATACTGCAGTCCAAATCAAAGTCAAAGAGTGTTTTTCATTCACTTTATGTAAGTCTATAGTGACAAATAATTTGTATTCGGTTTCAAGGACATTGAGATTTAATACCCACCTGTGCTCGCATTTAAGTTCTGGGATATACGTAAACAAAAAAAATATATATACCAGCGGGCTAGATCAGAACGGTGCCTAGAACGTTCTACTGCATTTGAGGCGACGCCATAAAGGTCAAGGAAATAAGTACGTGAGCACGAAAATATTCGTGTTTGTTAGGTTGTGCGGACGGGCGTGTGCATGCACGTGCGCTTGTGCGAAAATGTACCAGAGCAAGTGTACAAAGATCTCTTGCTCGGTGAGCGAGAGTATCAGCAGAGTTCTTCTTTATTGAGGATAACGTCTTAAAGGATAAGAAAATACGTGCATGCTCGAACGTACTTGTGCGTGTTCTTACTGGTGTGCGTGCGTATGTACGTGCATGTTTACGTGTACGAGTGCGCACCTGAGCGAGTGTATGAGTATCTTCTGCTCGGTGATGGCGAGCGCGAGCAGCAGCAGGCAGTTGTCGGGGCCGAGGTTGAGCAGCAGCTGGCGGAAGCCGGCGCCGCTGCGCACCAGCGGCTGCTCGTCGCGGCGCGTCACGATCACGCGCTCGTGCGCTCGCGTCGCCGAGAGCTGCGCACGGTTTCTTTGGTTATCGACCTTTTGGGTACTTTACGACCCTTTGGGGACGGAATGGGCTTAGCACCACTGTCTGGTAGAAACACTTTTTATCATTAAAATAAATAATAAGAAAAGCTGGTGCTGGTTAAAATTCAATGTCTCAACGATAATGTTTGGTGAGTATTAGAAATAGAAGAGAGCGGTAATAAGGTAATAACGCATTACTATTACTACTCAACTTTCCTCCTCTTCTCGGGGATATAATATGACCATGGCAACGTTGCTTAGGCATCGTAGGTCGTGGGTTCGATTTCCACAAGTGACAAGTATTTGTGTGACCCACCGACAATTGTTCCGGATCTGGGTGTTTGTTTCCCAAGAAGGGTAGACGTCAGTCAGGCAGCCGGTAATAAAAAATATAGCCCAAACTGCTCACAACGTGATTCACCAGGATGGTGATGATGTTAATACAAACAGGATTCACTAATATGCGAATAGTGCATCTCCAAAGTTCGTTTAAATAGATATTAGGGTTGTTATTAACCGCGAGTACCAGAAAGTACCGGCAAGAAACCAGCAAGTATAAAGCGATGATCTACGATTACCTGACCTGATATAAAAAGAAAGAGGGAGAGAATTGTCACAACGAAGTAGGCTTAAGTTATAACTTAACATCATTCTCGTTATAATATTATTATAGCCATAACACGACATCTGGCGAACGTCCAATGTGCTTGACATGGATCTTATCAGCTTATTCAAAGATAGTAAAGTAGAAGCGAGCATAAGAGATTGTTCAGTATAATTACTTAAGGGGTAACATGAGAGTTAAAATTAAATATAGGACAGGCAAAGCTTAACACGCCTCTAAAGATCGTCCATATGATTTAAGTACACAGTTATAGCTTCTTTACCATTTTTGATAGTCATAGCCCATAGACATGAACAACAAACAAATACACATACAACTAAGAAATAGGGCTGCAGATGTGATTCTTTTGAAAGAGAAGGCCCTGGTTACCTTACTCGCCAAATGAAACGTAAAAGTACAACCCTACGTTCAACTTGTGCTTTACTCGTATACAGTTTTTAGTGATAAATGCACACACACTATACGGTATAATCGAATGAATGAAAAAGCTCTTTTCGTTTGTTTTTGCAGACGTGTTTTGTTATAGTTTTATTTCACGCCGATCTATGGGCCTCTACCACAGTAAACGAAGAAAGGTTTCCCCATTTAAATACATTTATAGCGGAAAGGAGACTCCTAAAATTATTGAATGCTTACAACAAATTTAAACACAATTCATTTTATTCGTTTAAAAATAACACTAGTATATGTCGTGGAAAAACGTTATTTTGTCACCTGCAGCAAAATCCGTGGCTCTGGAAACGGTACTTCCTCCAATAAATGCGTAACGTATCTCTCGATAGGAACATTCAGTGGTTCGTCGCTCCACGACATGTCCTGTAATTAAAAAAAAATCATATTATATTACTGGGTATTACCTTTACTTTAAATGACTATTATTTCGCTATAAATTTTGCCTTTTTGTCAAATACAATTAGTGATAGTGGATTCGATTCCCACACAAGTATTTGTGTGAGTCACAGATAGTTAAGGGTGTTTATTTCCAAGGAAGGTCGACGTGTTATCAACATGTTGTGCCGACCCCGAAAAAGTGGGATAGGGAGAGGAGAAAGGAGTGTTTTATTTGCAATGAAAATCTAATATATAAAATTCTCGTGTCACGGTGTTTGTAATTGAACTCCTCCGAAACGGCTCGACCGATTTTCGTGAAATTTTGTGTGCATATCGGCCAGGGTGGAGAATCGGACATCTATTTTTCATCTCCCTTAATGTTAAGGGTGGTCAATCCCAAATGTTTTTTTGTATAAAATTTTTTGTGTTTATTTTTTTACATCATACAAAAATACATACAACCCTAATTTTTCACCCCTCTACGCAGACGTAGTTGGGGGCAGCAGCTAGTAATTTGTGTCAAGAGATATGCATAAACAGTTGTTCATTACAATTAGAGAGACATCCAAATAGAGAGGCATTCAAATTTGATAACTCCGTGGTTCAGTTACCAAGGAATTGGCTTCGGCGTCGGGGATCGTCGGTTCGATTCGCACACGGGACAACTATTTGTGAGACCCATATGTATAGTTGTTTCGCATATGGGTGTTTGTCCCCGTGGAATTTATGTTTGTAAAATGTCCTTACAACACAGGATAATGTTATCCTAAAGTAAGGGTCGTTTTTAAAAGAAAAACGAGAAAAAACGAGAAAAAGAGAGGGGGAAAGAGAGGGAGAAAGAGAAGGTCGGTGTTGCCATTCCGTTCGCTCACCAGTATGTAGAGCAGCCACCGCTCGAACGTGTCGCTGAAGGGCCACCGCGACAGCAGGCAGATGCACTTGATCACGTGGACGGAGTGCGTGGCCTGCGTCGCCCCCTCGCGCCAGCCCAGCTGCTCCTGCTGCCAAGCGGACAGCTGCTCGTGGGGGTATTCCTCGTAGAACGTCACCGCGGAACCGTACACCTGGGGGAAGGACATTTACGAACAATTGAAGGGGAAGGCGACTGAGTATGTGTAAGATTACGGAGTGAAACTAATTTTATTCATCGTGTTTATTTAATTTTTCAGCGTCCATTGTTATGGGACAGAGGAGCTGGTGGTCATTGTTAGTCCGGGCTACCGCCAGTTTTTAAATTGTTTATTTTGTCTTGACCATTGCAGATAATAAAATTAACATTCGTAAGATATAATATAACTTGCACAATTTTATTTTTATCTTTTCCACGACTAATCATGGTGCAACTCTGAAACACTCCGACCTTTAGCTTTATACCCTATAACATTCGCACTTTGAAAGCTCAATGAAAGGTATACCTTAGGTCACGAAAGGACATAATATGTTATAACATATGTTGTCCCTTCGTGACCTATTAGAGCAACTCTGATTCAACGAATTCAAATGAAGTCACCGATGGCCTGATCATATTATGCGTACTTAAATGAACTCTTGACTGGCAGTTAGGAAACAAACCTTGTCGGTGGCATCGGCTACCGTCAGCACGAAAGTCGAGAAGACCGGCTTGGGCTGGGCTGCGTCGTTGGGCCACAGCTCCAATGTGGCGCCCATCGGTAAGCAGAAGAGGGGCACCGATGTGGGGAACGCTAAGCTTCGCCTGTCCACCGTTGGGTACCTACAAGTCGATATTTTATGTTTCTCAACCATTGTTGAATAGTGTCACTACGGTGAACAATCGTCGCATCCGCTGTAGTTAAAAAAAAACTATGTTTATCACAAAACGTTTAGCGAATTTGTTAGTGGAATCGATTCTTCATCCTTCGGCCCAAGAGAAAGGTTCACTATACATTACTTTAATCAAACCTTAATTTAATCTTTATATTTTAATGATGGGTATTACTTTTGAAATTTTTCATGAGTCCTAGAAATCTAACGCCCAGTTTCTGAAATTCTGGGCATTGAAAAGTCATTTGAAAGCTGATTAATTAACATCTAAGATTATCAGTGTTTCAGAAACCGGGCGTCAGTATTCGGAACTTAATGCTGTGAATTGGGATTGTGTCAATCTGACAAAAAACTAGCATGATTTAATTTACATAAATGAAGAAAAAAAGTTATCGAAAAAGTACTTTAACATCGTTATAAACAAAAAAAACTAATCAAACTTCACGAGTTACACGACCTGTATCAACATTTTATGCCAATACAATGTCTTAATATACAGTGTAAAAACAAGTATATTTTTGTTGACAAAAAAACAAAACCGACTTCAAATATCTCGCTCACGTACACAGGTAATGAACTTAAAAGAAACCGAACTGACAATGTCCTTCAAAAAGATTTTTTGTTGATTTCTAAAAATCGCTCCACCGATTTCGATAAATTTAAATGGGCCACCGGAACAAAAAAAAACAATTTTCCCAATTAATAATGGAGTCCGACGAATTAGAAAAACGACAAAAGAGATAAACGCTCAATTACAACAGTGTCAAATGTCAATTTCATTATTGGAAGATATACCTGAGGTCAATTGTGGCACATAAAATCAATTTCATCTTTAAAGCATTGGTTGTGGCAGTGCAAAATGACCTTTAGGAATTCATTATCGTAATTATTACGTTTTAAATTGGGACGCGACCGAGTCGTCGTCGTCGCTGCACTTGAAATTGCGACTTATTAGTTTGCGATAAGGCGTATTTTACGATGCAAAGAGAGTCGCATTTGTGGATGCACCGAGTCGAGCAAAGAAAGGCGAGAGTCCGCCATTGAACTGTGCCCATATTGTTCTTAGACGGGATTTGCACAGTATTAATTAGAGTTGGTATTCAGTTGGGGCAAGCGTTAATTATGCCAGCGTTAATTATGCCAGCGCCCCGTGAAAGTACCGTTAATTGGTGCTAATTTAGAATTTAGTGCGAATAAGGCCGCCGCTCTGTATAACACCGAAATGCGTATTTTTTAAAATGAACAAACGGCACAACTTTTTAACAAACATTGGCATAACCAGGACTGTCTGAGGAAAAACTACGTTTTTGGGTCTTAATTTCGGCTTTAGACGCAACATTAACGATAAAACAACGATCGTTATACTGACCGGGTGCCGTGATATCTCAGTGGCCGGGCGCTCACCTTTAATTAAATTTGAGTTCGAACCCGGGTGCCAGCACCAATGAAATTGTTAATTTTATGTGCTGACTTATCACGTGCACACCGGTGAAGGAAAACATCGTGAGGAAACCTACATATTTTCGAAATCTCTTTCACTCCCCTCCAATCACCGCGTTTGTTCATAAGTGCACAAATCTTTATTTTACGTTTCCTAAAAATTGATATTTTTAAATAGATCAGTATAACTCACAATGTACGATTTGTTCATTTTTTTTTTCACAAATTTTTTTGAATAACAGACAAGTGGTTGTCGGTATAGGTGAACGCGGTTATTGAAATCGTAGAAAACTTATTTCATATCCGAGCGTAACCATTTTTATTGTAGTCTAGCTGACCCGTTGTTTTGCCATATAAATTATTTCTGGGGAATTTATGAATCTGAACGCATAAAAAAGAAATTTCGGAACGCACGCATAAAATGTTTGACAGGTAGGAACAGTTTGTATGGGAAAATACAATTGTTGCTATATCGATTTTCCATGCAATTTTTCCATAATTTCTCATCGTTTAAACCTTCCTTGGTCCACAAATATTTCAAAACCAAAATTAGCCAAATCTGTCCAGCCGTTCTCGAGTTTTAGCGAGACTAACGAACAGCAATTCATTTTTATATACAGGGAGATTTTTTGACAAGTACCCAAATTTACACAGGAGGTTCAGACTCTGTAGTAATCGTTTATTGAAATAAAAAACAAAGTTTTTTTTTTCCCAAAAAAATGCCATTCTATTCCCTAAAAAACAGAACGTGGTGAAAATGCGGTAGTCATTCATAAATACCTAAATTTTACTGTGCACGAACTTGTGTGCGTGTTATTTATGTTCTGTTCTAAATGGTTCAATGTTTCTGTGAGTGAAGCAAAAGAAATTCCTGATAAGTTGAATAATATCTTTGAGCTCAAGCTGTTAATTGTCAATAAAGAAATAATTAGACAATGCATAATAAGAAAGTTGATATGAAGGAATATACAGTATACAGGGTGGCTTTTTTAAAATTCACACAGGAGTTTCAGACTCGGTAGTATAATCGTTTACTGAAATAAAAACAAACTTTTTTTTAAAAAAAAATTGCCATTCTATTCCCTAAAAAACAGAACTTGTTGACAATGCGGAAGTCATTCATAAATGGTTCGTATACTTTTGATACGAACTTGTGTGCGTATTGGATATGAATGATCGCGCGAAAAATAAATGAGTTGCCAATAAATTACGCACTTTTTGAGATAAGTTCAAATGAATGTAATTAATTAATTACGAGTGATTTTAAATATTTATAATTTTTTATATAACATTTTTGATGTCTAGAATTTAATAAAAAAAATGGATACACGTAGAAAAGCCACCCTGTATATAGAAGATAATGCCCAACACTATTAAGGATTACATATATGCATCTATATGTATCTGGAAGTGTTAGTGAATAAAAAATGTGCAAGCGAATTAATAACCTTAGCATTACTAATTAACACGTTATCAGATGGTTTAGCGGCTTCGCTTTGATGATATACTTATCAATAATTTAAAGGTGGTAGACGACAAAATCTCCTCTACGGTCGCACCACTCACCTGAACAGTACTTCGGGCTTGTAGGCTATTAGAGGCGGGCGGTTCATTGACTTCTTGTAGCAGAGGAAGACGTCGCTACCCATTAGGCCTGCAATTTAAAATAACTTACAGGGTTAATAGCGTATAGATAATTTGGGGTTACAAGATTACACATTTACGAGAGGCGAGTCCATGGAAACATTGCTCAGAATCCGGGTAACACGAATCCGTATAAATATATTTTAAAACAACAACAACTGGCCAAAACGTTGTTCATCAGTATTTAATCCTTCAACCGAAGAAGAGTCACGCACCTGTGTTTTATTAACAAAATGATAAACATTTTGTTAATAAAACTGCAACACTCTTATCGTACTTTTTGTACAAATTTTAAATGAGAAACAGTTTTAGTGACATAAATTTGCATTGGAATATTTACCGGAAGGATGGGTCGTCTAATGACGTACTTCATAAGAGACCACGTAAGTACTCATGGGGGTAAAGAAAATAAAATTTTAACTATGTAATCTTTCGGTAAACTATATAAACTTTTTTACAGTGCCCAGAGGCAAAACTAAGGTTGAATCCGACCCTGCCCACTAGTGTTATCGACGTAACGTTAACATCAGGTTATCCTACTGCTTCTTTGGAACTTTCTCACATAAAGAGTCCCAAAGAGGTTAGAGGTTAACGGTAGTAAAAGCCGTACTTATTTAAGAAAGAGACTAGCATATGAGATCATACAACTGATCTTTGTAAACAATCGTGATTAAAAGGCAGGACCATATTTTAGTTAATCAATAACTGACTGATTTAACGACTCCTTTATAATACGACCACGGGAAAACAGACTCGAATAGTGAATACTGGGATAATAAATCTTATCATCAGCCGAGATAGCGGTCGAGCAACCGGCAATTTGGTAGTAAAAAGTTACGGTCTGTGTTTTTATTAACGCTGTACAAAAACATTAGAATCAATTGTAAGCTATAAAGACCATAGGAACGTTGTCCATGGTATTTCAATACGATCGCAAAAACGGTAACACTTTGCGACCAGGTTTCCGCTCTGTGGCGTTTTATTCGGCCGCGTTACACTTTATTGTCGCTAAACAATAAACGGTAATAGTTTTAATTGGCCTTTGGACATTTGCTACGCGGTGAAGGTTATGTATGCGTACACGACTATCGAGATATTAATATGTTCTACAAAATAAAAGAAACCTTGACCATGAGCGGATCAATTTGTTAAAGAAAAATTTCAGCCGGCAACTGAGCTTACGTGTATTGTTATCGAAATATGCGATTACAAAATGTAATGATATCAAACGATAGAATTATCAGGTCCGTTTGTAAGACAGTACTGTTTATTTACGATTTTGTTTATCGAATACATCATTTATTCACAATGAATACTATCAATTTTTATCGGATTATATTTTCATGTAATTTTGAACACCTCAGGTTTGGCGGCAGTCGTAGCCCTCGGATTGGATTGACCGTGATTCGTGTAATTATTGAAAGGCAAGGGCAATGGATGCTCGTTTAAAGAAACCTGTTTAAGAATGGCTTTACAATCAGCCGTTATCAATCCGCAATGAGTTCATGGTCGCCGTTTGAGATGATTTAAAAAATTTCCGCGCGCTAAATCATTTTTAATCCGAACCCACTTTGGAACAAATCTAAGATTATTATGTAGCCATCTGAATGTAAAAAAGGTATTTAAGACAGCCGGGACCTACCAAGAATCTGAATATCAATAAAGTTTCTAAGCATCAACTTTGTTTACAAAATCTAGCCTGTGTATTACCTCCCGGGCATTTCCAAGACTAGAGTGAGGTAGAAACTTTGCCGGCTTTTGTAAGAGTGGCTTTCCAGTCTCCTCATAGTAAGTCAACAGTGGACTAAACGCATGGTGGACTGGTCGCATACAAATTATTTTACTGCTCGCCGCGCCCTATTCTCTTCGGCACGTCCTCGGTTGAGGCGGCATACGTGCTCTAGCAGACACCGTTACTGGATGAAAACTCGTTAGCTGTGTTGCTTTAGAGATAACGAGACATCATCACCACATTTCCTTTAGTACAAATACGGAAGAAATAAATAAATAAATAAATATTTCGGACACATTTTTACACAACGTTCTCTCTACTAATATAATAGAAAACTGATAAACATACTTAAACATAATTTTGTTTTGTAAATAAATTCATATCATATATATTGTTTATATATGTAGCCACCCAGACACTGCAATAACACTATGTCCATCACACAATATTATTTCCAGTAGTGGGGATCGAACCCACACCCTCTGGCGCAAGAGGCAGGTTCACTACTCCCCACACCAATCGGGTCGTCAAATACCAACAAAATTTCCAAAATTTCCAAATTTGCCGAGGCAGTAATTAGCGCGGGTATGTCACGATAAATAGAGCCCAAACGGGCCTACCTTTGTTGAGGTTCTTGTTGATCATGCAGAACGCGTGCGGCGGGGACTCCCCGCGGCTGGCCACCACCACGCACACGTCCACCACCACCAGGGCGTTGCAGGGCGCGGAGGGGTGCGCCCGGCGGTACGTGATGAAGGTCTTAGCGGTCGAGTTGTTAACGTTCGCCAGGCGGCCCCCGACGGAGACGAGCACCATCTCCGCGTCAGCCATAAGCCGCTCCCGGCCGTCGTACATAACGCCTGAGTTGAGAGCGAACTATTTAAACAGTTCACCGGTACGGAGCGTCTGCATGTGTTAGCAATCTGGTATAATATTTAAACGGTTTCTTTAGCTAATAAAATCAGTCAACCTCCATACTCGGTTCGATCAATAACTTCTTACAATATAGTTGTGTGTCGTTATTAAAAGTACTTTATAGTCTATTAAGTTTTTTTTTCTGTGTGTGTGTGTTGCCAACCGTTAAGACGATGCGCTCGGGGCACCTCACTCAACAGATATCAATATAAATAATTTACGCCGGTCTTCTGAGGTCTGCCACGGTGCTTCCCCGGAAGGTTCTATCTAACCAGTGCGGGTTACTCGACTTGGCGTTGTTCGCAGCAAAGAGAGTAAATTTTTACAGGCTCATAAATTGGCCGAAATTTTTAAAAAACGTATGAGACGCGATAGCGTACTTTGAATAATGCATTTTATATTATTCATTAGAATTAAAAAAAAAATACTTTTTATTGTTCAGCTTTTGCTCCGACATGGTGGAAATATATTTAGGAACTCGGCCCTCGCTGTGGACACTACTGGACCGTAAGCCCTTACTAGTTATTAAATGCTAAGAAGAGATTAAACACAGCTTTCGTTTCACCTTAAACGAAAACCGGGCTGGAGATATCGCACGTCTATACTGTATATACAGCGTGTCGTTACCATCGCGACAATAAATGAACACACGTCTAACGCTACATGCCAATAATCATAAAAAATATTAACGTTAAACAAAATCCATAATTAAAAAAAATTTTTTTTCAAACAAACTAATTAAGTAAAAAAGAAACAAAATTTGTAGCATCCTATACAACTCGCGCCACAGCGTCGCATTACACGCCTCTCCTTCTAACAGTATGTTTTGTCTCTTTTAAATTCATTCAACCCATTCATATACTTTGTGACCTTTACAAATGAACTTTACATTACAGTTTTATATGTAAGGGTGTTCTAAAATTGTTTGTTTTGGAAAATTTTATAACTCTGTAAATATTGATGTTTGAAGAATGTAAATGTTTAAAACAATTTTAAAAATTTATCCTCTATATGTGTGTTCATTTATTGTCGCGGTGGTAACGACACGCTGTATAGCTATTGGGCGCGTTTAAAACTACAGAGCGAACACAAATATTGTCCGTCCGTTGCGAGCAATCGGCCTCTTGGCCTAATAAATAACACAGCCATATAAGCTTAGATATTTATAGAATGCCGTCTCGATCATCAATAAGGCTTCGTGGCACGACAGAACACGCTCCGCAAAATCATTTGAGAACGCAGACGCGCAATTGATTTTTATAACGTCGATGCAGTGTAGTCAAATGAAATAACAATCTTTTTTTGGTGTTGTTAGGAAGCTGTCAAAGCCGGGCTAACAGCTAAATACACTGTCACAAAAAAATGATTTTTATTTAATCTAACTATAATAATGCACCCAACTATACAGGGTGGCTTTTCTAAAAGTACCCAAATTCACACAGGTTTGGACTCGGTAGTAAAATCGTTTATTGAAATAAAAAAAAACTTCTTTTTTTCAAAAAAAAATTGCCATTCACTCTTTTGAAACGAACTTGTGTGCGTGTTAGTTATGAATGATCGCGGGTAAAATAAATGAGTTGTGTATAAATCACGCACTTTTTGTGATAAGTTCAAATGAATGTATTTAATTAATAACGAGTGATTTTAAATATTTATCATTTTTATATAACATTATTTATGTCTAGAATTTAATTAAAAAAAGGGATATACTTAAAAAAGCCTACCTGTATAATGCACCAACGTCATAAAGCGCATACATAGAACAACTTAAGATTCATCTGGTTTGCATTTTATAAAAATTACTTTGTCATCCAACGTTTACAACAGATACGGCCATTTAGAAAAGAACGCCTGCAAAGAAATCGAAGCCTTGTATCTTGTATCTTGTATTAACTGATGTTTTTGCTTTCAGTCCCGAGACTATTAAAGCTCCATCTGACGCAGAACCGGTGGGCTAGCCAGAACCCACGGGTTTGGGCCCTCCGCTGTGGGTAGGGCCGCGCATGTGCTCATGCGTGCGTTTAACTACGACATGTCATCTAAGGGCCATCGAAGTTGCGGTGCGGACCGAGACCCCGATGGCCGTCGACTGTGTTTTTAGCTAATCGGTGGCTGGGGGCGGTGAGAACCGCCCTGGAACGCGGGTGTACCTTGTGTACGCGTTGTGTTGGTCTCGCCGTGCTCGGAGGCGAGGGCGAACTATTGTGTTTGTTGTTACACTAGCTGTGGGTGTAGTGTTATCCGGCGGGACCCCCGGCGGTGGGTCCGGAGTATCTAAGTCCCCTTCCTCGACCGGGTCGATGAGGACGTTTCGCGGGCGACGCTTTTTGACGTTCGCGTTTGTGTCGGGTTGGTAATTTGCTGCGCTTACCACCAGAGGGTTGGGATGATGTTCGGCTCTATCGAAGAACCGTTTGGTCAGGTCTTTAAAATATTCGCGAATCGTCGGGAGTCTGCAATCGCTGTGCAGATCGACGTTGCGTTGATACCACTGCGCACCGGTGGCACGGCGGATGAACTTATTTTGTACTATTTGCAGCTTGTACAAGCGAGTAGGGTGCGTTTGGGCGAAGATCATGCATGCGTAAGACATAATAGGTCGTACGCACGTCTTATATAATAATAATTTGTGCCTTAAGGGCATTTTACTTTTAGCGTTAGTTAAATTGTGTAGCCGGCCGGAGACGAACGCGGCTCTATTACGAACGTTATTAATGTGCGTAGTAAATGACATACGCGAGTCGAAAGTGACTCCTAAGTATTTGACCTTTTTCTCCCAGGGGAGCGGTTGGCCATAAAGGGATATTTGCCCCAACTTTCTGCATTGGCGAGGACCGTTATAAAGATGTGACGGGTAAGTACTTCGTGTGAAGTGAATCGCCACTCTTTTCAGGATTTATTTCTATTCTCCATTTGCGAAACCAATCGCCGAGGCGGTCAGCGGCGCTCTGGAGTCGAGTGGTTAGTATTCTAAGGTTGCGGTCTGAATAAAAGAGCACGGTGTCATCCGCGAAAAGCGCGAGATTGACGTGGGGGTCTTTAGGTATATCGCTCGTGTAGAGCGTAAAGAGCAAAGGTGAGAGGCAGGAGCCTTGTGGTACGCCGGCCGTGAGGCGGCGGCTTGTGGAGAGGGTGCCCTCGACTCGATATCGAAAAGAGCGATTCAACAAAAAGGCCCGGATGGTGTGTACGAGCCTATCTGGCACTTTGAGTGTGTATAGCTTGTAAAGTAAGCCGTTGTGCCAGACCTTGTCGAATGCCTTTGCGACATCGAAGAAAAGAGCCCCTGTACTGATATGTTTCGGGTGGTTTAGGCCTTTTAGGATGTGCTCCGTTAGGCGGTATAACTGGTCGGGACAAGAGTGTCTAGCTCGAAAGCCGAATTGTTCCGTCGGCAGAAGGCCGTTGGAAAATAGGTGCTCTTTGAGCCTGTTTAATAAAAGCCGCTCGTAGAGCTTCCCGAGGCAACTGAGGAGGCTGATGGGACGATAGCTAGAGGGCTGGTTGGCTGGTTTATTCGGCTTGCGAATGCCGATAACCGTGGCTTGTTTCCAGTCGTCCGGAAAGGAGCAACTGGAGAGTAGAGTGTTGAAAATGGTCGCCAGTAAACAGATAAGCGGCCCAGGGAGAGCTTTGAGAATTTTGTTACTGATATTATCTGGAAATCGAAGCCTTGACCATCTGCATCTCACAGATATTTTAAAATAGGTATGACAAATGATACATGTTCGATCACATATCAAAGGTCTATTAGGATGCAGCGCATACGGCACATATCAGTGTTGGGTGAGCAACTTAAGAATAACGTACACTCAATACCAGCATGAATTAATAAGTAATTGCTGTTTGTCATTCGGATCGAGCCACTGTAGATGTCTTTAATTCTATGGTAAACATTGCCAACCAAGATCGTAGATTAATTTGTTTCGAAACTATTTTCAAATAATCGTACGATTATATTGCTATAATACATAGTTTTTTTTTCTTAACAGAGGCCTTTGTAAACTGCGGTAGTAAGTGATAATATACCGAACATTCTCTAATTGTCAGTTATCTTTCCTACTGCAACTTGACTAACGGCCGGTTTTAACAATCTATCTATCTGTAATTTTGGTTAATAGTGATAGGTATTGGACATTGCCAGGTCCATATTACTTACGTCAAAGTTATATTAGGGCCACGCAACAGTGTTCGCTGTTGCACGAATGGGCAGGTCCGTCCAAGTTAGTACCACGACCTCACAGAAGACCGGCGTGGAGCAGAAGTGCTATACTTCTGCGTTTCGTCTGGTGAGTAGCCGGGGCCCACTTCATTCAAAGGTGGCAACGCATCTGCAACCCTTCGGGTGATGCAAATGTCCACGGGCCGCGGTTATCACTTAACATCAGGTGTACCGCCAGCTCGTATGCCACTTTGTCACATAAAATATATATATATATATATATATATATATATATATATATATATATATATATATATCTCCAGTAACCAAATCTATAGATAAGATAGAATTTTGAAAGCAGCCGTATACTTTCACTCTATGGTATTAACAACAGATCCGGCCCTGTCAATGCATATCCGACTTCATTGCGTGCAATATTACTCGGGCTTTAAGTGTTTCACAACTGGCAAGGACAAAACCACATACACACGAAACAGTTAACCGCATATAAATTGCATATTGTAAAAATCAGTCAACCCGCATGTAGAAATTCCGGATTTATAATTAAATAATTAAACATATACACCTTCCTCTTGAATCACTCATCACTCTATCTAGTAAAAAAAAACCGCTTCAAGATCCGTTGCGTAGTTTTAAAGATCTAAGCATACATATGGACAGACAGACAGCGGAACGACTTCCTTTTATACTATGTACTACATAGTATGTAGTAGGTTTTATCTAATTTTAGAAATCCATTTAAAGACAAATATGTTAATAAAACTTTAATACTGTCTGATTCTAAATTACATTAATTGTTTATATGATGAAGTGGCGCAATTGCCAGAGTATTGGCTTCGGCGTTGGGAGCCGTGGGAGTCGTTGGGAGTCGTTGGGAGTCGTTGGGAGTCGTTGGGAGTCGTTGGGAGTCGTTGGGAGTCGTTGGGAGTCGTCGATATCTTACATGCAGTTAGTAATTGGCCGCGTGCCTCACTTGAAACTCCTCACCGTACAGAACGAACGTATCTCAGATTTCCTATAAAAGCGCGTGAATACCATGTCGAATGCGTTCGAATCTTGTCAGGTGCTAATAAAACTTAATCAATCCAAGGTTTTTATGCAGTGGATTTATAAATTGTCTGTTCATCGTGTCATACAGACGATTTATAAATTTTCTGTTTATTGGAACGTTTAAGAAAATTAGCCTCCTTTATCATGTTGGAGTAATCATTGTAAAATTGCCTAGATTTAAAAAAAATCGCTAGACTGCTAAAATAGATTTGAGATAACCATATCCATTATAATTTCATATCCATTAACAGACCGTCGGCGTCGTTCAAATTTAGATTATATTTTTAAGATATTAAATTTTTAAAGTTTAAGAAATTTTTAAACTTCCGTCCCTCTGTCCGTCGGTACACACTACGTATACAAAGTAACATTTCTACAATATAATATACTCTCTTTTGAACTGAATATTCTTTTAATCGGATCTAGTGACTGTATGACAAATTACATTCGAGATATCTTTAAATCAAGGTCATGTGCTTGAGAAAAAAAATGCACGGCACATTATGTAGAACAGTGGAGCGAGGGCATCAACACTGACCTAATGGAGCTATTCAAAAGGGATTCGGTATTAAAAATTACACACAATAATGCGAAAAAATCAACGATGGAAAAAGCTCTTATAGCGTTAAAGTAACGTTACGTTAAACGCAAGGACCATCCACACTGATCTAATGGAGCTATTAAAAGTGGAGTTTATATTAAAAATTAAAACAACGGTTGCAAGAAATTCAACGATGAAAAAGGCTTTTAAAAACTTTAAAATAAGGTTTAGAATGTAATGTTAAACGCGCGGACATCCACACTGATCTTATAGAGCTATTTAAAGCGGAGTCAATATTAAAATTCGCACAATGATGCGAGAAAATCAACGAAATGCTTTTTAATAACGATGAAATAAAGTTTGCAAAGTTACGTTAAACTTAAAATATAAAAATCTGTCAAAACACGAGCAGCGTCCGCAGAGATAAAGGTTGGGTCATCTACGGGCGTGGTAGCAGTGATCGGAAGGCCTTTATCGTTATTATCTGAGATGTGATAACGCGCCCACTGACACCAACACACACATACACACTGGTAACTGAGGTATCCTATATTGTCAAATATAATATACATTTCAGAAAAGATTTTTATGGGAGGAAAGTTAAAACAATTTACATCGGCGATATTTTATAAATAAGTTACCGTCAAAATAACTGAAATACCGGTTTTATAATAATCTTCAACGATGGATTGTTGGGGAGAAGACCACTGTAACGTAACGACTTCTACCACACCCAATTTGTGACGACGATAAAAAAATTTAACCGTATCACATTTTTAGATTTTTCAAACATAAACACGACTCTCATAAGATTTCATACCGTGCAAAGAGTAACTTTAATGATATAATAAGATTATGAGTCAAAATGTAATCTGTAGCTTTGGTTTGTTCGCAGTGAACTAACCATGACAGATCGTACGCAACCACTTCGCGAATAACTGGACAAACCAACTTTGACCTTAGGATGTCTGGGTAGAATTTAAAAAAACAATTTTAACAAGTCAGAGCTATAAAAACTGCAAAAAATTCATGTCTTCTTGTATCTTGTATTAACTGATGTTTGTGCTTTCAGTCCCGAGACTATTAAAGCTTCATCTGACGCAGAACCGGTGGGCTAGCCAGAACCCACGGGTATCGGTAAATTCATGTCTGTTTCATGGATGCCCCACTCAATTTTTTTTATTCTGTAATTTAGTATTTATTGTTATAGAGGCAACAGAAATACATCATCTGTAAAAATTGTAATTGTCTAACTATCACGCTTCATGAGATACTGCCTGGTGACAGACGGACAAACAGACAAGACAGCTGAGTCTTAGTAATAGGGTCCCGTTTTGCCCTTTGGGTACGGAACCCTAATACAAGAGAAGAGAAACGTTTACATTAACGTACATAATGATATCGTAGAAATGCAAACAATTTATATAAGCACATAACGACAACGAGGTTGCGAATTACGACAGCTGATGGTCGAACAACAAATTGCAAAAGCATTTTCTCATGCCGTACTAACGTGAAACATACACTGGGTGACACTCGCGAGAAATACGGAATATCTGTAACGTAATAAATAATAATCCGGCAAAGAAAAGTTAATAAATATACTTGGCGTCACAGTTTTATAACATGTAGAAGCTTCATAAGTTAATTTTAACGACAGCAACATCTTAATCCCTGCTGCGGCCTTAAAATGCTTCAGTAAGCCGTACCTAATCTAAAGACGGTACGATAAAGTAAGCAATGTTAAAAATCCAATGAACTTTTCATGTATGTATCGAAGTAGTTATGTGAAATACAGATAAGTTCTGTGAATTACAGATAATTTATGTGAATTACAGACTAATCAATCGCATCCACACTTCTTTCACAGCTTTCAGGTTGGCTGGTAGAAAATGCCATATGGCACTAGGCCCGCCTTTTTTACAAAAAAGTGTTTAATAAATATAAATATGTGAGTCTTTTTCCATATTTTTTACTTTTATACAGAAACAACTACTCGAGAAATCCTTAAAATGTACACTTGTCATTGTACAGTACTGTCTTTACTTTTCACAGAGTTGTCTGAAAACTATGTAAGGTAAGTAAGGTTTTGATATTTACTCTTTTATAAAAATGTCGTATGGTATCTTAACGAGGGACAATCAACAAAAAAAAAAAAGAAGTTAACTTCAAATCTAACTCACCTTTTTTTACGTGGAAAAAATCCTTTATGGATCCCGCCTTGTGGGTAGGCAGCAGGGGTATGTGGTATCTACGGGAGAACCCACTGAAATACCCAGGTTGCACCTGCGCTGTCGCTTAAGCCGGGGACACGGGAACACGAAACTCAATCTTTCACGAACCCCGGCGCGACTGTGGCCTTCTTAGGCCTCCTCTTTCCGGGTGTTTGGACACCCGGTCCAGCCAAATGGTATTTCCAACTCACCTATGTCAACCAGCGGAGGTCGGTCGCGCCCCCTGCGCAAGCAGAGAAAGCACTCCGGCGAACGCATCGAGCCATGGTTCAGATCGGCGGGCAGACCCGTCGGCGTGGTTTCCACCAGCTCGTAACCATTTGGCACCGTCTCACCGAGGCCAGGGAACACAACGCCTACGGCGAAAGTAAATCGTTGTTACGGCCGTACATAACTGTAGTTAATCATTTACTACTAGGGGCATTTTCGCCACTCAATATCATTTTCACTGATCGATAGAGACAGCGGCCAAAATAGAGTTTCCAAAACTATCGCCATGGTTTAATATACCAGTTTAAAGTTTTTACTTCTGTCTGCAGTCACCATGCATAGCCCTAAAATTTTTAATAAACAACTCTTTACCCTAGTTTTCAACCTAAAGTTTCGTTCATGGATTTAATAAAAACAACAATGATTTAATGTATTTATGTTCAATTCAGCTGGTCTGATGCAAAACTGCATAAGCATCCCACATGTATTGCTAATAAGGTGTTGGTGACGTTATAAGATGGGATGTATGTACATGTACAAGTTATAATAAACATGATTTCAAAAATTAAGATTTCATCATTCTTCAAATCATAGAAATTAATAAGAATTTTAAAAGCTACTATTTAAAGATAATGTAAAGCTGGCACATTTTATTATTGGCAGAGATCATAACAGATAACACAAAAACCTATAGTTAAAAAAATCATACTATTTTATATACTTATAACATTTAGCTTTAGTGTGATAGGACCACGCAGCAGCTTCGCCTATTGCACTAATGAAATTTTCAAGCGAAGTACCACGGCCTCAAAAGACGTGAAATGGAAGTATGTACTTTAGCAGTCTGTCTAATGAGTGAGGTAACTAAAGCGCAATTTGTAAATGTTGGCATCGCATCTGCAACCCGTCAAGTTGTGTCAATGGGGATTGGTATTCACTTAACATGAGGTGAACCACATGCTTTCTCGCCAACTTATTACAAAAAACACTTACGACAATTTCTTTGGTCACTTGATTTGTTCTTTTATTACATTTTATAGTAGGAGGAGGTAAGCAGGCTGGCAATTCACCTTATTTTGTTGCCGCCCCATGATTAACTACATCACCCATGTTGTAATGGCTTTACCATCAAGAGGATGTAGCCCTGTTACCTCATTCACAAGACTGATGTATGAATATGTTGACTATACACCTATGAGACTATAGCACAGGCGAGTCTGACCAATTGCTATTGCAGGACCAAAAAGCTGATGGGGGCTTCATTAAATACACAAAGTCAGTGTTGCAAGTAACTAAAATATTGCATATATGTAAAATCTTTATTCTATTTTAATCCATTAAATAACTAAAATTACTATAAATTCATAAAGCTTACACTCAGACACTTTACTTAAAAAATATTATATTAATACACAATTAAACACACAGAGGCAATGAACTTGTCAGTATTCATTCATTTTTTGTTAAATAGTTTATTAAAGAAGTAATCAAAAATGAATCATGGGGAATCAATAAGCCCTTTGCATTATGAATGCTCTTTGGTATTATAAATAAACATAATATTTTGTCTATATAAAAGTGCTATTCTTAAATATCAATTCTTCTTTAATTCAACTTACTGTATATATTAGATAGCACTTGTACAGATATAAAAATATATACATCAATTTAATCAAGAAATTTGGGCCTATTCTTTCACCTAATTGGATATGAGGCAACTAATTTTGTAAGGATGTAATTGACATAGGTACCAAAATGATATCAATTACAATACAAAGGTGTCATATGAGACTTAACCACAGACATTGTAGATAAAATGAATAATAAGCAGCAAGAAAATATCAAGATTGTCAACATATCTTTTAGAGGAAAAAAAATGAAAATATCAAAAAAAATATTAGTAGAAAATTTATTGTATCAGGAATTGAGCCAAAAACTATTGTACCATGTTATATTGTGTTGTTTTGAGCATACCTAATAAAATACAGTTGCTAAGTATCTTCGCAAAATGTAGTCTTTTTATAGAGACTAGGGTTAGTCATAATCAATGTAAAATCATTAACGACATTACAAACCTATGTCTGTTATGGGTGCCTTGGTACTATATCCTTTGAGGTGTCCAGAATCTGAATCATCCAACAATTCTGGTTTTTCTGGCAATCCAGCGACAACAAAATAATCTGCCACACGCCGTTCATCCATTATAATGCACTACTTTTGTATTATCTGTAAGAATTACAACAAAATAAGCATTTTAATTAAAAAACATCAGGCATTTCAATAACATTGTTGCAAAAAATGAAAGATAAAAAAAATCTAACCTGTTTTACTAATAAAGGGCATTATAATAAAACATTAATTTAAATTATTAACGTGAAGGATAATTTTATATGCGATAGTATTTACATTTTTTACTAAATTTTATTGCGCAAAACTAGAAAATTATTAAAACACGAACTCTAATGAAAGATGAAAACTTACAATAAGTTTACAGATAATAAATATAGCTAAGATAAGCCGAAAAATACAGATTCACAACACTGTAAACTACAGAATGCGGAATATTTAATAGTCCATATTTCTGTTTTGTACAGCATCATGTATGCAGTAAAAATAGGTTTTTCAAAAGATTTTTTAACAAAATTTTTAACAAAATGTATGTTAAAGATTAATAGATCTTACATTCTAATGGAACATTGTTTTCAAAACATATTCTTGATGTTATATTTTCTCGATAGAAAAAAATTCGTGAAACTAAACTAAACTAAACTCTAAAAGAGAAATTGTAGAATATTTAAATAACAAGGATTGTTGTCTTAATTTGTTGATTGAAGTAAAATATTTGTAAATATCAATTTTATTCATGAAAATTTATTCGAACGCATTTCGAACGAAATTAAGAGCCGTGATAGCTCAGTGTCCGGACGCTCGCCTTTAATTCAATATACTCGAGCAACCTGAATATAAAATAAAAATATTTTTCGAAGATATGTGAAGTCCGCCAATCCGCAGTGGGGCCGCGACTATGCCCTGATACTCTATGTATAGAGGAGGCCTTTGCCCAGCAGTGGGACATGTATAGGTTGTTATTTTACTTTTTTTTTTAATTCGAACGCGACGACTAAAACACAGCACCACTGCGGCGTTGTTTCGGTCCTCTTTCATTTCCACACGTTGATTGAACAGAGAGCAAATAGTACTTTTAAATAGCTGAAATTTGACAGAGAGCGCCGGGATATATGTATTATCTTTCACTATATATGTATTATCTATGGAGAGCGCTGAGGCGCGTTGCTATTGCTGTTGACCAATGCCGCTCGTCTTCCCAAAGACAATGTAATCACTACGTTTAAGAGACGGGACTTCCATACTAGCCAAAAATATCAGTTTACGCGGCACTCCAATACCAACCATACCACAAAGATGTCAAACAACAGGAGTACCAAAGTAACGAGACATATAGTGCTTAACCAAGCTAGGTAGAAATCGAGGTTTCCACTTAATATTTTTTTTAATTAATTTTAGGTAAGTATCGAGTCCGTATTTATGTCCAATGTTGATGAGGGGATATTTGGTACTAATACAAGGTTGGACTTAAATGCGGACCCGAAATAAGATAAAAAACAGTTTTTGATAATTCAAATAAAATTTTATTACTGAAATGAAATTTATTTCTTGTCTCTTGATTCTTCAGCCAATGGCTGTTGTCCTGCTGTACATGAGTCTGGAAATAATTGAAACATAAAAATAGAATCAAAATCCAAAAATTATTTTAGTTTTCTTGCTAGCTCAGCGCACGAAATTAATTATATGACGTATCAATATTACAGAGATTATGTTTCAAAATCCTGCAAAATTCACCCATTCCGATCCTTGCTCATTTATGTAGGCACACCATTCAAATATGTAAAAGTTTGTGCCCCTACTCTTTCACGCAACATATTATTTCTTTTTTTTTTTTCAATGATAAACATTAACGTAGTTATCGATATGTGGATATTACAGTTGCAGACATCACTAGCACACAATTTAAATGAGAGAAATTTGTTAATTTTATTTGTTCTTAGCCTGCTCTACTTACATATGGCTGCAAAGTATCATATTTAAGTGCTTACATGGGCTTCATCAAAGGGAAATCTCGCCATAAACCTCATTTTTCAAGATTCGAATGACTTGCTCGATTTTCACCAATTTCACAGGTAATAAACCGTCTTTTTGGCATTTTGAATTAAAAGTACAACTCTGATCACCTGTCACTAGTTTACGTGAGAAAGTTTACTCTTAACAATTTAAATTTACAATGAAATAAGCATTTACATTCAAAATACGCGGTGCAAAATTAAGTTTTGACAAACAACATGTCACTTCGTGTATTGCAAGCAAGAGAAACCGCATTGAGGGAGAGTGATAGCAATGTCCGCCATCATTTGCCGCGTAAAGTCCATAGAAAAATTTTTTGTTCCTAGTTTCGCCAGACTGGTCTTCCGCTCACCGTTACGAAATATGTTCCGTATTTATTTATCTTGAATGGTGGATGTGGCTCATGGGATCATTTTCAAACCAAAAAGACACTTAAGGACTAATAGGAAAACTGTTTATTTCAACTTAAACATTTTGAACTTATTTTTGGACCAAACGTAATCATTATGGAATTTATATAAAGAAAGACTAGACTGTCAATCAGGAGTGTTTCAGCTCGACAAATTTTCACTTCGATGAAAGGATTTAAAAAAAAATGTGCTAATAAATGTAGCTCTATTTAAATATCAATAACTATTTCTTTTTGAGCCTTTGATGAAGGTGCCATTATATCACTACTTTCTAGTGTATTCATGGTTGTATTGATTTGAGCTCCTGACAATAGGAGGCTTATTGCACCTTCTAATTCACTGGCCCTTTTACACACATCTATTTCTTGCATAATTTCTTCTTTTAGTGAATTATATAACCATAGATTCTGTTCTGAAAATAACTTTATTTGATTCTCAAATACATCAACAAACACATTCAGTGCATCAATAACAGTTCTTGTAAATCTTGTTTCACCAAGATTTCTTTTGAAAAATCTAAGTAAAGCACCAATATCTTTTTCTGATAGTTTGTCAATTGCAACATGCAATACTTTTCTACGCAGCATTTCTTGTAAAAGTGCTACAGTTTTCTCTGGATATTTGGACAGTACATAAGATTTTAATACAGCAGACAAAGCTTTGTCAAATTCCATTTTTCTAAGATGTTTCTCAAACTGTGGACCTTTCTCAATTTTTTCCTTTTTTACAACATTATCAACTGAAGAAGAAGCAGTTTGTATATGGTCAGGTGCAAACTTATATAAACCTTTTTTTTCTTCTGTATGTCTCAATGGTTGATCTCTTGACCTAATTGATATTACTCCATCAATCATTCCAACAGCCAAGACATCGTCATTTTCTGATATGGCCATGCTAAGAATTGCATTAGGGAAGTCAATATTGTGAACTACTTTGAAAGTTGAAATGTCATATATTTTAACATGCCTGTCAAGGGAGGCAGACATTAGTCTACTACTATTGCTAGATAATCGTAATGTTGTCACTGTTTTATGATGTTGTGAGATATTTGCTAGTAGTTTGCCCCCATTGAATATGTCCCAAACCTTAATTTCAGTTCCTCCTGCACTAATAAAAAGACCACCTGATGGTATAAAAAGTGTAGATTCTACAGGACTTCCATGGTTGACAGTAAGGGCAGGTTCATTGATTCTGCAATCATACAATTTTACTGCATGATCATAGCCACCAGATAGAATTAGATCCGGTGATACAGGACTTGGTGCTCCAGCTCTGACATAGTCAGTATGCTCAGAGAAGCTTTTAATTTTCTCTTCAGTAGCTATATCCCAAAGGCATACAGATTTGTCATCTGAGAAACTTATAACTTTATTTTGATCTTTTGTAAAAAAAGTTCTATGAACCTGAAAACAATGAATTTTTATCAAGTGAGTGTTAAACTTAGTTGCCAATAACCATTAATCACTAAAAAAAATTATTTATAGTCACTAAAGTTGAATTAAATGGTTATTCACATATGAAGTAACTTAATTAGAATTAATAATATAAAAGAAACAATAAAGTTAAAAGATTACAAAAACATTTATCCCATCAAATCCTCAGCACATGCAATAGCAGATAGTGAGATGACCACTTGAATAACTTCATGTTCTAAAAGTAATGAATTTTATAGTATATGCTTAAATTAATATATGTTTATCTAAGAACTCTATTTTACACTCTGTTGTTGAAAATTCTCTTCTTTTTCAATTATATTTTATTGGACATATATATATTTATATATATATATATATATATATATATAGATTTAAAAAACAAATAAAATTCAATACATTTTTTTAATTATATGTTCATGTTTTCATTTTAACATTGCCTCCAAATAAACTTTGTAAGAACATTTTGACATGCATTGATGAGGTCCCATATTTGGTACAAACATGCATCCACAATGAATTGAAATTAAATGTTAAAATTAAATGCAATTTTCCAATTTTAAACATTACATAAGTAAAACTACTGAATGACGAAAATTAAAAATAAAAGAAAATTCCCCAAGTAATAATATAAAGACCTTTTCCACTACTTATTCACATAATTATTTCAAAAAACTTGAAATTCCTGATTAGAATCTTAAGACACATCAATATCATGAAGAAAAAATTTGTTTGCTTTTGTTTATTTGAAAATAAGGACAAAAACTTACAGGTCCAGAATGGCCATTGAATACACGTAATACATTTTTTGATTGGACATCAAATAATTTTACAGCTGCTTCTTCACTTCCTGCTACTAAAAGTCTTCCATCATTTCTGAAACAACCACCATAGGCCGCCTCCAAAAATTTTGAAATATTTTTCGCAACAGTTTTTGTAATTGGGTCATAAATCTGAAATCATTAAAGATTTTTTTGTAAGAGATTTATTTTATTGTTGTTACAAAGTGAAGCAATCATTATTTTATTTCATTACTTATTGAATGTTAATGCAATGAAGATAAATGTGACACAATTTTATATTTTAGAACCTTAACTAAATCTTCCCTTGCTAGAAGTAATAGGTTAGGTATTTGCCTAAGAATATTAGTCACATATTCTTAGACATGGCAGTTCTATTAGTCCTAAATTTTTTTAGGAATACATATTGATTTACTGCTACCAAGAATAAATGCTATTCTGTATTTTGTACAATATTTGCGTTTGTATTTATTTTACCTGTATTCTGACTGAACATGTTGCAGCAATATAGTATGGTTCAACAGGGCTGAAATCTAAATAGTCGATAGCTCCAAATTCTTTAACCAATACAGGTTGCTGAAATGATAATTTAAGATTTTATTTTACTACATTAAATTGTAATTACAATGATTTTATAACATGCTGAAACTATACCCCTAACTTCTTCCAATATATGTTATCTTCAGTCAACGCCGAAGCCGGTTTTTGGTATACAGATTTGTTAGTTCTTTTAAAGGGATATGAAATATGAGCCATATTTCCTTCTTTGAGATTTCAAAATAGGAAGGAAAATCAACCTTGCCTAAAACATTCGATTGAATTTTTGGCGAATGTTTATGTTACATGCTCTTTTGACGTTTATGTTGTGTGACAGAGACAGATCACAGATCACAGAAGTGGCATCAACTATTATTACATTACAATAGCAGTTACTAGTTAGCACTAGCATGTGTTAATAAGCACCAGAGCAGAGGTGAGAGCTAAACGTAGCTCAGTAATACTTAAGTTAAATCTATAATAAATATTTAGTGGTGGGTTGTTATATAATTTCTGAGGAACGAAACGCAGCCGTTGTCCCGACAACGGAAACAGAGAAACAAAGAGATTTTTTAGTGTTGTTTGCAGGTCCGGCAGCGTCGAAAGTTTCGTTAGAAATACTATATGCAGACGATATTTGGACTCAGGATAATACATTTGCTGGTGCATGACTATAAAACGATGGCGCCATCCGATTCGTTGTAACCCCGCAAGTCAATTCGAATAACAAGGGAAGATGCTAGGCTTAATCATAAGCATGCTAGGAGCCATTCAGATGGAGGTTTGAACCCCAGGTTTAATCATTATCGATATTGGATGGAACCTATCCAGAGGACAAAATAAGATCGAAATTGTAATTAAACACCAGACATAACTACTACAACAATGCAGAAAGAAGGCGTTAAGATTTTCGTCACTGTGGCTATCAGCCGTTTAGCTCAGTGGCTAGAGCGTCAGCCGAATGCCGAAGACGTAGGTTCGATTCCCACAACGGCGACAATCTTTTCGTACTTTTTCTACATGTTTAAATGCTCAATCTTAAGTGCAGAGATTAGCACTATAAAAAACTTTAAAATTTATATTAATTAAGTAAATTTTTAAATAAAACTGTTATGATTACCCAGATAATTAAATGTTCCGATAATTATTCTAGCTTGTTAGATAATTTAAAAAAAACGGTGACTTTTTTGTTTTTGAATTTCTTTAGGAGGTTTTTTTTTTAACAGTTGGTAACACTGCCTGCTGTCACTATTCTATAATGAATCAGGAATAACTGTCAAGTGTCTAAAAATTGGCAATGTTTTTTTGACTAAGATAAGCAGTAATAGTTGTATTTTTACAATATTAATATATAATTGACGATTGGGCTGCAGAAAGCATCTTACGCAATGTTTAAATTGATTAATCGCCATGCACGTCGAAGTGGTGTCATATATTTGCGTAATGAAAAAATTGAGGTTAGAAAAGCTAAAGTCTATTATTGCTATTCGTCAGTTGGATCTATAAGATATGCTTCAACCATTAATAACGATGCTGGAAAAACTGTTCCATTGGTCGAGAGTATACCCGAACCACCACCTGTTCCAGATACCTCGATAATAACCGAGACTGTACAGTCTTTAGCTGTTAATGGTGAGCCAACATTCGCTAGTTTAGGTTTAGGAGGATGGAGTCCAGTAGGCATAGTACAAAACTGTATGGAGTACCTTCACGTTTCTTTGGATGTGCCATGGTGGGGTGCAATAATGATTGGCACCATTGTTGTTAGAGTTGTTCTGTTTCCTTTAGTAATATTATCACAAAGAAACACAGCTGTAATGAATAACAATTTACCTGAGATTCAACATCTCCAGCTTAAAATGACTGAAGCTCGACAAACTGGAAATCAGTTAGAAGCTGCGCGATACGCTCAAGAGATGATGGCATTTATGAAAGAGAAAGGGTTAAATCCGTTAAAGAATGTCTTGGTTCCTTTGGCCCAAGCGCCTGTATTCATCTCATTCTTTATGGGCTTGAGAGGAATGGCTAATTGCCCTGTAGAAAGTATGATGCATGGTGGATTGTGGTGGTTTACGGACTTGACAGTGCCAGATCAGTTTTTCTTACTTCCACTATTTACAAGTGCAACAATGTGGGCTACAATAGAATTAGGTGTAGATGGTGGACGGCTTGAAGCTCAAAATATGCAACTTATGAGATATTTTTTAAGAGCAATACCAATTGTTATGATCCCATTCACAATTAATTTTCCTGGGGCTATTTTAATGTACTGGTGTTCAAGTAACTTTATTTCCTTATTGCAAGTTGGATTTCTAAAGGTGCCGGCTATAAGAGATTATTTTAAAATTCCAAAACTCATCAAACATACACCAGAGAATTTACCAATAAAGAAGAAAGGTTTTGTTGAAGGAGCAAAAGATTCATGGACAAATATGAAACTTTCAAGAGACCTAGCTGACAGACAAAGAATAGATGAAATGATATTTACTAAGGCAGGCAAAGGTGCTATACAAAAAACTTATAAATTTGATCCAACAAAGTTATCAAATGTACAAGCTAAATCTAAGTAAGTTTTATGTTGTATCTGTTTGTTATTTTATTATGTAATAAATGTAATAGTAGCTTTTGTTATTCTTTGTTTTTTATCCTTTATTAAATAAGGTATTGAAATAATGGTTTAAATGGAATTTAACTTCACTTTAACAGATGTTTCTGCTTTCATCTTGCTTCAGATTGTGAAGGACCGTACATGTGCTTATGCATGTGTTATCTAGTGGGAAAGAATGTCACGCACAGGCTATTTTTGCAGGCCATTGGCACAGACCATGACCCAGATGGCTATTGAGTGTATTAATATGTTGTTGTGGGTGGTTAGAGCCACCCTGTAATGATGGTGTACCTTGTGTATGCCTTGTGTTGGTTCTGCCGTAGTCATAAGCAAGTACGAAAATGTTATATTATATTAGTATTTTGTGTGGATGGTGTTAGGTATTAGGTTCATAAGACAACTGCTATCTAGAAGATCTATTGCAGTCTGCCTTTCGAAAACATTACTATACGATCCTGTAGGATAACATTATCCTGTGATGTTTTACATACATAAATTTCACATGGACAATCACCCAGATCTGAAACGATTATCTGTGCATAACACAAATAGTTGTTTTGTGTGGAAATCGAATCCACGACCCCCGGCGCCGAAGCCTATATATCGGCAAATGCGCCACGGAGTCATCACAGGTGAATATATTAGAACTGAGTGTGGGTGGTATATTGTTGTCCCTACTTGATCTGACTAAATTTAAGAATTTAGTCTACTCATCTATGACTTACTCTGGGCCCTACCAGAATAAGTCATAGCAGCAGACATAGCAGCTTCGGCAAATGTGAGCAAAAAAGTAGCCAACAAGCTCGAAGTTCACCTGATGTTAAAAGATATTCGACACCCATGGACATTTCCAACACTCGTAGGTTTGCAAATGCGTTGCTGCCCTTAAATAAAGTGGGCCCCGGCTACCTCACTCACCAGACGAAACGCAGAAGTGTAACACTTCTACTTTACGCCGGTCTTCTGTGAGGTTATGGTACTTACCTGGACGGACCTGTCCGTTCGTGCAATACTGTTGCGTGGCCCTACCACAGTTAAGAAGTAGAGTAAAAGTAGGGTAATCACTTAATATCAGGTGAACCGCCTGTCCGGTGTCTGCTTTGACTTAACTTTTCACATAAAAAAGTGTCTCCTGGCTTTTTTGAAATTTAAAGTCTGATCACTTTTATCCTCCTTTCCTCCTTCCTTCCTTTCCTTAGTGATCTATATTGATCCTTTATTTAGTGATTTAGTACTTCCCAAACAAAATTTTCCTAGATTCAATAACTAAAAATATAAAATAACTAAAAAGGTAAAGTTGAATCAACAGAAATAACCAAAAGTAAAGTAACAGCCTATATAAATGTCCCACTGCTGGGCAAAAGTCTCTGCAGAGGGGGTATTAGGGTATAGTCGACGACTCGACCCCACTACGGACTGGCGGCCGTCTTTAACTCATCATATATCTTTGCCATATTTTTTTTATGTTACTATTTCTAAAATATGCAAGTTTTCGCATACTGTTTTCCTTCACCTGATATGTTCTCTTTGAGATGCTTTCGGAATTTAGATTTCAAATCGATCGTTTTTGCAAGAAAACTATTGTTCTACATCGGCCGCGTGCCCCCATAGCAAAATATCATGGGGTCATTAAAGCCTTTCTGAACGACCGTTTACTCGGAAATTCTTTTATTTAACCTATAAAACTCAAATACATCATACTTTTTTCAAATCCGGTGTTGGCCGGATTGGAAAAACTATATTCTCGTGAGGTATACGACATTAAGCTACTCCGAAACAACATCCGATTTGAAACGTTCCGGAGTAGCCGGACACCAGTGGCGGATTTCCAGTCTTAGCCGCCCTAGGCCCAGGCCATGTAGTAAGTACTAGCCGCCCCTTTCTCAGCGCCCAAAATGTAGACTACATAATGAATTTACTTTATTGCCAACTTTTATCGAAGTCGACTCAGAAAGCTAACTGTCAAAGCTGCTAGTTAGTAATACTTTCTGATGTTTCAGAAATATTTGCTCCTTTTAATGTAACGTTTAAACAGTTTTAGGTTTTATTTATTTAAGTACAGGTTTGTTGTCATAGAAGTTAAAATTTTGTCAGTATTACACAATGTAAAAATTACGACAAAAAGAACGAAGTTTTTCAAGGGTTCCATTCCCTCAACGGCGCAAAACTTTTCGTTCTTTTTTCTAAAAATTTTAATATTTCACATATTAAGTGCAGATATTGGCACTATAAAGTTTAATATTACAATATGTTACAAAACTCGTCTGCACTAAAGCGCACCAAAATCATTAATCAAATCTTAGACCGCCAACCATCAAGGTGGTTTCGATGGTATTGGTAATTGGCGGTTCGACGAATTGTGCAATTATTAATATCTTATATAATGGTAGTGATTTAAAATCTTGTGATTATTAAAAAATATTTTAATGATTAATAAAAAAATGAAACAATGGTAATATCACGTAAACATAACTTTCATCTTAAAAATATTCTAATTTACCTTAAAAAATGATAGCATTTTAGTCATATGAATTTGTGGACTGCACATTGCATTCTTAGTGTCGTCAGCTATGTGACAAGTTTCATACATTTCAAGAAATCACATCGAATATGTATGCCCCAGTGTTTTCACTAAATTTCTATATTTTAAAACGGTCAATCAATGGCGAGCGAACGGAATGACGGCGATTCGACCGAAACCTTTTCTTTATTTTTCGATTTCTTATCCACAGCCACCCAAAGTTTCTCATTAATAAGATCCCTGAAAATAAAAGAGACATGGTTATTGCGATTAAATTTGTAATTTGTTTATTTTTTTATATTTAGTGCTCGTCTCTGCATTTAAGATCAAACTTAGACATGTGTAGATAAGAGTGTCACAAAATTTTCATTTTCTTTTTGAAACGTCTTTGTTTTATCTACTCGGCTTTAAACAGTTTTATCTACTCGGTTTTTTCAATTTTTGTGTTCAACCATCATCTTTTCCATATCAAATCTTTAAAGAATTCACCAGAAATACATTTAACAGCGTATTTTAAGTATCATTTATTAACATCATTTGAAATTATTTTTATTAACACAGTAATTAAATAGCATCAATTGTGACGCTACGCACTAAAAGTGAATGGTGTTTACTAAAAATGGTAATGGCTTGGTTATGTAAGACCGAGCGTACGGTTGAAATTAACCTTCCTTGTGAACAATCACTTAGGTCCAGAACAACTCTCTATGCGTCACACGAATACTTGTCTAGTGTGAGAATTGAACGCCAACGACCATAAAACCACATCTGCGTTACATTTTCTTGGTGGTAGGGCCACGCAACAGTGTTCGCTGTTGCACAAATGGGCAGGTCCGTCCGGGTTAGGACCACGACCTCACAGAAGACCGGCGTAAAGTAGAAGTGTTCCACTTCTGCGTTTCGTCTGGTGAGTGAGGTAGCGCCCAGGACGCTTTTACCAACTAAGCTAAGCGACCGTTGACGTAACGGCGCGAAAATTTCGACATCTATCTACGTTCTTTTCCAGTGTGCATCCTTTACAGTATACAACACCTTATAAAAACATTTGTAACGAGAGATGTGAGGTAGCCGGAGCCCAATCTTCAAAAGGTTGTCAACGCATCTGTAACACTCGGGTGTAGCAGATGTCCATCGGCGGCGGTATTCACCTAAGATAAGGTTAACCGAACCGCCTGCTCGCTTGGCAACTTTTCACATTAAAAAAAATGTTGCCACTGCTAGTCCCTACACTCAAGTTGTCTTTATTTATCGATATTTAAATTCTTTGTTTAATGTCTTTTTCACAAACAAAGACAACTGGCACACATTTTTCTTTTGCTAAAGAAGTATAACTTCTTAGGTGCTTACATAAGTTATACACTTAATGTTTTTACCTGTGTTTCATTATAAGCTGTACTACACTTTTATTTAGATCCTCCATTTTAGGCATTGCTCCACCATAGTCAGCTGGTAATTCATCTTTATTCACGTATTTATACAAAGTTTGTGACTTGGGAGAGTGAAAATAAATCTGTAATGCATGTTATTACATTCATTGATCAGTGTACCACTTTTCCACTATCTATTATTAAATTTTATAATTTTTAAAATTAGGCATCACTTAGAATTAAGCAATCAGTTTAAAACAAAGGATATTAATGTGTAGTCTCTTTGAAAAACTAGCGTGATTTGGAATGAAGTCGTTCGATACATACCATTTCAGTTAATTCCTTTTTTAAGAATGGCTTCATAAGGCCGTATATTTTGTCTATGAAGGGCGGCGCATTGACTATGTGTACCTGCTTCAGTCTAATCGGTATAGCTTCCTATAAAAAAAGTCAAGATTTTTTTTTTGCAATTAAGCTTTTTTAGTACTTATTCTAGAACGAATACTTTATGCACTAAGATAATCTACTGGCCATAGTTCGCTTGTTTAATTGTATGTTATAAGTTGATTTAACAACAAAAAACTTCGCATAAGTATCTTTAGATTCCGCCATTTAACTCGAGGTTGCTGTAACGAGTTTGGCTGGCAACTTGCAAACATTAATTATGACACTACGGCTTTCCGGCTGGTGATGTTGGTACTATTTTTTAATGTTCAATACAGATATATTATAATGGCATGATCTTTCCCGTTGATTTCTTTCAAATGAAAAAAAAACTAAACTTAAGATTAAGAACATAAAATAAAAATTGTCCCGTGACAATTTAAAGTGTTGAAAATGTCGGCAATTAAAATGAAAACTAAACGATAATAAAATCTAAATAGTTCGAAACGATATTTATCATGATAAATTTAGATTGATGATAATCAATTATTATTATTTGATCGATATATCAAAAATGTTTAATTTGCAAATCTTTAAATTGTCGAGGTTCCCACAGGACTACCTATTTTATAAATCTTTTCTGTTTATCGATTAATTATTTTCATAATTCATTTATCTATTTTTTTATTTTTTAGTGATACGTTGGGTTATTTAGATCAATCTACAAAGTAAAGAAAAAAATAATGTTTTCTCTTACGTGCAACATTCTCTTTTCTGCCACGATGTATTATGGTGAAAATTTAACAAACGCTCAGAAATTGCAGACATACAAATCATCCCAACCAACATTTTGTGCTACTTATAATGAATGGCATTGTTTAGAAACGCAGATCCTAAAGTAAAAGTAAAAATATAACAGAAATATCTTTCCTATGTTGGGGTGGGAAAACTTATTCTTGGAAAATGAGCAATGGACCTCAAAAATAAAAATTTTACATTTTTTGAGCCTTAACGACTATAGCAATTGCAAATACAGGTCCGCTTATTTTCACTTCGTAATTATTTTTTCGGTAAGTTTCTATTATTAAAAATATTTGTATACGAAATAATCGCGCATGTCTCTTTTGTAAATAATCACTATAACGAATTTGAATGAAATTTGTAAATGTGAAAGTTTATAATAATCCAGTGATTACCATAATTATATCATACGTAAGAAGTTAAACAGACATACCAACTAACCTCTTGATACTTGGCCAGTTTTCTCGCTACCGACACGTTATATTTTGTTAGAAACTTCAGTGATATGTCTTTGACGTCCAACACAACGACGTCAGATTCTTCTAGCTCATCGTTCTCTAGCAACCAGGCGTCTGTCGAAGTGTAGAAAAGTTTCACGTCGAGTAAATACTCATAAACATCTAAACCGGGGTCGTTGATTTGGTACAGCCAAATGTTTCGCTTTCCAGGCAACTTGAGAAACCCGATATTTCTGTAATGGAAAGTTTAAGAATATTCATGTAAAGCTAATGTTAGGCGTACGTTACAATGCGAGCCAAGTGCAAACAGCCTCTTTACGAACTTCCATCTCAATCGGCTCAATGATGTGGGAATGAACAATAATTATCCGATACAACAGTCGCGACAACTATTGTGCCTGGACTATCAACAGCAAGAAATGTGCAAAGTATGGTATTGTTTTGTGTGGGAAAATGAAATGCAATCTGGATCAGTACATCGATGTAGTTTCTGCACAATAGGAATCGGACATTGATAAAATAGCACTAGATTCATTTGCTTGATTAATTTGCAATATTGGCATATTCGGGATATTTTTGAAAAATTCGGAAAAATATTCGGTTGTTTTGCCGAATAATCATCTAATACCATTATACAATTATTTTTAGATTTACGCATGTTTAAATAGGTTTAACTCTGAGAGCCGTGCAATTATAAACGAAACAAATACGAATACATCCGTGAGCAGCTATCACTAAGTGATTAAATAATAAATCATCGTAATAATACAATTTGTGTTTCATATAGGTACCCGTTTTTAGTTTCAATATACGACTAGGTTTGACTGGTAGAAATGAAGTTTAAGTATTAAGGTTTATTTTAAATCAAAGTTCGCTAAATAAAATGTACCAGTAGCTGAAGTTATCAAGTTTATAAAAGAAGTTTTTTAACTCAAACTTTTTTAAATTCAAATAGCATAGGCGTTACTTTGGTCAATCAAATCAACATAAAATAGGTGTTGAGATTGTTACGTTACAATGCAATATCTTGGTTGCGTCAAACTTCAATACTAAGCAGAAACTGACAGTTTTATTTTGTTTATTTATTTCTTTATTGCCAACCGTAAAACAAGGTAACAAAGGGCAGAGTTAATGCCCAAAGGCATTCTCTACCAGTCAACCCAGGATGTGGTGAGTATTCCGTTATTTACGTTTTTGACCAAAGCAATAAGACCGACTTAGTGAGTGGGCGTCCAACTATAGAAGACTAGTTTGGCGATGGGGGTTGAAGGAGTTGCTTTTAGTCCGATTTTTCTAGATAGACGGTAGAAAAAAATCGGTTCTATACAAGTAACTTTTCTCGACAAAATATCGAAATAAACATTCGATATAGTATCGGGTACCTACTTGTATCAATTAATCAATGCTGCATTGTGCCTCGCAATCCTGTATGTAAGGCTATTGGACCGAACTATTATTCAGTTCGGTACATCTTGAACCGAATGTTCCACCGAATATTCGTATTCGGCTAAACGTATATCCGGAGAATCTCTTTTATTTTTAATAATGAATGATTATTCTGATTGTAGCGTCTCATGAGAAGAGGTCAGTTACTTCAAATATACACGGTATTATAAATTGTATGGAAGTTCGTTACTTTAATTGAAAAATAAAGAGAAAGTATCGTAACTGGTTTATATAACTGGTCGACCCTGAAATTATTGCTCCGCCTGTGGCGGGTTTTCGTAAATCAAAAGGTCGATGCACTGACGTTTTGGTGACGCAAGACTCATTGAAATTAATGGAAACAGCTTTTGTAAAAGCTTGTATAAAACTGTTTGCGTATTCGTCATGACGGCATTTAGTTTTTATCTTGGAGTAAACATAAACAGCTCATAACTGTGGCCATCAACAACAAGAGATTCCCATCTTTTAAAATTAATACACATTGTCTATACTTTGATCGACTAATGAAATTTGTAATATATTAACAAATTGTATTAATTTATTAATATTTTTAAAATATTAGATATAATGACAAACAAATAATTAGACATAAAAACTACAAAAGATAAGATTTAACGCAAATTATTAGGCTACAGCCGTTCAAATTATGTATGCGTATGTATGTGTTTGGAAAATCGGGGTTTCTTCGAATACTTGTAGTACACAATAAGTGTATAAATTCTTTGGACCCGTACTAGAATTGTTAGGTTATTTACGCTTTTGTTTCGATTATCACTATAAGGTAGAATAGCATGTTATTATGGATTTAAGATGTAACTCACACAATGCTCAAAATCTTTTGCATATGCGGTGACATCGGATCTCTGTCTTTTAGCAATGATGTGCTTTCCGCTCTGAGTGTAAAAAATAGATCCGCCGCGACCTTTGCCCTTTCCAGATCATAATAGCAGCTGTGCGCGAATCGAAGAAGCAGGAAGTCCTCTGAAAGGAATAGGATTATCTGTGGCAAATGTGGACAACACTTCGATCACCCATATTCAATCGATTAATCCACATCATAAATAGGGCAGTGATTAATCCAAAAGACAAACCAAGACATGTAAAACAAATTAACCGATGTATACAGGTGTCTACTCCTGTTCTAAATGGTTCAATGTTTCTGTGAGTGAAGCAAAAGAAATTCCTGTTGAATAATATCTTTGAGCTCAAGCTGTTAATTGTCAATAAAGAAATAATTAGACAATGCATAATAAGAAAGTTGATATGAAGGAACATACAGTATACAGGGTGGCTTTTTTAAAATTCACACAGGAGTTTCAGACTCGGTAGTATAATCGTTTAGATACTGAAATAAAAACAAACTTTTTTAAAAAAAAATTGCCATTATATTCCCTAAAAAACATAACTTGTTGACAATGCGGAAGTCATTCATAAATGGGTGGTATACTTTTGATACGAACTTGTGTGCGTATTGGTTATGAATGATCGCGCGAAAAATAAATGAGTTGCCCATAAATTACGCACTTTTTGAGATAAGTTCAAATGAAAGTAATTAATTAATTACGAGTACTTTTAAATATTTATCATTTTTTATATAATATTATTTATGTCTAGAATTTAATAAAAAAATGGATATACTTATAAAAGCCTGTATAAACTGCGATACTGCGGCCTGTGTCAAGAGGACTGGATAGTTTATCGCTCAAAGGCTAAGCATAATATTTCCGTAAGGAAATACAAATACCGTTCTTCGCACCATGCATTCGTGGACTATAATTGTTAGATGACAATTAATTTAGTTCGTATTTAATATTATAAAGGAAAATTTTCCGTTTAAAAATATCTGTAAAAATGAATAATCCTAAAGATAACAAAATAATCTTTAGCTATACCTATGTCTTTAGGTAAGTGTGGCTGGGAATTTATCCATTCCCTCATGTGCTCTATCGCCTTCGATGCCTCCATTGAGTTATCATTCGCCATATTCTTGTTTCTCTGTGAAGAAAATAAAATATTATCATTATATTAGTTAGCGTAAAGTCTCCACTCTTTTTATAATAGTCTAAGAGGTCAAAAATCAGTAATTTTTTATTTATTTATGTTGAATTTTAATAATATCGATAGTGTAATTTTAACTGTCCTCAAAGACGCCCCTTTTTTTTGTATAACTGATGTTACACTTTCAGTCCTTAGATTATTAAAGCTTCATCGAACGTAGAACCGGTGGGCTAGCCAGAACCCACGGGTTTGAGGCCCTCAGTGGGTAGGGCCGCGCATGTACTCATGCGTGCGTTAGTTATGGCATGTCGCCTACGAGCCCTCGAGGTTCGGTGCGGATCGTGACCCCGATGGCCGTGGACTGTGCTTGTTTAGTCGGTGGCTGGGGGCGTGACAACCGCCCTGGAACGCGGGTGTATCTAGTGTACGCGTTGTGTTTGTTTCGCCATGCTCGAAGGCGAGGACGAACTATGGTGTTTGTTGATGCACTGAGTGTGTAGTGTTATTTGGCGGGACCCCCAACGGGGGATCCGAAGGCGCCCTTTGTTATGTATACCTAGACTATTTAAACTAAGTAGATGTTAGATTTATACATGTATTAGTGTACTACAATAGTATCGCCGTTTTATAGGTCCTTAAAGGATCAAGTAATTGGTCGGATTTAAACCGCACGCTTATAATCCACGCTAAAGTTAGTAAGTTGATCATTCGTATTTTAACAAGCTAAATTATTATTGTCTTTGAGCAATTAAGTATATGACAATTACGCCCGGTTTCGATTTTCGATTTTCAAATGTTGAGCTGCCAAAAGGATGTTTAAACTCTTTGAATTGATCATTCTGATCATTAAGAAGATCATTCTGGTCAAGTTAACCTCTACGATGATCAGTGTTTCAGAAACTGGGCGTAATACTACTCAGATGTTTGGTTTTATGTTAACAGGAATGATTTAAGATGTTCTTATCCATAACATATTTTTTAACAATATTAATTAAATACAGTTTTAGCAATCAAGGGATAGAAATATGGGTAGTAATTCATAAATAAATGGGGGCAGCATTGGCCAGAGGCCAGGACTGCATCCAAAGTGTTTCGAACCCGAACGGCGCGCCGTGCATTAATGAAGTTTTAATTTTTGCGTGTTTCTTATATGAAAAAAAAAATACATTATATATATTTTTCATGTCGAATTTTGCGTCATAAATTTGTTAATAGTCAACCATTGTTATGTGGCGACTGGCAACGTAGGCGATTCTAAACGCACTATCTGATAATGAAATAGCCTCATAATGGTCTTGATATTTTGTGATTTATTGAAAGTCAGTGTGGTAAAATTATGTTCCAGTGTCTACAACAGTGCAGTATAGAAGACTATTTTCTTCTTATATCTACATGGCATTTTTCGATAGAATCAATGGTACCCAGGTGGCACCGAGATTACTAACAAGCTATATTACACCTACAAGACCGTAACAAAACGTTTTAAAGTACGTAACTTATGCATGACCAATGCCGCCCTTGTTGGACTCATCGACACTGTTTACCTATTTGTTGTGCTTTGTCGCCGAACAATACGGGTAACGAAAATGAATGTTCACAAGTTAGCTTATGTTAGATAATTATGTGAAATGAAATGAAGTTCTATGGTAGGACCATACAACAGCTTCAGCACGAATGGGCAAGCTCGTGTAGGGTTGCCAAGCATACTTTATAATAACGTATTTTACTTTATTTTTGGTGAATATACTTTATACTTTTGCATAAAAATAAAGTATGTGAAAATACTTTCTTTTCCATATTCAATATAAAATGCATAAAATAAAACACTTATTATGTATTAGGTATATACATACAGTATTCCCATTCCTAGTCATAAATCCATTCGATAAAAAAATTATACATAAATTTAAATAAACCTGTTCCGCAGATTCAACACCTTAAAATAGCTCAGCGGTCAGGCTACTTACAAAGAGTTTATCGATAAAAATGAAATTCTGTAAATTTGTTTTGCTTAAACACTACGTGTTGTAAAACAATTTAATAAAACTAAATTTAAAGTGACACAGTAAAGTTTCAGAAGATTATTATTCATAAAGGATTTTATGTCACTCAAGTATACAAAGTTACTCTATGATGTCACTGTTAAGGAATCGCTTTTTTCTGTCATTATTCTTTTAATATATTCAAATTCGTATTTAAAAAGTTTTCGCGTGCAATAAACGATATACCCTCGTTAAAGATAAATACAATGAATATTGAATTAAAGTAAAATATTTACTACATTGTATGTAATTACATAAATTGTACGTAATAATTATTATTTTTGCGTTAATCATAAGAATGAATCCCGATAAGCAAAGTCAAGGACAACGATAACGTATTCGGAATAGTCCTGTGGAGATAGAATTTAGATTCGACTTTTGCTTAGCGTGAAGTCCAACCAACATTAACGTTCCATTCAAATATTCAGTATTTTGTCAACTGTTTTTGTCACAAAAAGTTCGGCGATTATCAATAGGAACTTGTTATTTTACCTTAAGAGACTAATTGGAAAGCAGAGATTACATAATTTTTATAAAAATATTATAGAATTAGAGAAAAAATTTCGTGACTGTCCATTACCTGTAATTATATTTGTAATCATTAAAGTAATTAAGATCGGACAGAGAGATAAATAAATGTTTCTCACTGGCTGAATAAAATGAATATAATTGGGTAATACCAAACGCAGATTAAAAAATAACAAATCATTTTTTTTATAACATAATTTAAATTTAGACTTTATTAATGTACATAGCATCGAAGTCTACTTCGAAACAAACGCATTGTATTGTACATACACAATTACTGATTTCCTGCTATAAAGGCGGCTAGGTACTGGGGCGGATCATTCCTCAAGGTAAATATCATTGTCATCGTGAATTGTCGTGCAATACTTACAAATGTACTTATATAACGCAAAATTTAAACTTGACATAAGAAAAATCTCTAGTTTTCGACTCTACCATACTCCGCCATTACTTTAGGGTAACAAAAGAAAACTATAACTTTTACCTATCCCCTGTGTCAGTGTTTTTGGTTTAAAAAAAATTGATAACGGCGTAATAGATAATTTTTTTGAACTTTTAGGACAAAATTTTTACAAAACGTTCTTTTCCAGTCCCAAACTAAGCTATGCTTGTACTATGACATATATGTTTATACTAGATAACTGATAAACATAGTTTTCTTTTGTAAATAAATACATATTTTCTATACATATAAAACACCCAGACACTGGAAAAACACTATTTTCATCAAAACGTCAACCGGATCGCTTAAATAATTTAATAGATAAATAGTATAAGTAGTATAATAGTCGAAGTTGGTCGCTTAGCCAACCAACTATTTCATTATGTCGTTTTTTGACAGTCAGTATGCGCGCAGATCTTTTCATCACAAATATATTTTATTTACATAAAATACCGAAGACTTCGCTTAACAATTTCGCAGTTTGCATTAATAGTGACTAACTACCCTTCGGGTGCCGGTAAGGGATGTCATTTTCGAACAAAACATTCGAATCATTCATCAACTTTATTTTAACTAATCTTTGCAATGTTCTCTTTGACGAATTGTGAATAAGACCATTTTACAAATAAACAGTTTAACGATATCTAAGCGCGAATCGCAATGTCTGAGAGCAACCGTTTAACCTTAAATTGTAGACGATGAACCGCCGAGAAAAACAAGTCGTTTTCGGACTCTTTCGTATTAGATAATGAGATTCGAACTTACACCTAGAGAAACAGATTCAACATTCCAACCACAAAGCCATCACTGATTGCTTTTAGTTTGCTTATTTCGATGAAAAAAAAAACCGGATTACACTGATAAGACCGCTAGTCCCCCGCAGTTATCGCTCCAGTCGAAAACAGCAATAAAACATTACACGAGTGCTTATGTACTCAAATTGTGCTTAATGCTAATAAAGAAAGAGCTCGTCATTATTTTATGATGAATTCTATATACGTACACTTCAAATCTCAAATCTCACAGGTTGACAGATAAAACTGGAAAACATATAAATACTTGCATCTACCGTAAGCATTTAATCAATTGTGCAAAGTGTCTTGAACACCAAGTTTTTTTGTGTTACGAAAATCCTTTATATTAAAAAAATAGATCAATTCAATCAATTGAGACACGGAATAAATAATTTAGGTACGCACAATGTTATTGTATTAATTATCACGATTATAGAGAATTAAGGCACTGTATAACGCCGCGAAATAAATTTCAAACAAACTAGTTTTAAGATCATAATAAACATTTCCATACGAACGAGCGATATTTCGCAGACGCACGAAGGTCGGCTTACATTATCAGAAAAAACCTCTCACCTTTGGAACCGCCCGTGTTGTGTGTGGGGTTCTACGACAAAATTTTCGTATCTTAGTTACAAAGCTTCATGTTTGCACAGTTTACGAAATTAAATATAATAAGTTATTGCGGGCTACGTTCACATCTATTACGCCCCACATGCACTTGGCGACTGAAAGGCGTCAGCCGACAGGACAGAATGAGACAGACAACAGCGCTTTGACATTCACAAACTCGAATGAATGTACTCGTATACACAGCGACGCAAGAGTTGAGCTGCGTGAGAAGGTATAGTGAATTCAATGACGAAACAAATAATTCTATAGATAAATTAAGGAAATAAAGATAAATAAAACTTAGAGACGTCAATTAGCAGTAACTGATAATGAATTTGCTCGTTTGTGAAGTAAAGCTTTTTTATTATTAATGAAACTACTTATGATGACAACCTTTACTTTAATTTGGTTGACGAGCTGAATAGCGTAGTGGGTAGTGTACCTGCCTCCTGCGCCAGAGGGTGTGGATTCGATCCCCACAACTGGAAAAATATTGTGTGATGAACATACTGTCTTCTAGCGTCTGGTTGTTTATATGTATAATATGTATTTATTTACAAAAGAAAAGTATGTTTATCAGTTATTTAGTACAAGCGTTGCTTAGTTTTCAAAACTACGTTGTGTAAAAATGTGTCCCATTTATTTAAAAAAAATATTATCGAGCGCTTCTCGTTAGACTCTGCGAGTGCCGACATATTATTATGTAAGTAAAAGACCTTAAAATTTTGTATCGTAATTTCATTTCCATATTCTTGCTGAAGTCGCTAAAATTCTCACAAAGCTTAATTGAAATTGTTACTATCTCACCTGCCTTTAGGATGATTTTTTGGTTACGTGAGTACAGTAATAAGTACACCTCCGCATAATTCAAAGTTTTATTGGATTAAGTTTTGTACAAATATATATTGTTTATTACATATTGTTGCAATGATCGGCAAGCGTCTAGATGCATTCCATTGCGCAGTAGTCGTTTTTTGGTCTCTATGGGGCAACGAAAGCGGGCTAATAGGAATATTGACCGCGCGAGCCATTGCGATTGGTTGCACGCAAGTGGACTTGCGCAAATTTCTCCCCTTCCTGTTATTATTATGTGAAAATTTAGCAAGTGAGCAGGCCGTAGTACTACCCGGACGTAGCTGCCCCTTCGTGCAACAGTAGAGAAGAGGCTGTGTGGTCTGACCACAATGCCGTTTTCTGCTCAAACTATTTGGCGGGCACTAAACGAACCTGAATTTTGTTTCACATTTTTTTCTGCGCTAGACAAATCATCTCAATTTGAACGTATAGGCCAGCTCGACTGGTGACCACAGCAAGACCGATGTGAAAGCATTATACCTGTACTTTTAGTCGAGTGAGTGAGGTGGCCTAGACCTGCACTCAGTCGTTACAAAAACGCCTGTGTGCGGGATCCTGAAGGTACGGCTCCTTGATACAGTTTTTGGGATTTGATATTCAGTATAGACGGAAAAAGAAATACGGTTCCAGCTCGACAAACGGTTTAATGCGAAGTAACATTAAATTATAACAAAAGAAAAACAAAAAGAGTAAGCAGAAACTATCAGATGGACGTTGCTATTAAAATTTTAGCAGGCGTTCCGAACATGCCCCCGGATGTTGAAAGGTTTCCTTTCAACCAAACTATTCTAAAGTCAGGGGACAAATCTTGCTGAATGACCTCTTGATGACTCCGCTAGAGGTGCGAATGTCCGTGACTCTGTTGACTCCATCGGCCCCAGGATAAACAGCTACAACGCGGCCAAGCTTCCATTTGAGTGGCGGGAGATTGTCCTCCTTCACTACAACCATGCTGTTAAGCTTCAGCGATGTCTGGTTGGTGCGCCATTTGGTTCTTTGCTGCAGCTCGCTAATGTACTCTTTGGACCATCTGGCCCAGAAATGTTGGCGCATAAGCTCTAGTCGCTGGAACCTTGTCAGATGGCTCAGCTGGCAGTCCTTATACTCGGGAGCAGGCATTGAAGTAAGGGGCTTGCCGATAAGGAAATGCCCAGGAGTAAGCGGCATCAGGTCGTCGGGGTCACTTGAGAGTGGAGTCAGTGGCCGTGAATTTAATATGGCTTCGATTTGGGTTAGGACAGTGATCAGTTCCTCATAAGTCAAGTTACAATTTCCCAATACTCTGTACATGTGAAATTTTATAGATTTAACCCCCGCTTCCCAAAGTCAACCAAAATGAGGAGAGTAAGGTGGACAAAGGTGAAAGTTTATACCTTCTTCGGCCAGAGAATCAGGTAATGAATTGCAGTTAGCTTTAAGAAATTTTCCTATCTGATTGTAGGCACCTACGAATGACGTACCGTTATCTATATATATAGGAATAAATATAGGTTGGTTTACCTCTTCGCGAAATAAACCGGCGCAGCGCAGAGAGGAAGCTATTGCTAGTCAAATCGCCTACCAATTCGATAAGAATCGCCTTCGTCTTAAAACATACGAAGATCGCAATGTAAACCTTAACGATTCTACAACCTCGACCAAGGCGGTTAGCGGAGGAAATGGGTCCAGCATAGTCGACACCTACACATTCGAACGAGTGACCAGGAATAAGGCGGTGCTCAGGAAAATTCCCCATGAGAGGTTAAATGAGCGGTTTTAGGAGGTAACTTTCTGCACGAATTAATAAACATCAATGCATAAGCTACAGCGCGCTTTAATCGAGATAGGTTAGAAAATCGTCTGAAATTAATGAATACATTACCGCGCGGAACACAAACGTGCAATGAAACCTCAGGACGAACTTCAGGGAGATTGGAATTGCTAGACTGGACTGGACTAGGAGGCCACTGAGAGGAATCCTGCAGCAGAAATTGAGGACCTGACCACCACAGATCAAGGCCCTGTAACTCTGCAACATCTACGCCGCGAGAAATATGATCAGCAGGATTTTGATCAGTGGGAACGTGACGCCAGGTACAGTTCTCAGTTTTCTCCATAATATCTACCGTACGATTGCGGACGAAACGCTGCAATTTATTAGGCAACATCTTAAGCCAACCTAGCACTATCGTTGAGTCAGTCCAGAAAGTGGTATGTCTGACTTCAACCCGGAGAGATTCTATAGCCTTTTCGTAAAGGCGTAGTTGGCTTTAATGGAGCAACTCGGCTCTTAGCCAAAAGTAACGAGACCTTGACCTCTCCTTTCTCGTTAACACTTCTTGCGTAAAGGCAGGCACCATAGGCGCCCTGTGACGCATCAGTAAAAATGTGGAAATCCACAAAAGTGTAAGCCTCGCAGACAATAAGGCGAGGGATGCGCAAATTATTCAAAAGCGGAAGGCCTTTATTACATTAGCCCAAATCTTGGCTAATTCCAATGGGAGTTCTTCGTCCCATGATAACTTATGAACCCCTAGCCGCTGCAACATAATTTTGATAGGGATGATGCAGGGTGAAACTAAGCCCATGGGATCAAAAATTCGTGCACTGATGGAGAGCATAGAGCGTTTCGTAGAAGATGATGCTTCGCACGAATCGACAGAGAAGTAAAGCTCATCTGAGGCTATGTGCCAACCGAGGCCTAATGTCTTACCAGATTCCAATGATCCGATATTTAAATTCAGGGACGAACTAGCGTCGTACGGATCAGAGGTAAGACAGAGTCGAGGATCGTTGGACTTCCACTTGTGCAAAGGCATTCCGGCAGATGCGAGCTCGGCGGTAACCTTTTTCTTAATGTCCAACGCCTCCTGAAAGGAGTCAGACCCAGTGAGGAGGTCATCCACGTAATAGTCGTGAATGATGATCTCTGAAATACTCTTGTCACTGCATTCTAGGCCAATTTGCTTAAGGCATCTTGTAGCAAGGTAACTGGCACTAGCGCACCCGTAGGTGACGGTATTTAGTTGATATGCCTTTAGTGGACAGTCTGCAGAATCACGCCAAAGGATTTGTTGAAGATGTCTGTCGTCAGGATGTACCGCGACCTGTCTGTACATCTTTTCCACATCTGCGGCTAACACATATTTATATAATCTAAACCGAAGGAGTATTGAGATAAGCTCATCTTGCACAGTAGGCCCTACCATCTGAATTTGATTCAAGGATATTCCTGAGGTGGTAGGACTACTGGCGTTGAAAACTACCCGGAGCTTCGTAGTAGTACTATTTTCATTCAATACGCCATGATGTGGAATGAAATACGCAGGTGTATCGGTGTTTAATTTGCATTCCGACATATGGCCGAGCGATAGGTATTCAGACATAAATAAAACATACCTGTCTCTAAAGTCAGGCTGCTTCTCGAACCTACGCTCTAAAGCCTGAAGACATCGCTTTGCGCGTTGCAATGAATCACCTAGGCAGTCAGCAGACTGCTTCAAAGGTATACGCACACAGAAGCGACCGTCAGCTGAACGAGTCGTATTTTTAGTGAAGTGTTCTTCACACTTTCGTTCCTCTTCGGAGTATGATGACTTGAGGCCGACCTCTTCCAGCTGCCAGAACCGAGATAAAAGGTTCTGAGTGTCATCAATGCCGAGATTAGGATCCTGAAGAATGTCTAAAATTTTTGTAAAGTTGCACGTGAGAGGAGAAGACCCTTGGCCACCACTTATAGGACCGGAAACCAGCCAGCCAAGTCTAGTTTCCCATAGGATTGGGTTATTAGCTCCTAAATTGATCTTTCGCGACCCGAGCAGATCCCAGGATACATTGGATCCAATGATCATGTCAATTTCTGACGCCTTATAAAATTGGGGATCAGCTAAAATAATATTAGCGGGGATATTTAAATGCGAAATATCAATTGAACAGCAAGGCACGTCATCAGTTATAGACGGCAGTACATAGCAAAGTAGACGTTTAGAATAATTTTCTCTTCGTGAACTAATTGAAACATAACACATTTTAGTTGTGTTGGTTTTAGTCTTATTGATGCCGAAGATAGGTTTATCTATATCAATATACTTTACATTCAATAAGTGACACATTTTCTCGGTGATTATGCATGATGAACTCGCACAATCCAGCAGAACACGTATGATGCGCTCGTGACCATTAGAATCGGCCACTTTAACTAGAGCCGTAGATAATAATACGTCTTGACGGGTCTCTAAAGGCTCATCCGCACAATACGTGGCTAGCGTTAAGCTGTGGTCGCTAGGGGGCACAGTCGGTGGCTGGATGGCGGAGGTTTTAGCCGGGTGATAAGAAGCGGAATGATTAATTCCTCGTTTATCATTAGACAAGGTGTGGAGCCACTTGCTATGCTTGCGCTTACATAAGGTACACCCAGGTCTTCTACAGCGGTTAGAATAGTGACCACTACGAAAGCAGTTGTAACACACTTTAAACTGAGGAATTAATTCCCATCTCTGCTCGTTACTAAGGCCTAAAAATTTATCGCAGCTATCTAAGTAATGCTCACCCTTACAGTGTGGACAAGACTTATTGCTGGAACCAGAGGTATTACTAGAGCTGCTATCCGACGACGCCTGTGTTCCGGCTACAGAGACCAAAGCTTTAATTTTTTAACCTTTAGGTGGCTGAGGTGGTTGCGATTGGGTGTGAGGAAGATTAGAGCGAGTAAATTCCATTGTTTCTAAAAGATCAGATCAGAAAATCGAGAAAAATGGACAAAGTTATGGGCTTTTCTTTATCTAGACGACTTTTACACTCTTCCCATTCACGAAACGTCTTATGGTCGAGTTTACGACTCATTATGTGAATAAGAAGTGTCCCAATGTTTGGTCGGTTCGCCCAGTGACTCTAAACCTCTGAGGCTTTTATTCAACTGATCTATTAGGCGCTTTAAATTAAAGGAGGATTCACTTTTAATAGAATCAATGTTAAATAAATTATTAATATGCGTCTGAAGTAATAATCTCTTATTATGATATCTCTCACACAACAGCTGCCACGCCACAGCATAATTACTCGCAGAGAATTGAATCTCCTGAATCATCACCGCAGCAGAGCCCTCTAGTGAGGCTCTGAGATAATGAAATTTGTTTATTTTACCGATCGTCTCGTTCGAATGTATGAGGCTTTCGAAAGTGTCATGAAACTCTAACCAATTGATATAGGAACCGTTAAATTTAGGTAAGTTAATAGTAGGCAATTTAATCAGCTGATGATTACTTGCGTGAGAACAACTTTCAAAATTATCGTTTTGTACTGATTTAGAATTACGAGAAAGAATATCCTGAGCCTGTGACAGGGATTTGTAATATATAGATTCGAAATCTTCTCTTTCTGCGCTTTGCGAGCTTACATCATCAGCAAGGCATTCCAACTTAGTTTGCAATACATCATACTGCTCAAATATTAATTCAATTTTACTAATTCTTAACTGCAATTCAAGAACTTGTTGTTGATTCAACGTACCACTCAATTCCTCTATATACTTGCCGAATGTAGTCAGCCGGCCTTTTAGACTAGCACGCTTTTTAATTAATTCCTTTTGATCTCTCTCACTCATTTTGGAAGCATTTAGGCAGGAACGGGCTAGTTTGTCTGGAATTGATAACAATACACAATGAAAATAAAGAAATAAAACAAATTTAATCACACAATTAGGTATGTACCTATGATATTTAATTTTACAAGTGTGAAAAAACTATAAATTACTGCAAAAAATAACGATTTAATACAATAAAAAGCACGACCAAAACATTTAATCTCTATATATAATTGGAAATGTTTATAATTTTCAACAATTTCTGAGTAAAATTAAAATTTGTGTTTTCATTTCTAGTAAAAAGTTACAAGTTAAAATTACAAATTTTTAGCAGAATTCAAGTTAATTTTTAAGAAAAATCTAGTAAAGCGTAAACAAGAACATATATTTATTGATATTATACTATGTTTATGACTATAAATGGCGAATTTAATGAAAACAAATGCAATTAAAGTTTTAGTGAATGCAAGTTGAAACTACCTACAAGTCTATACAGGATATCAAATTAGCTACTTAATACTCAATAATAAGCGAAAAAAAACAAAATAAATGGTTTATACAATAGACAAACCTGGTTTTTGCTTACTATTTGGACATAAACAATGTCAGGAGTATGCACTAAGCACTGGTTAACCTAAGCAAAAAAAAAAAAAAAAAAACAGAGTAATGGGTTACCACTAATTTTCCTAAAAACTGTTCACTGATCACTTCCCTTATTTCCTGGGTATCTCGGCTCGAAGGACCATGTGCGGGATCCTGAAGGTACGGCTCCTTGATACAGTTTTTGGGATTTGATATTCAGTATAGACGGAAAAAGAAATACGGTTCCAGCTCGACAAACGGTTTAATGCGAAGTAACATTAAAATATAACAAAATAAAAACAAAAAGAGTAAGCAGAAACTACCAGATGGACGTTGCTATTAAAATTTTAGCAGGCGTTCCGAACAGCCTGCAACATCGTTTTTTGTGTGACCATGAGCAGCAGTCCTCATTTACCATCAAATGAACTATCCGTTTGAAATAAAAAAGTAGTCGACTCACAAACGTCTGTTGGACGTCGGAGATTTTTTATCATCTTCTACACCCGCTATCATCTGCTGCACCCGAGGGTTCCAGATGCGTTGACAACCTTTTGAATATTGGGCTCCGGCTACCTCACTCACCATATGAAACGCGAAAGTACTATTCTTCCACGTGACGCCGGTCTTCTGTAAGGTCGTGGTACTTACCCGGACGAACCTGCCTATTCGCGCAACAGCCGAGGCTGCTGCGTGGCCCTACCACAGTTATGACTAGGAACTTTTCCGTATTCCGTACTATTGTGAAGCTAGGTTTATGTTAATCGCGTTTTAAGTGTAACAATGATTGTCCGCCCTAAACCAATTTCCCGCAATACGCACACATAGAAAACGACACCGACATATATTTTATAATATCGTCACCGCCTCTGAATGTTCCAGACCGCCAATTACTCGAGGAGAGGGAAGTTATTCCCCAAGAAGGGGCTGCTGAGGTGACCAACGCTGGCAGGGTCGTGGAAGTGTGCGAAAGCGTTCCCGTGGCCCTGACGATATGCGCCTAGGTGGAACTTAGTGGGGATTTAAGTTGGTGGGATTCCGACATAACCCGCTCTTGCCCTGCGAGGCCGGCTATGCGTAGGCTTGAACTCCCCCCCGCCCATGAATGGAAGGGTAACCGGATGTATCACGTCCTCACTACATTATCCTGTGTTGTAAGGACGTTTTACAAACATAAATTGCAGATGCGAAACAACTATCTGTGGGTCGCACAAATAGTTGTCCCGTGTGGGAATCGAACCCACGACCCCCGACGCCGAAGCCAATACCTTGGCAACGGCGCTACGGAGTCATCATAATATAATAATATAATCTATTTATAAACCACCAGCCAGACGAGACAACAAATATCCCCACAATAATAATTATTATTAATCCCAATCACACTAGCAGCTGTTAAGGTTATGCGTGTGCGTCTTGAGGTTTGGAGCTTTTGTTTCTGTCTATTCTTGAAATTATTGACTGATGGTGCGTAAATGGTTTCTTCCGGGAGCTTGTTCCAATGAGTGATCACAAGGTTGGTTATGAATTTTTTAGTGGGTTCTTTTTTGCTTTTGTGCGGCACAGCTTTAGCGAATGACCTCTCAGATGCTTGTTCGCAGAAAACTGGAATAGGCCTTGCAGATCAGGTACATCTTACTATTATCCTCTTAGTATCTTGTAAGTGTCAATTAGTTTGCCCCGTATTCTGTGCCACTCTAGTGTTGTGAGGTTCAGTTCTTTTAGCATTAGTTCATATGTTACATTTTGCAATTACCTTACCAATTTTGTAGCTCTACACTGTACATTCTCTGTACTTATAGTATCTTTCTTAAAATACGGGTTCCGAATTACATAGGCACACTCCAACAGCGGTCTTACATAATGTCTAATAAAGTTTGTTAAATGTTTAAGTGTCAGTATCCGACGAAAGATATAATCTAGTCTTTTTTGTATATATACTGGACTGTTAGTTAGAATTGCCATAGAATTTTGTATCATCAGCAAACAGTGAGAATGGAAGTTTTATCGTATGTTTGTCAAAGTGCGTATATTTTTGCAATTTCAATCGATGCTAAATACTAGTACCTGACAATCAATAATCGAAAATTAGTAGTTCGAGTAACGGTTGTTCAATCTGTAGTCTTGAGTCTTGTCGAAACACTAACCTATTATCCGCCCGCACCCAGTTACTGCGCACCAATTGCAAACTAATAACAAAAGTAGCTCTTAATAAAAATATATCCTATATGTGTTCGGATCTATGTATGAATCTAGATATTTTACGTTCGCGTATCCATCTATATTCGGTTTTTAAATAGGACACGATGATATCATAGGTATTTAACAGAAACAAAGTTTTATTTGCATAAGCTTTATTCGTGTCCCACTGGATCGCGAAAACATAATGCGAGATCTGGGAGTTGTTATGACTCAAAACGTTCTTTCAGAACCCATTACGACTCAATCATCTTAAGAGCCAGAAAAAACATAGATTTTGTAAATAATATAAATATGTTTAATGTTTCACGTAAGCCTTTCAAAAAAGTCAATAGCTAACTTATCCTGTATAATTGTCTGTTGAGAAGCATTCTTGAATATTGTTGCACTATATCACCATGTTATAATAATTATATAAATAGACTTGAGTCTATACAAAAATGGTTTGTTCGCAGCCTCAGTCTGCGAAAAGTTCAGCCAGGTTTGGGAAAAGTTCTGCTTACATACAATGTCGGACTTCCAAGGTTTAACCTGTATTTTCTTCTTAAGCGACAACAACTTAGTAACCTCTTAACATTGCATAAAGTAGTTAATCACACCCTTGATTCTGACGTCCTGTGCCATGTTTCATTGAGATGTTCACCTAAATCTAATCGTAGACAGCATCTTCTCCATATACCGTTAACCCTGATAATGTATCTTATAACAGTCCCCTAAATCGAATGTGTAGGCAGTATACCTACTGTTTTAAGTAGAGACATAGACAAAACTTGGCATTATTTTTAAAAACTATTAAATCCTCTGAAAATATTCGTCTGCTTCTTTCTTATAAGTAAATTAGTAAGTAGGTATTATTTATTACATAGATTATTAAAATAACATATTCAAATTGAATGTTGTGCTCGGTGGTTATTGAAATGCAAGTTTAGTAATATCTGTTATGATTTACTTATGTTATAATCTGTATTTTGTAAAAATAAATAAATAAACGTTAAGATTTAAAATTACATAATCATAACATTAACAGTGATTTAGAATCTGTTCAAAAATCTGATATTGTGCATTGTCGTACCGCTCTAACTTGTGTAATATTTGTATCTCAAGCGCTTTGTCGCTCGCTCACACACGGCCGTCGAGTATTCGGTACATAGTAAATATTTAGATATTGTAATACATAGATTTCGAAAGAACCAGTAAGCGATATTTAGATATTGATATCGCTTACTGGTTCTTTCGAAGTATTATATAATAATCATAAGGTATTACCATTATATAGTTACGCTCAGGACCTATCTATCATCCGAAAAAAGTGCATAAGGATTCTTGCACACATAGATAACAATTCTAGCTGTAGACCATATTTCACAAAAGTTAAATATTAACTTTATCATGCTTATACGTAAAAGATTTGTGTCTTTTTCTTTTTAAACAAATATACTCGTAGCATTAACACTCGACACATAAATTAATATTATTTATAATTATATTTACCACATTCTTCTTTAAAAATGTTAAACAATAGCTCATACTATATGTGCAATTAAGATACATAATAAACTACGCAATGAAATTTAAAACATTACTGAATTATCTAAGTTTACATCCATAATGAAATGTTATTTATGTAATATATAGACATAATGAAATGTTATAACAAAATCCGTTTTATTCAGTAAAATAATTTGAGAGAAATGAGGACAGAAAGGTATATATCTACCTTGATACCTTGTAAATAAATTAATTATAATAATTCATTTAATTTAATTAATATTTAAGTGAGCAATGTCCATTAAAAAAAATTGCTGTGCCTAGATAGGGCATCTAAGTTTCTGTACACTTCTTTATTGTAACATCTATTTATGTACACTTATAATGTACACTTAGATGACGAATAAATGTTTGGTTGATATAGTTTTCGTATCTATATACGATTTGTATTGCCTACTTCTATCGGTACCAGTGAAATTGTTAATTTTAAGTGCTGAATTATCATGTGCTCAGCGATGAAGAAAAACATCGTTAATTGTAGGATAACATTTTCGAAATAATTAAAAAAAATCGAAGATACGTGAAGCCCGCCAAAACGCAGTAGGGTCTCATGGTGGACCCAATACCTTCTGTACAGATGAGGCTTTTGCCCAGAGCAGTGGGTTATATATAGCTGATAATTTACATTACTTTTTAATATAAAAGAATGCTGTTCGTAGTTTTCTTGTGTTGCTATAAAGAATTAAATAAGTAGTACATCGTAACTTATTTATCGTGCTTTGTTGTAGTAAATTAGCAACTATTATTCAAAATTATTCTTGAGAGTATTTGGTATAAACATAGATGGTCTCCCTGTATGCTTGTCACTGTAAAAAAGATGAAAAATATTTGCCATTACTGAAATGTGAAAGAGTAATGCTCTCCCTATGTAACAGAGTATCTTACATTTTTTTTTATAATTCGAATGTTATTAGATAATAGCCTACTATTAAATAGTGCTATTTGTGGTTTTCCAATTCTTTTCATGTGAACGCACTTTTATTTTAGTGCTTCAATACAAAATTAAACAACACTTACTCCCAGACTTTGTATGATACTTATTTACAATATTAAATCTGACTAAATTGCATGTTATCTAATAAACCTAGTACACGGGGAATGAGGCCAAGAACGATAGCTGCATTTGCTCACTGAATAGTTATGCTTATACTTTGAGCGAGAAAAGAACGAGCCCTCTTGTCAGGACGTAAACTTCGTTGAGCGGGAACTCCATGTTGGACCTAAAGTTTCAACAACAAATACATAATCTGAACCAGAATACTCATATATGCGAGAGACCGCTAAACTGCTACACAAGGTACACCCCAAACGAGGGGTTTGCGTCTCTCCCAAGGGATCAACGTCAAGCCATCGGGTCTCTTGCCATCGTTGCTGAAATTGCGATAGGGCTGTAAAACAGAATGAATGTTGATGGAAACAAGAACCGAACAAGACGTTTGGTATGGGCAGTTAGATGCTATTTCTATGTGAACTTGTCACTCTATCGTATAGAGTACAATACAAAATAAAGATCAAAAAAATCAAAATCAAATCATTTATTCATCGAAATAAGAAATATACATTTCATCTATCGATAGTCATTTTTTTAATCTACCACCGTTTCGTAATGAGGTTCCTCTAACGGAGGCTTTTTGTCATTTTTTTTCTCAAACAAAAATACATTGTTATACAGTACAATTTTATTAATCTTAATCTGCTTGCAAGTTTGGATATATGGGGGCCCCATTGAAGCATTGAATCAAGAGTTATTCCAAGAAAAACAGTGGTATCCACAAGGCATAACTCGTCCCCATTTACAAGTACTTTGGTACCACCCAAGTGTTTAACAATAAGTGTCAAAATTTTATATATTTAGTTTTATTGCCATTCAAAAGTAAATTATTAGCATTAAACCAATGAACTATTTTATTTCTGACATACACATAGCATGATTTACCTCGTCAAGTGTTACAATACGTCGTTCGATTTTAAAGATTAATGAAGTATCATCGGCAAACAACACTATGTCATGTTTTTTACCTACTAATCTGTTCCTAATATCTGTTACTATGGAAATTTGAAAGAGTAATGCATAAAAAAATAAAAGAAAGTAATTAATAATTTCCTTACTCGGCTACATTCTTTATATATTTCAATCTTAGATTTGATAGTAGCTTTCTAAGAAAGTGTTGTTTGTGGTTTTCTCATTCCTTTCTTTTGAACGCACCTTTATTATAGTGCTGCCATATAAAAATTAAACAAGAACGAAATTTTACGTATTTTTTCAAGTTCATTTTAAATACTTTTACACTAGTTCCTTGTATTTGAAATTTGCATTTTAAACGGCAATTTATAGTTTTGTTTTATTATTTAATAATTAATATTAGTTTCATATAGTAACATCGACTGCTGCAAGTTTGCGCATGCGCCGAATGGCGATATTTCAGTGAATATTCTTTGAACTAATATTTTTTAACTATGAATTTTTGTCGTTAGATTGTATTTACCTCGGTAAACTAGCAATTATTGTTATTTTCTAGACAAAACACTAAAAATTAAATACTTGTAAAATATTATTTAAAAGTGATAAAAGTGTACCATTGGTGGCCATTACAAAACCTAAACTTTTTTATCAAGACAAATGTCCATTTGATTTGATGTTTCGGCGAGGTTGTGAACCTAATCAAAAGTTATATTCCCTGTTTCAGAGGAGAATAAGTTTGTGTCTGTATTGAACAGTGAATTTCTTCTTCAACATCCACATAAGCTGTTTTAGAACGACTAAGAGCCAGCAATTTCATTAGGGACGATTTTCTACCAAAGCAAATCTGTCAATTCCTTGGTTTTTTTCATTAGTTTATTTTGTTTTACATGTATTACATTGGAATTTATTAATTATTTCCACGTTTAATCTATAGTTAAAAGTGTGATTCAATTTGTGCACAAGGTGTGGGACCCACTCGTTTGTTACTCTTCATTGAGCATAACATTGGCAAGGCGACCTATATCTGGCGCTTTCATCTATCATACTATAACAAAATTATCAGATATTAAGTATAATATTTAATCAGATATCAGGAATATAAAACTACAGTTATCGCTGGCTCATTGAAATTTACTTTTAATCTTCGAATTCACGTGCGATTCGCCGAAACACCAAAATAAAATCATGTTTGCAGGCTAACAAAAATGATTTTAAGATAAATTACGAATAGTGAAGTTGTTATAGTGTACAAAAAGAAAAAAAAGCAATATTTAAAAATAGTGATTCGAAAGTGCTGTGAACTGTGTGACATGGGGTTTGTGTACAGCCGTGTACATTTTTCGGGATTGTGGTGACATGGACTGCAGGGGTACGGCCTGTAAAGCTGGGCTCCAGGAGTGATCGAGCGTGCTTGGCACAGTGCCTGCACCAGACCCTAGTATTATGAATAAGCGAGACAGCAATAAAGAGAAAGAACGTCAGAGTGACGACAAAAGAACCTCTGCGTAAGTTTTTTTATGTAATAAATACTTAAGAAATGTTTTTTATTTACTTCATAGTAATGTCTCTTTCTTTTTTTTATCATAACAGCCTGATCTTGTAATCCTTACTTATATTATAAAGACGAAAGTTTGTATGTATGGATGGATGTTTGTTACTCTTTCACGCAAATACTACTGAATGATTTTAATGGAACTTTACAATAATATAGCTTATATATCAGAATAAGCTATTATATCATAGGCTATTATAGCTTATACATCAGAATAAGCTATTATATCATAGGCTATTATTTATATACATATTTTATGTCTTTCTGTCTGAATTTTACACCTTCAGCCTATTCTACACAGATGTAGTTGCGGGCAGCAGTTAGTGACTCATAATTTTCAAGAAGTGCATGCTCTTCGAAGTTGTAGAATTTATATTAAATACCATTGTAACTGATTAACTATACCAAAGTGAAGTGGTTTTCATATAACCACAATAAACATAATATCTTTTTCCTGAGAATATCTAGTTTTCCAGACTGCAACCTTTTTTTATTAATGAAAAGGTTTATGTTTACAATGATGGGTTCACCCATTATTTACTTATCCATTCTGCTAACAAGTCTTATATCATAAGATAAACTTAATATTTAACATATGATCTTCTGTCAGGCCAGAAGACAAACTTTGCTTTAAATGCTATAAATCATTAAGTTCTTAAAGTAATGACCAAGTAATCTTAAGTAGTAGGGGAACTTAATAAAATCTTGATTAGAATAAGCTAATATTATTGTAAGATGACTAAAAAAACTATAAAGATGTACCCACAGTTAGTATGTTTATTAAACCAGGACATACAGTTAGTGTATTTTTATAGTTCGCTAATAAACACAAACTAACAAATACAAAAACATACATAAAAAATCTATCTACATTGAAACATATTTATAATATTCTTTCATAGAATATCATATAGTGATTTAATTCTGTAAGTGTGATTGTAGGCATGTTACACCCCATTTGCAACAAAACTTAAGAAAAGCATTGTGCATATACTCTTATAAATCAAGATTACATAATCTGAATGAATAAAAGAATGTAATTACCCTTATTGTCCAGATGGATTGTCTCAGTATAATAATAAGGCATATGAATCACAATATGTTGATGTCTTATATCTCTCACAATACTTACTCTTGATAACACTTCTTATTAAGAACAAAACTTACTATCAGTGACTGTGTTAAAGTTATGTTTATTCAATTGACTTTCTGCCAGTTAATAATAATGGTTTCTTTGTTCCTTTTTATAATATATTATTAATTATTAAAAATGAATTTAAAATACATTCATAATGTTGTAAGTGAAACTAACTTGTAATGTTTGTTGTTAAAATCTAGAGAGCTCTGTTCATGTCAATAAAATTGACAAGTAAATTAACCATAATTATAACAAATGCTAGAAATATGTTTAAAAAACATTGTTATTGGTTATTTTGTGTTAAGTAACTTGAAAACTAGTTCATATGCATAGAAAATTGTAAGTACATTGATTCATTATTAATCTTTGGAGTAAATTTAAAATAAGCGAAATAACCTGCAATTGTTAATGAACTTAATGTAACAAGATTACAATTTCTCTATAGTTACGTATATTCAGAAAGAGATATATGTTCATATACATCAAATATAAAACTTTTGTTGTTGTAATCAGTAATATATATTTCTAGTATTAAAATTTGTGTTTTACATTGTTGTTCAATCTTAATTTTGCTAGGCTGTTATTAGTTTGGTAGGCTGGAGTGTGTTGAGACTTTCACTTTTGACTCAATGCCAATAATGGTTGCTGATTCACTGCAGTCAGTGCTTGTTTAGACATGGCAGGGCAAGTAGCAACTTATGCTAATAATGATTTAATTGCACTGAACTTAATGTATGCAATTAAATAATTTTTTGTATAACTTTGAGTCCATTCTTGGAACAAAAGTTTTACATGTTACACCATATATTGTGAAAGATGTCTATGATTACCATTTATTTCTTGCACAAATATCAACTTGCTGGCTGACTTATTTTCTTGTTTCATATTTTGTAAATATAAACACTATATTACTTAATTTAATTATTTGATGAAGTCTGCTATTACATCACAAAATTAAAATGATTATTATTATTTTAATTTTAAATTATGAATGTTATTATTTTTATGCAAATTTTTAATAATTAATACTTTTACTACTAGAGAAGTTAATACTTTTACTTCTAGTTTGTAATGTTACTGTCATTTGTAAAGTTTGATTTGTGTTACAATTTTTTCTGAAAAAAAATCAAAAATTACTTTATATACTTATTTTTAAAAGCTCTGACTTCCACCATTTTACTGAGCTTGCTGATGTAATTTGGGGTAAGCCATAAAAAGTTCTGTATAAGAAGGCTAATTTATTTATATTATATATTTCTGAAAAAAGTCTAACATTCTGTATTCTGTATCTATATTATTACTTTCCGAGTTATATATTTTTGTCAGTTAAATGATAATTGTTCAAGTTATTCATGAAGTTGTGTTTGTTCTAATACTAACTTGATACAAATCCTGACTAAGTTCCCAATGTCTTCAAATTTTTCACTTATGTTTTGAATAAATGTTGGGTTTATTATTTGTTTACAAGTTTATTGATTATAGATTTGTATTCACTTGTGGAGAATAGAGGGATACTATATGCTACAGTTGGTGACTTTAAATCTATTATTCAACAAGAACTCTTGCCATTATGTATATTTTATGGTTATATATCATTTAACTGAGTGTAATATTGAAGATCAAAGGAATATTGTGTTCCACAAATTATTCTTACGCCTAAATTGCTTATTGAGGAACTAATGCTCATTGCTAACAGAAATTTCACAATAGTTTATTTTACTTCTACTCCAATCCATTTTAATACAGAGTTTTTTTATTGTATTTGGCTATATGAGTTATAACCTGCCTATTAAAAAGAAGCCAAATAGATATTTGTCTTAACTACATGTATTAATACACCTGACAACGTTTACAAACATTTTCATTTTTGGACATACAAGGCCCTGTTTTGCTAAGGATAAATTTATAACTGACCAGCCACTGAACAATCAAATAATCACTTATTTATACTTGTTAATCAGATATTAATTCTTCTATGAACATATTCCATATTTATTTATTGTTGTTAATTATAATTAAACCAATAAGGAAGTTAAATGATTTTAAAAAAATAATTGAAAAATAAATGAATTATATGTTATTTAGGCTTTATCACACATTTTTTGCAAAGAATAAGTGGATGTGCAATAACCAACAATAGCGGGATTAAGACTGTCTTGATCACTTGTTAATAATTTATGTTATTTTCTAATTCAACTAATGACCTGCCATTGCCCTTATTAGACAATAGCAACACACAAAATTATGGTTGACTTATTGTTTTTAATGTGTTTTTCATGATGCATAGCTGACAAAGCTGCAGTTGGGTATTAAAATTGGATTGTTTAGTGTTCAATTCATAAATTCTGTTTCTACATATGAAAATAAGAAGTACCAAAACATGGAATTTTAACTTATAAAGTTTGCCATTGTCCATTTTATATTTATTATGTAAGTTTTGAACATTAACAATTCACATTGATTTCTTGATTTACACGAATATAATATGTATTAACTGAAACTAATGAACTTTAATATTCATGTATTTAATATTGCCAATACAAGCAAAATAAGTAGCAGCACTTTGAAATTTTCAATATGTTCTCATAAATATATCTAGTAAAAAGTATATTATGTCACCTTTGCATATAAAATCTCATGAAACAATTTGTAAAAAGTCTCAATGGTCTGAACCTTTCGAATATTTTAAATAAATTTTCCAAACCACAAAAAGTAATGAACAGTGAGGTATTTACACAATTATGCAATATTAACAAAAATATTAATATTAAAAAATGCTTATTTAAACCAATTTCAAGATAAAATGCTAGAAGAGTAAAGATAATGTTTCCATTTAGATGAAAAGGACTTAAAACGACAGTATCATGGACGTTACGGCAAAAATATTATGGCAGATCACACTTGAGTAAATGATGGAAAATATTAATTTTTCTACATGGTCTTGCATTTGTTTCCATTTGCAGTCTTTATATTTTATTATTAATACTTGAATGAAAGTTTTCTAGCCGTGTACCAAAAATTTGTTCTATAATAATTTTGAAAAAACAGTTAATTCTCCTGCAAATCCGAAATATTGCTCTGATTTTTACAAAATCAATCATAACCAAAATAAAAATATTATCCTTTAATAGATATATATAGCAGAAATCTAAATTTGTATGATGCACATTTATCTGCTGCTTTTACAATCATTACTTAATTCACTGCAACTAGGTTTGTTTTTAAATATGCGGGCAATGGGTGTGTATGTAAATATCAATGGTGGTAGGGCCACGCAGCAGCCTCCGCTGTTGCACGAATGGGCATGCCCGTCCGGGTAAGTACCACGACCTCACAAAAGACCAGCGTAAAGTGGAAGTATGACAAATACTTTCGCGTTTCGTCAGGTGAGTGAGGTAGCCGGAGCCCAATTTTCAAAAGGTTGTCAACGCATCTGTAACCCACTGGTGTAGCAGATGTCCATGGGCGGCGGTATTCACTTAACCTCAGCGGAACCGTCTGCTCGTTTGACAACTTTTCGCATAAAATAAAAATAAATAGTCAATGTATGAAAATCTCGTATTTATTTAGGGGTGATTTCCTACCAAAACGATCTCATGAAACCACACTGAATCTTGCTAAACGCATCAGGACCTACGAACGTAACGTCGACGCCTTTACTGGGCCTGACCAAATGGAGACGACTTGTAAGCGCAGTGTGTAGTTTTCCCCTAGTTATAGGAACATGAAAAGGTGACAATCAGCGCATTTTTTAATTGTTGACAACGCATCAGCCATCCGCTTTGTACATGTCCATGGGCGGCGGTGAACCACCTGCTTGCCTACTTTTCACATTATAAAGACCACGGACTTTTCATAATAGAATTTTCAAATTCGAATAGACGCTTGCGCGTTGTTATGAAAAGTCGAATTGTACATAAAAATTAATACATAAATCCGTAAGTAAGCTACCACCAGTTCGGAAAGCACTTTCTGTTGAGAAGAGACCGTCAAGAAACTCAACAGTTGCTCTTACCATAATAATCATTAACATAGGTATAATAGTCTTATATTAGTGTACGTGAGTATTAACAGTAGGAACTCCACACATTGGCGTCGTTGTGATATTCCGAAATGGTGTAATTCTTTTGAAATGGTATGATTCCTACTCGCCACGAATAGGATCTCGTTTGACGCCATCCACCTCCAATCATCTGTGCCAGGGTGTAGCGTAGTGATGTACTCTTGTGTTCGCAGCGCGACCGGTGCGGTGGGCGGGCGCGGCGTGGGCGGAAGCAGCGCGATGCACACGTCGCGGCACTCTGTCACCTCGTCCTCGGGCGTGCTGATGGTCGGGCCCAACTTCCGGGTGGGCAAGAAGATCGGATGCGGCAACTTCGGTGAACTAAGGCTAGGTGAGTGAATGCCGCATCCATGGTCAAGCGTTCGCACGTATTCGTACCTCCTTTATGACGTTTCCATGCCGTTGAACCTTCCACAGATTACCACAAAATCTTTATGAGTTTGATCGTCGACTGACTTTTCTGATCGAATCATTGGGGTGAATTTACGTACAGTAAGTTTGTTTGATTAGTTGGTTAAGTGCTTCATACACTGCGGCATCTATTAGAAAAGATAATCGACATTGACCAGGCTAACTGCTAATGTAATCAGGTATTAAAACCTAAGGATCTGTTTATAACGATATCTTCTAACATATATACGTCCACAAAGTGGCTTCAACTAATGCTGCTGTCCTTGGAAGTAGGCACTGAAGCACGGCCTTACGAAAGACAGCTTGTATTGGAAGTATCATTCTATTGTGGTATGGCATTTAACGGTGGTAGAGCCACGCAGCAGCCTCGGCGTTTTCACGAACCGGCCAGGCTCTTCCGGTACCATGACCTCACAGAAGACCGGCGAAAAGTGGAAGTATAATTAATACTTTCGCATTTTTTGGGTTCCAGCCACGTCACTCTGGTGAGTGACGTGGCTGGACCCCAATTTTCAAAGGTTGTCAACGCATCTGGAACTCTCGTGTGTAGCAGATGTCCATGGGCATTCACTTAACATCAGGTGAACCGTCTACTCGCTTGGCAACTATTCACATAAAAAAAAAATTGTATGCCGAGGTGGCTCCGATCTTTTAAATGCTGGCAAGGTGGCAATTTCTTATGATGACAATCAAATGCATGATGATGCGATCACGAAAGAAACATAATCAGATCAAGTGATGATCGGTTAATGACCGTTACGCCATACGTTTGTTTAAATTGTTCTTCAAAACGGCGAACCTAATCTAATAATACCTTGACCTTTCGATTAAATTTGGAATAAGAAAAAATCTTAGCGTGGTTGACTCGATAGCAAATTAATTCTGCTCAAGTCACGAGTTCCTTTGCCTATAATTGGATCTCAATTTGTCGATTATACCATATGGGAGAATGCTCGTGTCTTATTCGGCCGGTATTCATCGCGACCTAAGCAGTATTCAGTACGAACTTAATTGCCCTGATTCTTGCTGTGACTGCAATGTGCTGTGCGAGCAATCAAGCTCATATATATCACTGTATGTACATGTGTCCCACTACTGCGTAAAAAAGGCCTCCACGGAATGGTTTGGGTAATGGTTTGACGTCTGTCAACGCGCGAACCTATTGCGAATTGTCAGACTTCATATGTTTCGAAATATTTCAGTGTGGTAGGGCCACGCAGCAGTTTTCACTGTTGCACAAATGGGCAGGTCCGTCCGGGTAAGTACCACGACCTCACTGAAGACCGGCGTAAAGTAAAAGTGTTACACTTCTGCGTTTTGTCTGGTATGTGAGGTAGCCGGGGCAAACTTTAGCTAAAAGTGGCAACACATTTGCAACCCTACGGGTGTTGCAAATGTCCATGGGCGGCGGTAATTACTTAGCATCAGGCAAACCGCCAGCTCGTTTGCTACTTTTTTTTTTGAAAAAAATTCTTCTATTTTGTATTTATTCAGTTATGTATTTCCGTTGCCACAATAACAACAAATACTATAAAACAGAATAAAAAATATTGAATTGAGGTTTCCATACAACATACATGATTTTTTTGTTTTTGCTGTTTTCATAGATAATGTACGGATAATGTATAGATAATGGTACGGATTACGGAACCCTACATGCGCGAGTTCGGCTTGCACTTGGCGGGTTTTGTCATATTAACATTTCGAACGGTTAGACGAGCCGTAAGGAATGCATGTTTAGACAGTATTTGACCGCTAACTGCACTTAGTTCTTTTGCTGGTCCGGCAGACGCTTCTGCATTTTGTACAGGTCTATGCCAAGGATGATTGTTAATACAAAAAAAGAGTATGTGTGTACTTATGTATGCACGTTGAGAAGTTGTACTTCTTTATCATAAAGACAATAAAAATACTTGAATAAAGACTTAAATGCAGTTGATAACGGTTTATTTAAATAACTTATTAACTAAATGACGTAAAATAATATAACATGTAATACATTAATAATTTTATGTACATGTAACGATTTTAATACATAATTGTGTTGTTTTAACCTATTTATTACGTTATGTGTTACAAAGGTAAACAAGTCTGCTTTCGTAATGAGCGAGCAAATTGTATAACACGGCCATGACGGGGTGATTGCTATTTAGTGTTTTGGACAACTTTGCAATGCTTAGAATAGCCTAAGTTGAAGGCTCTAAGGTTATTTGCCAAATAAGTAAAGCAGCGAGTAAGCATTAACTTAAGCTGTGGATGGGTGAGCTCCCAGTATTGATTATAGGAACAATCTTTGGGGCTTAACGCCCCAGAGATTGTAACCGTAGTGCAATAGTGTAGTGCAACCCTTAAGGCCGGCAACGCAATTGTGACTCAAGCGTCCATCGGCGGCGCTGATAGCTTACCATCAGGTGACCTGCTCGATCGTTTGCCTATTTTTCCATTAAAAAAAAAACTTTTTCACACACAAAAAACACACTAAAACGTGATGAGATTTATTTCATTTCATTATAATTTATTTATTGGTAAATATTTTATGATTTTCACTTGGTTTTCCCCGTTTTATTAATACGAAACGTTGAAAGAGGACATTTTAACCCAGGCTAAGACATAGATCAAAGGGTCACGAAATATTTTATCGTTCTTCTTTCAATACATAAATCACTTCGATTTTTGTTGATGATATTTCTCTTTATACAAATATTAAATAACCGCTTCATAATTTAGATTTTTATAGAAATAAAATAATATGTTCGTTTCGAAAAAGCATCGAAACGGCTCAAGGGATTGGTATGAATTTTTACTAAAGTTTTCGTGTATGTATAAATCACTGAACATAAAAAAACTAAATAGTGTATAAATAAATGAACAAAAACTTGGTGCTACGGGATTCGAACCTGAGTCTTTCTGGTTTCGCGCCCGGATGCTTTACAAACTAAGCTAACCGAAAGTTTTTGTTCACTTATCAATAAAAATGTGCAATTTAAAGTTTCAACTTGAGTGCATAGACACTAAAAATAAAAAAATTATCTTTATAAATTTTAAGGGCAAAGAAACCAGAGACTTACCGAAGTCTCTGGTTTCTTTGGTTTTACCAAAAGTAAATAAACCAATTGTTTGATTTCAATAATCGCAAGTCTACCTAATATAAACATGATATGTTAAGAGTGGAATTTATAATATTCCTTTTTTTATTTATGACCATGATATAAAAAATTACTACCGTCAAAATTTCAATCCAGTGATTTAGGCTTAATGTCACCTATAAATGAAGATGATTTACGTTCAAACTTCTCGTTTTTTAAAAAAATTATACTGATTATACAACCAAAATGTCAATAAAGATGGTAAAACAAGGGGCTTTCCAAAATCCATAGCCTTGCCTTTGACTGTGAAAAACTTGAAAAAATTTACTATAATACATTTTATTTTCATGTTATGAGACTGAATACCAATTATTTTTAAACTGGGTATTTTCGAACATTATTTTTATTTAAGCTTCTATAGCATATAAGAACCTCATAAGGGATTGGAATCAGCCTGTCATTAACGGTTACAACCTTCCATTACATTTTTTTTATTATCATTTCCCACTCACGATGATTAAGATTGGCGAGATGCGAAAATTGCTATAAAACTCATTTTGGCGTTATAACAATTAAATCAAATATTAATAATAACAATTAAATAAAGAATGAAAAATAACGTTCACATGTTGTGAACGTTTCTGATATCTTGTATCAATCACATGTTGTGACCGTTTCTGATCGCGGTTAAGATATAGATTTGATGGGCATTAAATACACACGTGAACTACATCTGTAAAGTGATTGATTGGTGTCTACTGAATACACTTGACATACTTCGTGTCGACACTGTGCCAATAGATTCTTTAGAGCAAACTTATATACGTACATCTGGATATTTTTTCAACTAGCCGATTTTATCACTTACTAATAAAGCCATATTCGTACCGAATGCTTGACGCAAAGTTCTAAAATTCTATATGTCTCGCAATGGTGAAGATTGTTATTAAAGTGCGCGATGATAAATTGTTTGTACAGCTGAATTTGAATACATCGTCTTTCTCTTTCTAGTTTAGGTGATAGATTCGATAGATATCGTTAGGATTTAAAATTAGCAATCCGTCTTGTTTCAAGTGTTAGACAAGGTGTGAAGTATCTTGCCAGTCAGCTTTGAAGTTGTGAACAAAGCAATAGGAGGAAGACTGATGATATCGTATTTCCATGTATATACAATTCAAAATGCAAATATTCCCTAATTATCTCTTGTGTTTAACACAAATACCCCTCAATAAATATATCCCCCTTCAACACTGCTGTACATCTGTTCTTTTACTGTGTTAAAGTTATTGAAAACGTCCTTGAATTTGACAAAAACATAATTTCGTAAAGTACCGTAGAATACCTACTTTTGTTGTTTATTATTGTTAAAAAAATAATTTCTAAACAGGCTTCAGTAAGTAAGCGTAATCGAGGAGTTAGAATGAGAATTAAACATAATACGAAACATAAATAATTTCAATATGTGCAACACGTATACGACATTCAAACTGTTACATAATGTTATCGATCTTTTAGTAGTCGATCAAAAGAATCCCCTTGCAATCACTAACCTCCTTTTTATGGCATAGCATAGAGTCCACCTCGGACGCTGTTTCATAATGTAACAATCAGCAGGTATCTGTTAGTTAACCTGAAGACCAATTTCTTAGCATTCTTTACGGGCGACTAATGAATCAAAATTCAAGACAGGAGAGAATGTCGTCGGGCCCTCGCCATTATAATCTACGGTTGCATTACCAATTGCCAACAGACTGCATAGTAGTTTCAGTAGCATGATGACAAAATACTGTGGTAGAGCCACGCAGCAGCATCTGCTGTTGCAAGAATGTGCAGG